TGTCACCGATGAAGTCGCCAAACTATTGAATATTTTTATTACTAGACTCACTTGAAATCCAATACAACTTCATTGGACTCTGACTTTGGTTTGGTTGGTTGGTTGGATCAAGAGTAGCATAAATACTTGTCTGTCAGTACCTACTTGTCAAAATTGTAATTTTTTTCGAAAAAACCTTCAAAATTGCCCGTTCTCCACAGAACTTCGGAGAAAAGCAATTGAGAAAGTTGTTTCTTCTACAATTGCATTGTATTTTATCAAACTAAACCAATATTGTTTTGCCATATTTGTTAAATAACACGTTCATTCAGAAAAAATCGATATATTCAATTCAATTTCAGTTGGTCAGTCGGTAGCCAAGCGGTTCGGCGTGGGTGCTTTGTTCACTCACTCGAATTGACTGCCGTGTTGGTCGGTGGTTCAAGCCCTAGTCTGAACGATCGATCTTCACTTGCTACCGTCCAACCCGTGTTAGGAATCACACGTTAAAAGGTAAGACCTCGTTAATCCTTAGCTCGCACAAGTTTCGACTTCTGAGGGTTGTCGTTCGTAGGGGTGCGACAGCTGGTTAACGGAAAAACAGATTTTAAACAGATTTTTAAACAGAAATTTACCTCTTCTTGAACAACGGTGTTTATGGCCAGGAGCCTCTGTTATTCGTTCATGAACTCGGAAGGAGAATAGGCCAAGCAACGAAAGATCACCGTTCTACCTCTTTTTTGATAGAAATAATTAGTATTGCTATTCGACGTGGCAATGCTGCTTCGGTCCTTGGAACTGTCCCTCCTTCACATAATTTTGATGAGATCATGCATTGCCCTAATTTCAGTACGGAACTGAAACCTCTTCGAAACAAGCCGAGATATGTGGATTTTTATCAGTCTCCTATCAAGGTTAATTCACAAGTGATTGATCCACCTTCTTCTTTTTCAGTGCGGTCAATGGACTTGGGTCATTCTTGTCCCCCAAATATGAGTTGCAGTCCTCGTAGTTCTGGTTCCCTTTCAGTGGAAGAGCTTCATGAAGCAAGAGCCGAATCGATCCCTCTACGAAACCGTTCTTCACTTGGAAGGATCGATCGCAGCTTGAGAAATGGTTCTTATGGAGATTCTGTGAAACATGTTCTTCCTTATGAATCAGTAGAGTTGTCCTGAAAATCTAGAGAAGAAAATTGGATTGGATAATTTAGGAAACACTTGCTACATGAATAGCATTTTACAAGTGTTGTTCATGACGAAGAATTTCAAGAACGAGGTTTTAATGATGAACGAAAACGGGAATGTTTCCTACTTATTCATCAAACTCAGACACCTGTTCATGCAGCTGCAGTTTCGTAACAATGTATCATCTTTCCCTCCAACTGATTTCCTGGAGTCTTTGAAGTCCACTAGATACTCGTTAGGACAACAAGAGGATTGTTCCGAATTCTTGGGGTTCTTGTTAAATACTCTTCGTGAGCAAAACAATAGCAAAATCAATACTCCTGACCGCTCTGGACTGAATGATTCCGTACAGCCCATCTCGTCTTGTGTTTATAAATCTTTTGCTAGAAAAATCCTCACTTGTTTACTTTGTGGTAAATGTTCAAGAAGTACCGAAAACTTATATGAATTTCTGGAACTTCATCTAGCTTTTCCTAATATGACTAATAACCAGTCCATGCAAAGCTTATTGTTGAATCATCTGACAGGTGATGATCGACTGTATTGTCAAACATGCGCCAAACTAACTGACTGTTATAAGGAAAAAAGTATATCTGAGGCACCAGTCAATCTAATAATAACACTGATGATTTTCGAACAAAACTCAACCTCTAACGGAAGCAAGAAACTCTTTGGATGGTTCGAAATAGATGAACATTTCAACCTAGCAAACCACTATTATAATATTCATGCAGTCATTGTTCACTGTGGTTCTAGCGTTGAATTTGTTCATTATTACGCCTTGGTCAAAGACGAAACGGACTGGTTTAAGTTTGACGATGGTCATGTCACTAAGTATTTTGGCGATGTATTGAATCTATTGGAGCCTTCGGAGACACCCTACATTTTGTTTCATGAGAGAGAGGACATTGGCAGATCAAGATCTTCAGATGATGTGGTGCTGCAGGTTTTTCCGGGTTTTCCTGCAGCTGAAAAAGCAAATGCGCCACTGGAATCAATGAACTCGCCCCGGAGTGCCAATTAATTTTTATTGTTGTTTTTATTTTTATCGTTGTTTTATAATTTCACAAAAATACGTGAACAGTTTTTATGTCAAGTTATATTATTTGGAACCTAATTTGGTCCAATATTTTTCCGGAACCGGAAAGATGCTTATGAATTGTTAACTGCGATGTATAAAAAATTTTTTGAATATCAGTGTCACTGTTTTTATTCGGCATTGAAGCCTTAATCATTTCGTCATTTTTATGGAAAACCAGGATATCTGACATAACCAGAATGGATAAAACGGAATAAAATCTCATGGATTATTCGTGTGTGGAATGAGTAGGTTTAGAAATATTCCTGTCACCCCAAGAGAAATCAAAGGGGAACTTTGATGACATACACAATAAACCCACTGATTTAGAACACCCACAAGCTACGTTCCTCTGCTATAACGAGTGGGCAGATAACATCCCACGCAATTTGTTTTTGTGCTCCGAATGTTCGACGTTATGTACATAATGATAATTAGAAATCGATAATTCGACAACAGTTGATGTCGCTATTGAAATAATCACTGAACAATATTCTTTTACAAATATCGAAAACACAGAAATACCTTTTCCAAAAACATTCATGAAGGAAAGTAAAACAGATATCACGGAAAGGATATAATATGGTTGATGGATTTATCCGTTACTACGTGGTAGGGGATCTCATTTTTCATGATAGGTATTTGATTATTTCTGAATGGGTGAAACATTTAAACAACAGAGTTGTGCCGCCAATTCATGATGAAATTGGATGTTTATATTCAAGTTTTCCATATGTTACGTATCTCTACGCTAGCTTGACTAAATGCGTTGTTGGACAACATACACGTGGCTTCTTTGAGTTTTCTCCTAAACCAGTGTTCCTCTTTGTGGATGATTTCAGCTTGAGCCCACTTGATGTTGTGTTGATGAGTCCACACATGCTCTGCTATTCTGGATTTGCTGGTTTCTCCTCGCTGTGTGTGTTTGTTGTGCTCAGCAATGCGAACTTTCAATGGCCTCTTAGTTTCACCGATGTATGATTCTCCGCACTCGCAGGGTATCTGGTAAATGCAATTCTTGGAATCGCAGTTCGCGTTTGGTGGCCTGGTTTTTGTGAGGCTGCTACGGATAGTGTTCCCAGATCTAAAGCAGGTCCTGATATTATACATGGACCCAATCCTTCTTATCTTTTCCGATAATCCTCTGATGAAGGGAAGCACAAGTACTAATTGTGGCGGCTTCTCCTCCTTGTGGAGGAGAAGCCACTGTCTTCTGGCTAAATCCTGTTCTACCATCACTCTGGAGTAACCATTCTGTTGAAGGTCATTTTTGATGATGCCTAGTTTCTTTTCAAGACCTTCCTTTGCATTACATAGCCCAAAAGCACGGTCTAATAGAGTCTTGATGATTCCTCTCTTAGTCGATTGATGGTGGTTGGATTTCTGGTTCAGATACTGTCCTGTGTGAGTGGGTTTTCGATATACAGATGCGCCCATTTAGTGTCGGTCCCCTTCACCAATACGTCTAAGAAAGGCAATTCGTTGTGAACTTCCTTCTCCATTGTGAAAGTGATGGAAGGACTTACGTTGTTGATGTGCTTCAGGAAAGTGTCTAGTTCTGCATTTCCATGGTTCCATATTATGAAGGTGTCGTCTACGTATCTCAACCAGAATCGGGGCTTCTTGTGGGCTTCTTCAATGGTTGGTTGTTGCTTGTATGTTATTTCTTTGTAATTTCAGTTTTTTGTTTAAAAAATTGTTATTTTCGGTTAATCTTTTTAATTTTTGTTCAGAGATTTCAAATCAATTTATATTATATTAGACAATGGAAGTCCGAACTGATAAAATAGGATAATAAGGGTTTAGGTGAGGTTAGGTTACGTTAGATTTCAATTCAGTTTAGGTAAGGTTAGGTTTTCTTTTCTGAGATTTTTCCATCCCCACAACTTCAAATTTACACCAACATTTTCCACGTTACTGGGTTGAAAGAAGAGGCAACATTGTGTTAAATGTATCGCCCCTTATTGTATTTTTATGAGCATCTAGAAATTAAGGTAGACATATAAAACACTACCAGCATTTTCAGGAAGATTGGGTCAACAAATCGTTGACTAGTGAAGTTGGAAAACTTCGGCCGCTGAAAAAATCCTAATTCTGAAATATAATCATTCTGGAAACTATTAGAAGCAATTCTAATATTCAAAAACTATTGCAATAGAAATTTCAACGGCTTTAAAACGATATCCTCTCGATCCCCAGTGACATTAAAATATTTTGAAGTGATTTTCATTCTCACTTGAGGGTGACAGATTGCTCCCCATTGGCTAGATATTATCGAAGACGATAAGATATACGAAACGTCAGGCATGAACACCTACAGACCACGGCCAAAAAACGCGAAAGTTAGCCATGATACAAAGACTATTTCGTTTTTAATGGCCACCCTGTATGTATGGTTCACATCTAACAGATCGGATATGTTCTATTGTCAATGTATCAAAGAATAATCAGTTCTAAAAATAAAATATTCAAAATAATATCACACAAAACAAGGCTACTTTGGGGCTGAAATATATCGTCTAAGAGAAACTTTATTTCGGTGCTCTTTCATTCATTATTTGGTCTCCGCTCTTTCCCTTTGAATGTTTGATGCTCAAATTGAAAAAGGCAATTTGATTTTTACATAATTCAGCAATTTTAGAAAATGTTTCGGTTTCTAGTGATTCGTATCAGAGAGACATGTCGACAGTTGATCTCCAAAGAGTTATTCAATTTCGAAATTTTATCATCGATCTGTCATAAAAGTTCATGCCACTCACCTAGATACATTCATAATCACCTATTCTTGAATATTTTGTCGAGAAACTTTCTGTGCCTTATAGCAAACCGGAACCGATGCATTTTCCCCGAAATTCAGTAAAGAACCAGCGTAGACGTAGTAGTAGTACACGCTTCAATCGATAATTTCAGTCAGGGACCATCATTTCATGTCCCGCTGTCAAAAAAACCTCATCTATTCACCTCACTTTCCAGTCCACTAGTTTTGTTTTTCAATTCGGTCCCAAATCACCATTTATCGACAGAATAATCGAGTAAAGAGTCCTCGCGAGAGAAAATGGCGATAAAAACCCTTCGGCACCATTCAAAAACCGATTGTGTTGTTGATCACTCAATCTTGGACGAGGTTTTCCAACTGCATTGGCACTTATGACTTCCTAATCGGGTTCTAATTAGGCTATAATTAAGGGAAACGCGTTTAATACGACTCGATTTGAATTTGGAGCACCCCCGATAGCTTCACTGCTTGCGGCCCCCTCCCTGCTCGAGAGATTGACGGAAAAACACGACCCGGAAAATGCGATGAGATGCGCAGTGCTGGAACGGGGAGGAAAAGATAGACGAGACGTCAAGATCGTCCTGAATCGAAACCGGCGGATGAGAAAATGCGGGAATGTATCTAGGGAGAAAAATAACGTTCCTGGAGGATATTCATACTGTTTGTTAGAAAGTTGTCTGTCGCCAGCATAGGTTTATATTGACGATAGCATCAGCAAAGTGAGAAAAATCGCACTATCCCATAAAGTACTGTTCTAGGCCCACTACTTTTCACTATATATAATATACTTTTAACTGTATATAATAATAAGAAGCAAGCGGTCGTGAAACCATATTGTTGGTAAGACAAGATAGTGGAGAAATCCAGATCACCATGGAACGAGAAACCCAAGGAACTGTAACTTTCTTGGATGTTCTTGTGAATAGACGTGAAAACGGTACATAAGGTAACAGAGTGTACAGGAAACTAACAGACACAGAAAGGTACCTGGACAAAAACTCTAAACACCAGCCACAACAAAAGAGAAGAACTCAAACGTAAACGTAAACGTGAGAGTCTTCCTGAGGAACTCAATCATCTAAAAAAGTCCCTACAACCCAGGAGAGAGAACTCCAAAGTAGCCCCAGCTAGGCTGGTCAAGGGAAGAGCTTTCCTTCCCTATATCCTTCCTTCCTCCCTTCTTCCCCTATATTGATTCTCAAATATCTAAATTTTTTCACAGGTTGGAGAAAGTGGGGCTTACTCTGAATGTTGACTTATATGTTTCGAAAGGGCGATATGTTTGATTTGTTACATATGAAAGGCATATACTCTGTTTTATCTAGGTTCACACTAAGTTATTTGTGATCCAACCAAGTTTTCATCAATTCGAAATCTCTTTCGGCTTTTTTCTTGAGGGCATTCCAATTCTCGTCCTGATACACAATAACCATGTCATCGGCGAATCCTATAAATTCACTGTTTTCGAAAGAAAATAACCCATCGACATATATATTAAGGAACATAGGACCGAGGACAGTGCCTTGGGGAACACCGTATTCGAACACTTCCTGCTTGCTAAGTACATCGTCTACTCTCACAACTAGATATCTATTTGATGAGTAGCTTTGAATGACGTTAATGTCTTTTAGAGACTGTAAAAGTAAACGATGACTCACCGTGTCGAAGGCCTTTGACAAATCTATGGATTTACCTATGCATTGATTGTTGTTGCTTACCGCATTGTTGATTTTTTTTAGTCAATTCAAGGATTGTATCCTCCGTTGATACGTTGTTTCTGAAACCAAACATAATAATAGCCTGTTATCAAATAAAACAAAACGGTCAGTTCGCACTTTGGCGAACAAGTAGGTGTCAAAACAGATTTCAGGATAATAAAAGAATGGTTCAGATATAGTAAGCTGTGGTTGAATATCTAAAACACAAAATATCTCTCTGTTACATCTCATTTTTATACGTTTTCAAACTTAGGACCTCTAATCATCGGTCAAGACACCAAAAGACTAAAAACCGAGTCCAAGTAGTGCTATCTGTTTAATAAAATGAATAAAAACAATATTGTCTAATTACCACTAGTTAATTTTATTTAGACGACCGGTTTCAGGTTTAATCCCATCATCAAGTATAAGAAAAGTATTTTTATTCATTTCATTAAAGTTATCATGAATTACCACAAAATGAACAAGTCATCAATCACACATATTAGTGCTATCTGTAATAAGTTGAAAGTATTCGTGTTAGGAATCACACGTTAAAAGGTAAGACCTCGTTAGTCCTTAGCTCGCACAAGTTTCTCAACTTCTGAGAGTTGTCGTTCGTATGGGGGCGGCAGCTGATTAACGGAAAAACAGATTTTAAACAGATTTAAACAGATTTCTTGATTTGAAACACAAATATGATACAGCTATAGTAATTTTGTCAATTGTCAATAATATAAGCGAGCATGGTCATATTGAACATGTTATCTTGGACATCATTCTCTGTTTCGAAGACTCCATTTATAGGATCGACAGAAGGTTCAAAACCTTGTTCAAGCGATTTGTTTCACCTTCTCCCGCGGATTGATGTCAAAGCTTGGTTTTGCAACAAATTATCTTATTCAACTTGAATAAGCGCAGTTTCATTTTTGTCGGTCCATTCACCTGACTTGATTGATATTTAGTTAATTATTCTTCAACAAACCATGATCTGAATGTTGCCACTTTTGCGAGAAAAGCGGTTAGTTTTGAACTGCATAACCAAGATTTGGGTTACTTTCGGGCCTTACCCTGTATATATTAATTATATCGCTTGTCAGTTTGATGTCTTCTATAGAGAAGGCGACAGAAAACGTGTTACATTTCAATACATCTGAGAATAAAAATACAATCAACTTACAATCCCATTCCCGATTTTAAAACGAAGCCCAGAATCTGGCTCATCAATAACGTGGTATTCAGGTTTTCAGACCTGACAATTCATCTGCAACTGCGGATATGATCACAGTGAAGTAAATTACAATTGATAGTAAATCACTAACAAATAACCGAAAACAGCAAATGATTTGTAAGACAAAAGAAATATGTTTCTAACAACTCCACAGAGTGAATACAACAAAACATGCTTTCGTAGATGATGGAGGAGCTGAATTTGTCGACTTAAATGTCTGGTATGTAGTTTTGGACAGTGCTTATTAGAAACGTATAGCATTTGATTTATATTTTCATTTTGTAGTCTAAATATTGAATATAAAATAGCTCTCAAGTGATTTCAGTTGCATGTTTTTGAATTTTAGTACCAGTGACTCGGCAAACGAACAAACCCTGAATCGAAGTAAACATCAAAACATGGCGTCGATACTGTCAGAAGATTCGGTAGATAATTTTTCAGATCATTCTCAGTTTTCTTCGACATGGGATGAGAATATGTGTGACAAAAGTGACAGTATATTCACCAGATTAATCCAAAACGATAAAAATACCAATGTAGTGAATAATATATTCAATAGACAAGTTAGTTTGATATTCTTAACCTAAAACTGAAATGTCAACCTAACACATTTTAAATTTTTTTCAGTTATATGGAAGGTTTACCAAACATCCTAAAGCCAAGACTGAAAGAATATTTCATAACATCCATACAAAATGCAGATACGCCTTGAATTCCTTAATAAAAGACCCGGACACTTTGTAAGTACAATTCCAGTGGCACCTCTGTATTCTACAACTTTATTTTCAGCAATCACATTTTTATGGGCTTCACCATGTGTGGCCAATACTTCGTCAGTTATACGGAAAAAATGTACCAATACATGGGGCCCCAGAACTTCAGTCCCACCTATGAATACGAGTTGTTCTTGTGGAGGTTCGTCCCGGGCCAAAAACTCACATTACTTTCCAAACACAAAATATTCAAGCATCACAACAATCTTAACCTCAAAGGGTCAGAAGTACTCGATAAAGTTATGTTCCTACAGTTTCCTAGAGATTTATATAAAATTGTTTGTTATGGATTAGCGTAAGTATTCGCTTCATTTTGGTGAATTTAGCAAGTTGTTACGTTGGTTTTTAGAGCCACAAATCCAGATATAGTGTATGTTTCGATATTAACTCTACCAGCGCCAAAAAACTGTAGGCACTGTAATCTTCAATTCTACTTGGATGGTAAGTTTCACATAATTATACCAAAGTCGAAATAATTGTACTTGTAGATGTTATGAAAAATAATGATAAGCAACACTTTTATTCCAATATAGATGATACGAGTCCTTCATCAGATAATCAAAAAAGAATAATGCAGTGAGAACAAGTTATTTTCAAGGCATCCCTTTGCAAGAACTCAGCTATAATATCCCCCATTCATCATTAATTCGTCTATCTGGTTTTTTCTGTGGCAATGAATTAAATATAAATTAATGTAAACACAATGATAATTTTGTTGATAAATTATAAAAATCATGCATGAAGAACTTCAAAAATTATTGAATGAAAACACTTAAATATAAAAAATGTCACAAATAATTACACCTAATACTTGTTGAATTTAATATTATAAACCATTGTATACATTCCCTGTATAAACCATTAGATACATTTCCTTTATAAACTATTGTATACATTTTCTTTGAAAACCATTATATACATTCCCGTTATAAACCATTGGATACATTTCCTTTATAAAATATTGGATACATTTCCTTTATAAACCATTGTATACATTTCCTTTATAAACCATTGGATACATTTCCTTCATAAACCATTGGATACATTTTCTTTATAAACCATTGTATATATTTTCTTTATAAACCATTGTATACATTCCCTGTATAAACCATTGGATACATTTTCTTTATAAATCATTGTATATATTTTCTTTATAAACCATTGTATACATTTCCTTTATAAACCATTGGATACATTTCCTTTATAAACCATTGGATACATTTTCTTTATAAACCATTGTATATATTTTCTTTATAAACCATTGTAATAATTCCCTGTATAAACCATTGTATACATTCCCTGTATAAACCATATAGTTTCTTGGCATTAAAAAAAAGACATAATTAACTACTCAACTAAGAATTTAGTTCCGCAAAATGTATCAATTCTGTAGTTTGCTTCATTCAAAAGTAACTTTTACTGATTTTTTAAACTTGAAAGGGAGTATTGTTTGTTTTTACTCTGGAATAGTATAGAATATTTTGTCTCCTGGAAAAGTTAATAAATTTTTAGAGCGTGTTGCATAATTACACGAGCAATTGACTCGTGTTTGGCTATATTGTGTCTCATGTGAGGCAATATATAATTCTGATAAATGTTTTTCACAGACTGCATTGTTTACATTCTTTCGTCCTTCTCAAGTATGTATTGATCATAGTAAAAATAACTTGCAGGACTCTGTTTTCCATATCTGCTATGCTGGAGCCTGTTAAAAACTTCATTCGATTTTCCAGACTCCGTCAACCAGGGCTGGTGCGTGAAGCATGGCTTCATCGTCCACTACATGTTCGCCATGTCCCAGCCGAGCCCCGTCTTCGACCCGTACATCTCGCTGGCATACCCCAACCACCTCATCATCAACACCGGCCACCACATCCACATCCTGAACGTGTCGACGATGGAACCCCCCCAAGCGAGCAGCGTTTCTCTCTCCCCCTCCGCCGCCGAAGAGAAGCTCCTCTCGAACACACCTACGCACGCGTTCAACGATGCCCTCAGCGAGGTCTCCGAGACGGCGAGCGAGCACTTCGGCTCTACGAGTGTAGTCGACGCCATTCTTGAGGATTTCAGCGAGTACGACCTCGAGTCGAACGAGTGCAACAAGCCGTTCCACGAGCTGAACATCAGCTGTGAGCCGTTGAACGTCACCGGGAAGAGCTACCACAACACTCTAGGTATTTTATTTAAAGTGGGATGGCATGTAGAATTCTCTTATTTACAATATTTGTACCGTCATCTGATCCACCTTTGGTGTAACATGTCTCTCTTATTAGTCAGTAGGCTATGCTTTCAGAGGAATCGGGCAAATTACGGATATGCAGTTGGTTAGTACTTCGTCCACTAGATGGAGTGACATTTTGATGTTCGCTCCAACTTCGGAAAAGGAATGAAATACTCTGAAAGAATTCCGATTTTCAATTGTGGAATATCATTGACTTTAGGTCGATGATGATCACTATCTTGCACTGATGAGTGGCTAATAAGCCCGAAACCGGTCTGCAAGTCTGCCTGTTCCATAAGTGAAGGTCGACTCTTTCAGTTGTATTGCCAATTACATATGCAGGAAATTTTCTGTGAAGATTCCTGCACTGACGCCTGTCAGATATAATCCAACGTGGTATTAGCCAGGGGAGTAGTTGTTTTCTGATAGGCGTCAGTCCATTAAACCTACTGTGTAGGTATATAGAGACTGGCTTGAACGTTTAAAGTTCATTTGCTTTAGATTTGTAACATGTCTCCTTTCAACTTCAAATAGTATCCGGCGTTTTTTTTTTCTGCAAAATAATTGTTCGCGAAGGTGATTGCCTCTTCATTTGACGAAAATCTCTGTGCTTCGAGCCCAATTTTTAGATGAGGGGGCAAAAAAAAGTCGCATGTGGTTAGATCTAGTGAGTAAGGCGGATGGTTAAGTTGTTCAAACCGTAATTGGTGGATTTTCACCATAGCAACTACTGAGATGTGAGACAATGCGTTGTCCTAATAGACAGGATCTTCTTTTTCTCCAAATGTGGTAATGAATATTCTTTTTTGAAGATGATCGATAAAAATAACTCCATGACTATCGAATCAAAATATGCTTTATTACCCAAGATCTGGACAGCTCATTGGCAAAGTCTGGTAAAGTAACATGTATATATGGAACAATTTACAAATATACACTATAAAAAAATGCTTAGACACAACAGCAGACAGAGTTAATGGACAGAACAATATCAAGCCCAGCTGAGCAGATACAAATATAAGTACATGAGAATGTGAATATTGAGTAAATGTAAATATGTAATGCTGCGCAATGAACATCAACATTAATGAATTAATTGAAATCATGATGGATATTAAAAACAAAAATACTGCAGGCTACGATGACATTTCGATGAAAATAATACAAAATATTTTTCCTAGTGCCCTAAATTTACTGGTTTCACTGATAAATTTATCCTTTCCAACAGGCATATTCCCCTTTTTTCTAAAAACCTCTCTGGTCATTCCTCTGCATAAGAGTGGAGATTCTGATGGTCCCTCTAATCTCCGCCCTATATCTCTCATACCAACCACCGTTGGTGTGAGAGATATAGGTTGAGTTGATGGTTGAATTGAAAAACTAGTTTAAAAACGACTACTTGGATTCATAAATAAGCATAACATCATCAGTGAAAATCAATTCGGCGTCCAGAATAATAAAAATAAGCACGATGCTATTTTCTCATTTCTGAATAAAGTTTTTTCTGAGATAAATGTCGGTGAAAAGGCTGCCTCAGTATTTTGTGACTTGTCAAAGGCATTTGACTGCATTGATCACAAGAAGAACTTTATTTTCAGATAGGCAAGCCTAATATAAACATAATTAATGTACTTTATCTAAATATAATACATAAAAATCAAAATAAATTAGTCTATTATAACCAAATAACAGAAAATCACAAAGAAAGAAAAAAAACTGTATCGCACATATTCTATATAGGATACACGTTTACTCTTGAATAGACGGAGAGAAGAAGAGTTTTTTATGTTATTTGGTAGTTTATTGAAACTGTCCAGACCTTTGAAAAATAACGAGTTCATACTGCTACGTGAATTTGTCCTTGGGATGTGAAAATTGGTGTTCGATCTAGTATCATGATGATGTACTTCACTATTTGTGATTAAAAGGTTTACTAAGTATGTTGGTTGTAATTTATTTATTATTTTAAATATAAATATCATAGTTTGATAATACAATCGTTGAGAGACATTAAGCCACCTTAAACTACAGAGCATATTATGCATAGGTGTCATTCTATTGCAAAGTAATATTATTCGCATTCCACGATTTTGTAATTTTTGTAATTGATTTAATTTGTTCTGATTCAAGAGATATAAGAGAGTCCCGCAAAAATCGTAATGAGGTTTTATTAAGCAATTATAGCATGTTATTTTGGCATACATTGATAATACAGATGCCACTCTAGAAAAAAAATACAGTTTCTTCCATATTTTGCTTATTATATAGTCAGCATGATCATTCAATGAAATTGTATTATCTACAATGAACCCTAGATACTTAATTTTACTCACTATTTCTAAATCAGTTTCGTTAATTTTAATTTTGACTGTGTTTCTCCCAATTTTATTTTGTTTATACTTTGTTTTAATGATCATCGCCTTAGTTTCAGTGATATTAAGTTTCAGTTTATTTATTTCAAGGTACAACTCAATATTTTTCAATGAATTATTCATCTTTTCAATAGCGACTTGCAAGGTTTTATCGTAGGTATATATTAATGCATCATCTGCTAAAAAGTTAATCACATGATCACCATCTACGTAATTGATATCGTTTGTATAAATCAGAAATAGTAAAGGCCCTAATACACTACCTTGTGGAACTCCAAAATCATTCACTTACTCTTGTGAGTAGCACCTATTAATTTTTGTTATTTGACTCCGTGAACTGAGGTAACTTTTCATCCACTTCAAAACTACATCACCAATACCATAATATTTGAGCTTTTGGATTAATATATCTCTGTCTATTGTTTCGAATGCCCTCTTTAAATCCAAGAATGTACAAACAACGTAATTATCTTTATCAATTTTTTCTTTCCAATTTGTTATTGTGAACTGTAAGGCAGCTTCCCACGAATGTTTTTTTCTGAAGCCTGACTGACAACCTAAAAGTAACCTGTTTTCATCAAAGTATTTGTTGAGTTCCTCATATACTTCATAATTATTATTTATTTTTGGTATTGGTATTACTGTGCTTATTTTGAAGTGTTGGGGAAATTGTCCTGTTTGAAGAGACGTATTAATAAAGTTCAGTATAACATAAAATACTGCTGAGAAAGCTCCAACGTTATGGATGCACAAATGGTTTGATTCCTACTTAATGGGACCGACGCAAATGATTAAAACAACTCAACTTTTAAATAAAAGGGAAATTCAGTGTCATTGCTTTTCGAGTTTGAAAGCCGTGGATTTTAGGAATTTCTTCCTGACGTTTCGCTGGCGCGAGTGGCTAGTTCTTCAGAGGTTTAACCATCATGGCTTGCTGTCCGATGACTACCTTTTAAGCATATTTATGCCTTGTCAAGTAATCAGTTGTATTTGTACCTGCACTTGAACCTGGAACAAAAATCCACGGCTTTCAAGCTCGAAAAGCAGTGACACTGAAAACCTCAGCCGTGAAAGTCTAAACCATTTAGTCAAGAGGGAAATTAATTCTGGATTTCCACAAGGTTCCGTGTTAGGCCCCATTCTTTTTTGAACAATCCCAATTTATTTGTCTTAGCTTAGGTAGAATATTTTTCAGGTGCACTTGTGCTGAGTTGAACTTCGCCTTTTGTTATATCAGCAACTAGCTCTGCAATTCATTTAAATATTTGTATGTAACTACAACTGGGAAACAATAAAGACGATTATTATTATTATCTACTGCTGTAAAAATTCACGATCTCTGATATTATTTCAGTGCAGAACATCGTAGATCCGCGCCTGAAGAGGCTACAAACGGGAGGAGGGGGAGGCAAGGAATATCTCTTCTCAGTGCCGCAGAGCTCGGGTGCGACCCAGAAGACGTCCGAGAAGACGAAAATTGACAAAAAGATCGCAGAGAAGGCGTACGAGTTCATCGAGGAGAACGAGAAGTACGAGAAGATCAGCTCGTTCAGGAAGAAACGGCTGGCCGAGAAGAAATACGAGTTTTCGGAGGACAACAGCGAGAACATCGTGCCGTTCAATTCGCTGAGGCGGGAGCGCAGGTTAGTGCGATAATCGTATTATTTTCGAGTGTATCCACCCATCTGTCTTTGTGAAACCCATCCGTGACTGGTACTGTTTCCAATATAAGACAGCATTTTGAACTTTTTTGTATAAAAGGAAAAACTTTGAGAGTCAGCAATAGTACTTAATTTGTTCAGTCCAGTTATATAAATGTATCAACTTTGTATATTTATTGCTAGTAATGGCACCTTAAAAGGTAAGACCTCGTTAATCTACATCACTGTAACCGTACGTTTCAACAGGTTACAACTGCTGTTTGATTTAACCTGTTAAAACCGCTGGTTGATTTAACCGGTTAAAACGCTGGTTGATGTACCCGGTTAAAACCGCTGGTTGCTGTAACCGGTTAAAACCGGAGATTGTAAGCTGTTAAAACCCTATTTCCCTGTAATCAGAAAAAATAACTAGCCGGTGAGAAAAAGGTAAATTATAAAAAAATATGGGTTTTTCAATGTGGTTTCAACCGGTTACAACCTCCAGTTGTTTTGAGCGGCTAAAACCGGAGGTTTTAAGCGGTCAAAACCTGTAACCAGGGAAAAATAATGGAGTTGAAACAACATTTTCCTTTAACCGGTAAAAAATAATTAAGACATAACCGGTGTGCTTTCCAATATGGTTTTAACTGGATACAATATCTGGTTGTTTCAACCGGTTAAAACTGGAGGTTGTTTAAAACTCCATTTCCCTGTAACCAAGATAAAATAAGTGAGTTATGACCTGTGAGTTTTTCTTTATGGTTTAACTTGTTATAACCGGAAGTCATAACCGGTTGAAACCACGTTTCCCTGTTGCCAGGGATATATAGTTAAGTTATAACCGGTAGGTTTTCCAATGTGTTTTTAACAGGTTATAGCCTCCGGTTGTTTTAACAGGATACAACTGGAGGTAGGTTGTTTTAACCGATCACAACTCGAGGTTTTAAGCGGTCAAAACCCCATTTTCCTGCAACCAGGGGAAAATAATTAAGTTGAAACCACATTTTCCTATACCCGGTGGGTTTCCCAATATAGCTTCAACCGGATACAACCTCTGGTTGTTTTAACCGGTTAAAACGGGAGGTTGTAACCGTTTAAAACTCCATTTCCCTGCAACCAGGATGAAATAATTGAGTTATGATATGTGACAACCATAAGTTATAACCAGTGGAAACCACATTTCCCTGTCACCAGGGATATATGATTAAATTATAAACTGGTAGGTTTTTCAATGTGGTTTTAACCGGATTGAGCCTCCGGTTGTTTTAACCGGATACAACTTGAGGTTGTAATCGGTTAAACCCCCATTCTAATTGAATAATAACAGGTGGGTTTTCCAAATGTAGTTTTAACTGGTTACAACCTGAAGTTGTAACCGGTTAAAATGAATGGTTACCGGTTAAAATAGTCATTTCTTTATACTCTAATGAAATTCCTCCAATTCGCAGGTATCTGTACCGATCTCAGACCCGATGCATCCGCTCCCCGGACTACAATTCCCTCTTCCTGAGCCCCCGATCGCCGATGCAGTCTCCGAATTCGCGCAGCGGCCAGTTCTCGCCGAGCGGGGGCGCCAGACACCTCTACAGCCCCTCCGTCCGCAGCTCCCCTCACCACTCTAAGTCTCCCATCAGCCCGAAGGAGAGCGCCAGGAAGTTTTACGTGTACTCGCCGAGTCTGGACAGCGACTGCTCCGACACCGACTCGAGGTTGGTGCTGAGGACGTCGAATGCTACTGCGGAAAGTAGGTTCGCTAGTAACGGGCTGTTGATTATCGATCCTAAGTTGGAGACGCCCAAGTGGATCAAGAAGGTCGTCAGAAGGTATTCGAACGGGGACTTCGAGAACGGTTCGTTGGTGTCCGGGCAGAGCAGAGGTGAGTTTCCAAGTTTGAGATGAAATTGAAGAAGTAAAAAGGCTGAATTGGTTAAAATGAAAAACTTTTTAATTTCCTACTTGTAACTGTGAGATATATCCGATGCATTCAACGTTGGCTTTTCTGAAATTTTAGTTATAGTAGAGCGTCAAAAGTTTGAATCACTGGGGAATGTTCCTCAATTTGGGTTATTACAGCAAATGCAAGTTTGAACAAAATAAAGTTGAGTTCAATTCATGAGTTTTTCAAATTCACTTCGAAAAGTATTCAAATTGATGTTTCAAATGTTAGGTTTTAATTTTTGAAGGGATTTGTTTCTAATTCACATATTGGCAACAGCGCCTAGAATGCTAGATCGGAGTTCAGGTTAGTAGTATGCTAGAAGAAGAAGAATCATGTCAATAGTTTCAAATTAAGGCAAAATATAAATTATAGTTCAATACCACCTCCACAAGCCACATAAACAACAGTTGTTTTGTTATTTATATAGAAGAAGGTAGGTTAGGTGCACAGAATGTCATATGTCACAGAATGTCTCTGAACTCGGAACATAAGTGAACAGAACAGTACGCCTCTGAAATATGTCATCTTCGTTTGTCTCATACAGGTAACGGATTCATTGTCCTTTATTAGCTATAACCGATGTTCATTCCTCTTTTTTAAGTATTTAAATAATTTTTTTAAAGAAAAAGGTTGAAATGATAAGTTTAAAATGCGTTGTTTTAGAGCTCTTTTATGAAAACTACTTGATTTTCGTCAGGAGGAACATTCACCATTGGCACTAGGGATTTTAGGATTTACGAACATAACCTAGAAATTCCTAGTTACACTAAAAGTAATAGTATGAATAAAAATAAAAACTTGATGTAATCACATAACAGTTGAGCTGAGAAGTTCGTAGGCTAACAGAAAAAAAAATTGTTTTCATAAAATTTTATTTTATTATTCAATATAGTTGCTTTCGAGGGTGATACAATGATTATAGCGGTCATACAAATTTTCTATACTATTTTTACCATTCGATACCATAATTCTTCTTCTTTTAATTTCTGAGAAAAGGAAAAAGTCGCTGGGTGCCAGATCTGGGGAATATGATGGATGCGGAAACTATTCGAAGACCAATTTTGCCAGTGTTTTCATTGATTTGTAACAATATGCATTGTCTTGGTGAAACAGGACTTACTTTATTCTTCAATGGGGCCGTAATTTCCAAGAAACAATTTTCGAAATTTCGACTTTAATCCTAAAAGTTTCGATTTTGAACTCGAAATTTTGAGTTTTAAAATTGCTATTCCAAAAAAACAAACAATAATGAACTTATGTAGCGTTCTGTGCCTTCATTCAAATAAGATAATAATTTTCAAAACATATAACATACTGACTTGGATAAAATCCTATATGAGTGGTCGGCATTTGACAGTCAAATATAACAATATTGTGTCCAAGGAACTTGATGTGACATTAGGAGTTCCTCAGGCATCAGTACTGGGACCTTTACTTTTTGTGGTATTTGTTAATGATCTCTCAGAACATGATGACAATTGCCACATAACTATGTTTGCAGACGATATCACAATGACAATCACGGGGTCTATACTGGATGATGTATTAACAAGAGTCAAAGAAGTTATTGATGGATTTACGTCATGGTGTAAATGCAATCATTTGATAATAAATGCCTCCAAATCTGTTTCGATGAAATTTTATAATAGAAAAAATAACATTCCAGATGTAGTTGATATAACTGATGGAATAGCCATGGCACATGATGTTAAATTTCTAGGAACCATATTAGATGAATCTTTGAATTGGGATCTACATATTACCCAGTTTAGACACTGTAACATCGATTTAATTGCTGAGTAACGGCTACATCCCAATATTAATCGCATGCCCCAATTTTGAAGCTTTTGCAATTGCGCTATTTTATTTTTACCAAGTAGAAAAAGTAATATTGTACAATAATCAAAATGAGGTTGTATTAGGCTTTTAAAAAGAGTCAACCTAGCACACATAGACACTTTTTTACATATACGAGAGAGAAAAACAAGTTTTTTAGATATTTTTTTACAAATAAAATCAGCATGACTATTTAGTTTTAAATTTTTATCAGTTATAAAACCCAAATATTTCATTTCAGTCACAATTTCAATGCTAACATTATTAATTTTTATAACAGCATTTGCCCAAACAATTTGATCATACTTATAAGATGATGTCAAAATCATACTTTTTGTTTTACTGACATTTAGTTTCAGTTTATTATTAAATAAATATGTTTCAATGCTATTTAAAGACCTATTCATTTCAACAATTGCCTGATCCAAATTTTCATGTATACAATAAACCAATGTATCATTTGCAAAAAGATTTATACAGTGTGATCCAGATATGTGATTAATATCATTTAGGTAAATAATAAAAAGCAATGGACCTAACACACTACCCTGGGGTATGCCACTCTCAATTATAAGTTCATCTGACAATTCTTTTCCAAATTTAGTTTTTGTCTTCTGTTGAATAAGTAACTTTGAATCCAATTGAAAACAATCCCTGATATCCCATAATATTTTAATTTTTCAAGTAGAATATTTCGATCAATTGTTTCAAATGCCCTTTTAAGGTCGAGAAATGTCGCAACAATGTACTGATTTCTATCAATTGTATTTTTCCATTCAGTTATTAAAAATTGTAGGGACGTTTCACATGAGTGTCTAGTTCTAAAACCTGATTGGTTGCCTATAAACAATTTATTGGTATTAACGTACTGAATTAATCGGTTATATCGGTCGGTCGGTAGCCAAGCGGTTCGGCGTGGGTGATTTGTTCACTCACTCGAATTGACTGCCTTATTGGTCGGTGGTTCAAGCCCTAGTCTGAACGATCGATCTTCACTTGCTATCGTCCAACCCGTGTTAGGAATCGCACGTTAAAAGGTAAGACCTCGTTAATCCTTGACTCGCACAAGTTTCGACTTCTGAGGGTTGTCGTTCGTAGGGGTGCGACAGCTGGTTAACGGAAAAACAGATTTTAAACAGATATACAGACATTTCTAACACTTTTTCAAGAGTTGGTAGTATATTTAATGGTCTAAAATGTTCAGCTTTAATTGAGTTGATTTTCGGTACAGGAACAACAGTCGAAATCTCAAATTGATCTGGAAACACACCGGTTCTAAGTGATGTGTTAATTAAATTTAATATTGCGTACCCAGCTACATCAAAGCTTTTTTTTAAGAAATTATCATTTAAAATTTCTGCTTTGTTAGTTTTGTCAAGCGAGAATATAATATTTCTTAGTTCATTAATTGTTAAAGGCGCGAATTCAGTGTAACTAGCTGATATAACAGGGTAGTCATGGGTCCATTGCTGTACACTTTGAAAAACTGAAGTTATGTCTTTAAGAATAATACGAAACTATTCTTAATAAAAAAATGTTTTTATAGTTCAAAAGACTATTGGAGTGATAATTCCTGGGAATAATTCACAATGTAATGTAATATATGTATTAGTTTTTAAATTGTAACGTTTTTAAATTAGGTGCCGTGTTTTATGTTTTTATATTTGACTTACCATGTGTACATTATGTACCGATAATGGTTAATAAAATTATTATTATTATTATAATTCTCAAACCTTCCTTCATTTGGAAAAACTTTCTTATTTTGAGTTTTTTGGTGTCAGGTATATAATTCAAATATCAACTTGGTTTATCCTGTTTAATTTAATTCCTAAATAGTCGACATATTCTTCATAATCTTCTTTTCTAGATGACTATAATATTCCAATAGAGATACCTCTGCTGGTCCAGAACCTGACGGAACAGCATTTAGACGTAGTACCCGATTTCAAAGTGGATCAGGTGACTGAAATGCAACTCATAGTTACTCAGAGATCTTTTGACTGCGAACACTTTGTCCAAAGACGAGCGCAAAAACTGTGTTCTGAAGCTCAGCTAGAATTTTTACATTGTGATGACTACGATATTAGAATTATACATGTAAGTAACTTCTTTGAAACTCATTACTTTTTAGATTAGATCACATTAGATTTTCAATTGGTCAAATAATTACACATTAGTGCTATAAGAAGTCAATAATATATAGTGTAAATGTGAATTACAATTAAAGTTACCGAAAAGCAGTAGGTAGTTGATCAAAATTGTATACGGGGTGGGCCATCGAAAACTTGACATGGAGGTTGCAATTTTGCGAGTTGATTAGTGAACGAACGGTGGAAATTTTTTTTTTTTTCTAAATGGCACAGTTAATCGCCATAATTGTCGCCATCGGCATGATTCAAATCCTCACATTTTTCATGAAGTGCATACTCAATGTCCACAAAAATTAAATGTATGGGCTGGAATTTTTGGTGACCGTATCGTTGGCCCATTGTTTTTAGAAGGCAATTTAACCGGACAAATGTATCTGGAGCTTCTGGAAGATATTATCAATCCCCTTCTCACTGATATTATTGAAAATGACCACAATTATCGGGAGGATCTGTTGATATTTCAACAAGATGGAGCTCCTACGCACTATGCTCTGCCTGTTCGGCAGTATTTAGATCAGACTTTTCCGGATCACTGGATTGGGAGGCGGAGTACTATTGAATGGCCACCACGATCACCAGACCTTTCGCCGTTAGATTTCTTTCTGTGGAGTCATTTGAAATGCTCCACAATGTTCGAGAACGTTTCCAGCAGAATATCTATTATTGGAAGCTGGAGGTGGCCATTTTGAGCATATGCTAACATGAGAATAAACTGAGTAACTTCAACTCTAAATTTAATATGGTTCTTCCAAATTTAAAAGAATGTACACCGTTGTTTAGCGAATTCCAAGATCTCTCAAACGATGTGCGACTCGACCCCAGTTCCCTATTAAAATTCCAAGGGTTGTTCATCCCTCTGCTCTGGGGTTGAAGTGGGGACGCTGTAAATGAGGAAACAACTGTCCCCCTCCCAATAAAAATCAACCTGTCTGAGCGTTTTTTAGGATTTGCAAGATCAGTACCCAAAACCTCCATGTCAAGTTTTCGATGGCACACCCTGTATAATACGAGGACAAAATGAAGTTGATAAATACATAAATGTAAAAACGGAGACGCATAGAGACCGTACCTACATTAATTATAGTCACTCAGTAAAGCTGAAGCCAGATGGATCATAGTGAGCATTCTCTGAGAGATATTTTTTCTGTTTCCTTTTGAAATTAGCGTGGGTTGCATTTTTCATTGATTGGGGCAGTGAGTTTTACAATGATATGTGTGAGTTACATCTTGTTATTTCTAGTTTTTGGTTTGGTGTTCTATTATTATCCTTGTTCCTAGTATTATACGAATGGTTGTTTCCTTTTGTAGTAAACTTTTGTAAACTTTCTTGAATGTGTATCAAATTGCAGTATATTACACATGATGACAGAATTAATATATTGAACTCTATAAACCAATTCTTGCAGCTCCCCATTTGAACTATTCCAGCTGAAGCTCTGATTGCTCGTTATTGAATTGTAAATTTTCTCGAGATATGAATAGATGTGCCCCAGTTTATCAATCCATAAGTTGGGGAACTGTGAAACATTGCATGCTAAGCAGTATGGGCAGCGACTTTATTTTTCATCTGCCTGATTGCATAGATCTTACTGATAGATTTTTTGCTAGTTTGTCAATATGGGGTTCCCAAGTTAACTTTGAATCAATAGTTATACTAAGACATTTCATATTATCTGCGGAATTATGAGACAGCAAGAACATAACTGTTTGGGTCTTGCTTCTATTCACACATAGGCTGTTCGCACTGAACCAGTCCATAGCTTTCTGAATAACTCGCTTTTCTGATTCTGATGACTCTTCAGTATTTTTTTACGAATGGCGTAGGAAGTGTCTTTGGCGAATAACTTTGTGAACACTGTCATTGAATTTAGCAGGTCATTGATGCTCCTTCCTTTCCTGAATCCACACTGTCTGTCTATCAAGATATTTGTGTACTCTCTTGAAGATGATCACTTGGTGATCAAAACAAGTGTCGAGGTGTTGAAATAATGCGTTGGTTTGGGAAAAAACTCCAGTAATATTCATTATTACACCAAACGTTCCAAACAGTGCATTACAAAAACATGATTAAGTTATAACTGGCGGATTTTTCAATGTGGTTTTAACCAGTTACAACCTCCGGTTAAAACCTTGGGTTGTAAGTAGTTAAAACCCAATTTTCTGTAAACAGGACAAAATAAGTTATAACTGGTGGGTTTCCCAATATGGTTTTAATCGGTTACAACCGCTGGTTGATTTAACCGTTTGAAACCGGAGGTTGTGAGCGGTTAAAACTCCATTTCCGTGTAATCAGGAAAAATAATTAACCGGTGGGGAATAAGTTGTGGAAAAAATTATGGGTTTTTCAATATGGTTTTGAATGGTTAGAGCCTCCAGTGAAAACCTCATTTCCCTGCAACTAGGGGAAAATAATAAAGTTGAAACCACATGCTATGCCTACAAACTGTCTGTCTGTCAAGATATTTGTGTACTCTAAATAATTTATCATTCTCATTACCATTATTTTTTCAACAATTTTTGCAATGACTGGAAGTAATGCAATTGGTCTGTAGTTTTTTCAAAGACCTGAATTATCTTTGAAATTTTTAGTTTAAATATCTTATTAGGTGTCTGATACTTTCGAAAGTAACTTTGATTCAGTAAATCGTTACAATATATTTTTTCCAGATTTGTCCAATCAACGGCCATATAATTTGCCATGCCATAATAAAAATAGGAGCCTTGCGGAAGATCGATCCGTACGGCAAACCGGAGAACTTCACCGCCAACTTCCTGTTCACGTGGAGCATCGAATCGGACGCTTTCGATGTTCTCGAACAAAACAAGGAGTCGACGAAACTGTCTCCTTGCAGCGAACCTCAAGATATTCCCGAATACGAACTCCTCCCGACCAAAGACGTCCTCGTCATGGACTTCAACTATGCCGCATCGAAAACCAGCCTCAGGGACTTCAACAATTACTACGAAATATGCTTAGGATCTGCCAACGTGGCCCACATCAGGTTGCACAACTACGTCACGCAGGGGTATTCCAGCGACAGCGATTGAGGGCCCTCTGATGAATGGGAAATACTGAGCATCATTAAGTTCAGCTCGATCAAGTATGGGTTTGTCTGAATGAATGTAGTGAGAGTTGTCGGTTAGTCGAGTGCTATTTGTCTACAAATTGTCAAATAGTGTAAACTTGCACCGCTGGAGATAACTGATCAAACTTTTTTTTTGGTTTGTCGGCCTTGGTCTGCAGGTTTTTGTGCCTGACGTTTCGTCTACGACTGCGGTAGACATCATGAAAAGCGATGAGACAAATGACGGAGGTTTCCTCACAGTAGATACTGCATTGTTGGTTTCGGTCTCCAGTTTCGTGACCTGAGAGCAATTAAGTTCAGGTAGCCAGATTTTATTAATGTTAATCCGTCTTCCTTTCGGTTGAGATTGTTTGGTTTTGAATTCCTATTACTTTCCAGTGACTTCTATGAAAAAAGAGAAAGAAAGATTCTTTTTTAAGACTTATGTGATGGACAGATTTTGTTCTTATTTATCCATATTCGGAGTTTATTTTAATAATGTTTTAGACAGTAACTGCTGTGAAAAAGCAAGATTTTTTCATTATAGAATTTCATAATTGTGCAAAAAGGTAGTAAAACATTTTATTGATCCTAAAATATTGAGGAGAAATATTTTTCAAACTATGACATGGAACAAGAAAGCACCAAACGACTTTCCAGGGATGGTTCGCCACTAAAAAAAATTTAGGTCTGATAAAAAACTCCATCAGCAACATTAAGTGTACTATTAGTCCTGGAATGATGAATGAAAGGAACATTTCATGACATATTCCATAATAATGGGCAAAGGAATGGGTAAATATCATATTTTTCCAGATTATTTTCATACAACCATCTCCACTTTCACTTGTTATCTGTAGCGTGTCATCGTTAAAGTCATTTGTCACTTGTCACTACCACGGAACACGTAAATTATTATCTATGGTTCTTTGATTGAAAATGGACGAACTATGAAGTCAAATTTTATATATCAAAGATGTAGGGTGCTTGAAAATAAAGCATGCCAGAAAAAGAGATGCATATAAAGTAGTTCCATAGTTTTTTTTATTTTTATGTAAACAAAGCGGTGTTGTCAGATATCAAATCGAGATAGATCTGGCATTATAGCAATACCTGATGGTACTCAGAATTCTCGAGAGGATTTTGACAAAAATTTATTGTTTTTATCCGAACAATTCTTGAATGTGGTTGACAATGTTTCTCGGTACATATAAAGAAATAATGAGAAAAAACAACTTAAAATACCAGGCCAGAAATATTCGAAATGAATTGATTCAAAAAAGGAATTAATATACAAACAAATGTAAAAAACCAATTGAAAAAATAAAAAGGGTAAAATTTTCAACCTGTAGTTTATTTACAAAACTGTCACACTTATTTCACTATACAATAGCTTCCTGATTTGTATTCAATTGACTTTTGATTTTAATTTCATTGATTTCACATTCGTTGACACTTTTTGAAATAACGAAATAACCTCCCAGTTGAGGCCATTTGTAGTGATATTCCCGATGTTCTTGCCTGGCACCAAAACGCCTACAAATTATCGTTGTTGATTTTGTTTCTCTTAGATTTGCGGTCGCGTGAATTCGGGTCCGTTTTTGGCAAAAGTAATCGTAGCTGAACTTTTGATGCCTGTATTTTCTTTTGGTGTACGTCTGATGTTTAGATACTCAACGCTTTCTTATTTATTGAACTGAATTTGTATATTGAGAACAGTACTCTTGAATTTTATTTTGGAAATGTTGATTTTCCAAATCGAAACTTTTGTATTTAAGTTACTTATGTAAGACGTTGAACTGTGATGTTAATGTTGTGAAGTTTAAGAATAAAATCTGTTTATAAGTGGTTGAATTTATTTTACTCTTTGTGAAATGGTCAAAAAGTTGAAATATCTCGAGAATCGAACTATGGAAGAGCAGTGTGCAGTTGTGGATTGAGTTGCCAGTGAAGTTATTTTCCTCATTGTATTTATAAATTTTTTCTGGGTGTATGTTCATCTATATTTGTAAATTCTTCAAAAAAACACTAAAAAGTTACTTATTTCCAAAACTAATCATAAAATGAAAATCTTCCCCAGAAGACTCCAAATTTTATATGAAGTACACATGATTATTCAAACAAATTCATTATTTTCTCTCACTTGAGAAATGTGCAAAATAAAAGAGAAATAATTGATTGATAGCTCGGGTCTGAACAATTGTGTCAACAGTGCCATCTCGTGACCAGGGTCCAAATTTTTTAATGGAACCAAACGTTGAGGAACCTGTAATATTTGGTTTGTGAGTCGATGCAAGTTATTAACAATTGGTGTGACTATTCGCCACAAGATGGCAAAAAAAGCAATTACATGGTTTCTGCATTGCCTAAAGATTTAAATCTATAGACAATGGTTTCTGATAATTACTGAAATGACAGAAAACTTGAGTTCCAGATTCTGAACCGCAAAATCTTCATGTGCGTTTTGTTTCCTGCTTTTCACAGAGAAAAAAAAAGGAAGGTGTTACTCTTCTTTTTGAAAAAACACAATTGAAGTATCCCGGATTCGGGAGGCATGAAGAGAAACCGATGCGATTCTGTATCTCATGTTCTTTTTCTTTGCACTTTCAAGAAAATCTGTCAACTTCTTTCTAAAAATTATAAAATTTAGATACCGCTTTGTTGATAGCGCCATCTCGTTGACAGAAGCTGCACTTTATGAACCAACAATTCAGAAAGGAACCTGTAATTTGCGGTTTGAAAGATGAGATGGTTCATGTTCATTTAGTGTAGCTTTTAGCCAATAGATGGCGGAACAATCAAAATTCTATATATTTTTTCAAAAATAAAAACAAATGAAAATTTTTCAAATCTACTTCTAAATCCTTACTGTTTGGAATTCTTTCACAGGTAAATTCTTAAGAAATCCTCATTTATTCAATTTCAATGCATAATTCAAGCTCCCAAGACAAGTTTCTTCTACATATATTCTTAGTTCACTTGAACCGCATAGTTGGATATTATTAAGTTTCATCAACCGCGAAAAGGAAAGGTAAAGACATATTACATATCTCGTGATCTTATTCTTTGCATTGTCAAGACAATCTGTCTACTTCTTTCCAAAAATTTTGGGAGATACAAATTCGTTGATAGCGCCATCTCGTTGGCAGAAGCTGAACTTAATGAATCAATAATTTAGAAAGGAACCTGTAATTCGCGGTTTGGAAGACGAGATGGTTTATGTTCATTTAATGTAGCTTTTAGCCAATAGATGGCAGCACAATAATTTTTTTTACAAAAAATAATAAACGGGAAATTTTCAAATGTACTTCTAAATCCTAACTGATTGGAATTCCTTTCCAAGTGGATTTTCAAGGAATCCTTATTTATTCAATTTTTACACATGAATGAGGCTCCCCAGACAAGTTTCTCCTATGTATATTCTTAGAAGGTCACCTGAACCGCATAGTTGGATATTATTAAGTTTCATCAACCGCGAAAAGGAAAGATAATGACATCTCTCTTGAAGTACGATGTTGGGTCACGAATGGTTTATTTTGGACTCTGGTTTCATCAAGTTGCCTTGCAGTGAAAGATGCAGACAAAAACAGAGGACAAATCTCGTTCGGTGGTCAATGTCGAAGCTTGACTTTGCATTTGACCGCCTCAGGGAGCCTCATTTATCTTTGATATTGGAGAAATGAGTTCTCTGTCGATCCCATAGATGGCGATTTCGTAAGGAAACATGTGATCGCTTCTACTTCAATGTTTTATGTTTGAAAGTAATTGTTTCAAACTAATTTTTTTACAGTCTGTATTTGAAAAAACATACATAATATACACATCTTTGTAGGAAGTTTATTTCATTTTTTCGTAAGTTTTCTACATTGTGATGGTGAGGTAAACATCCAGCATTATTTGTATTTTCATAAATCATTCACCACAATTTCATTATCTGGGTGAACAATAAAACACTCTGTATTTATGAACTCCAAGGAAACGGCGACATTTCAAAACAAAAGTCACGAAACTTCTAGCTGTCAAAGCTCTTCCAAATTCCAGTAAAACTCAACTCAATAACCAAGAAGAAATGGCTGACTGTTGCTGCCCTATCAGTTGCATCGCCAGCTGCCCTTGTCCCCCCATACCACCGGTACCGTGCGCTCCCTTAGCGCAACCCTCTAGCCCCACGACGCTTATCTATGTTCCGATGTTGGCATCTTGTCCTTGCCCGTGTCCATGTCCTTGTCCACCTTGCCCTTGCTGTCCCTGCGAAAATGGAAATACGAATGGTAATGGAAATAGAAACGGTAATGGCAACGGTCATAGGAATGGTAATAATAATAATGGAAGTGCCAGGAAATGTTGCGGAAAATAAGTGTTCAATATTAAGTATGTTCAAATAAACTAGTATGTATCTATTTCTTCTTGGTTTTATTTAAGTTGCGATATCACCTCTTGATATTTTTTTCAATATCACATGATATTCTCCGGTTTCTTGACATGCATACAGTAAGATGTCTTCATTATTCAATTAAGTACATGATAAACCCGACAACGTGATCGAAATTGTTTTTTTTTTGCGGAAAACATAAATCAGGCTTGAAATTTCTATGTTTCCGACCGACAAAACTTTTTTCCAACAGCGATAAAACTGACAGCTATGAAATTAATATCTAGGTGTGATTATTCCTCAATCATGTGAGAAAAAATAAAGTTGATGATGGCCGGAAGACAAAACGCCGGATAGCAAATCTGAAAACACCATTAAGTAGTAGCAATGTGTGTTGCAATGTGTGTTGCAAGAAAAAATAAAAACCGTTTTCCAAAATTTCTGTTTTTTCCGGATATCTCCGGATATACTCAGAATTTCAGAATTTTCTCAACGGCATATTGTGAGTCAGGTAAATACGCACTTGGCCCCAATTTAACCACCTTCGTATCTCTCATAGTTTCCGAGATCTCAATGGTGAGGATCCAATTTGAAACACCCTGTATAATGTCATTAGGCGATTTTCACACAATTTTTCTATAAGAAAATAAAACTAATTAATAAAGTTCATCAAGTATTCAGCTGGTGAGAGATAAAAGTTAAATCCCTATAGGTAGACCAATGAATGTTATATAACGGGGAATTTCGTTCTCTTTTATTTATTTTCATGTAAAAAACGTTCACAAACGGAATTCACACAGAGATATCGTTCACTGGAAGTCAATACCCAACCCAAACCACACCGTACTGATTTCAATACAATATTTCCATTATTATGCCTTGTATGAATTTCCGATGCTGAGTGTTTTAAAAATTATTTGATATATTGAGAAAAAATATGTCAGCCAAAAACCGCTAGATAAGAGTAGCGAAAGTCTAAAGAAAAAATAGATGGTTGCGAGGATGAAGAATCTCTTGTACCAAAACTCTAACAGAAATCGAATTAATCTGATGACCGTCGAGAAGAGAGACTGATGACCGTGGTACTGAGAAAATAAATTTTTCGAATTGAAATTCACATTCCCCAACTTTCTCACACAGTAACATCTGGAAAACGCCAGCCAGAAAACAATTGCTTACCTAGCTAATACCACGACTAATATTGGAATATGCCTACGCTTGACGCTTTGTTCACAACATGAAACTGTTGCTACTTCACTGTAGTCTAGACAAATCATGTCTCGGGAAAAGGTTTTGTCCAATGCCCGTCGTGGTGTCAACCAAAGAAGTATTTACATATTGTTTTATACGTATGAATTCTTTTTCGGCGCAGTCATCAAACTTATGATAGACACATCTTTTATGCATGTACATCTTCATAATTTTGTTTGTTACTGAAAATTTCTTTAAATGGATTCTTCTTGATATTGATCTCAGGGATTTTTGAGAGGCAGGTTGGCAATAAATTGATAAAAAATCAAAATAATTTAACACGTTGTTAATTTGTATATGGACTTGATTGAATAATTGTAGTTTTCCTTTCAAAGTTCATTAGGCTAAATATGTATCAAATGTAAATAGTAATAGTTGGAAAAATATTATTGAAACGGGAAAGAACAACGTGGACAATCCAATTTTTCTTCAGAAGGTACATTAACTTTACAGCTGCAGGGAAAACCCCTGGAAAAACCTGCATCTCATGTTTCTTCAATCTTGACTGATGCAATAATTTTATACAGTGCATTTCTCTTTGAAAGTTTAATCTGTCAATTTCACTTCAAAATAAAGTATTCATGCATTAATTTCATTATCCCAAATTTCAATTTTTTGAGTTGATCCGTTCAAAAAATAAAAGGAGGGAGGGACATTAAAGAAATGCACTGTAGATATAGGAGTTTGAATCAAACTGAAGCTACTGTCTTGAGGTGTAAATTTGGTCATTTATTTGGGCAACTAATCACAAATAATAAGAACTTAATTCGTGGTTAATCAAGGCAAGATAATTGTGGGAAATTGATTTTGGCTTGAATGTGGGAAACTTCCAAAGAGAGAAAGAAAGTAATTGATTTCAAAATAGACTCTAAACAAACATATGTAGTTCATGCAAAGAAGTAACTTTCAGACACGAATTGTAAAAAAAGATTTCGTAACAACTACTTTCATATGAACAATGAATTATTAAAAAAACCCTCTTTCCTATGTAAGAATACTATTGAAACTTGATTTTGACATGAGTAATGTTAGAAAAAATTATATATTTTTAGGTAAACATCGCAACAGGATTTCAAACCATATAAATTGTGTGATATAATAAAATAATAGATTTTGGTTCATTCAAAACTTATTTTTCCTTTTTAGATAATGTTAATGATTCATATCATGGAAGGTGAAAAATCCCAGAAAGATCCACTCTGATTTCCTTCACAAAAATAACTTGTTCAAATTTTCAAGTTTTGTTACATTATAGATTGCCTTGAATTTTCTATCATCAATCATTGACTTTTTTCCTTCTTTCGGATAAAAAATAACGAAACCAGATTTTTTTGGAGATAATTGATATTTCGTAAAATGTTTTGAGACAGTCAGCGCTGGATTTGGAAGTCTTGATGCCGCGGGGAAACAAAGAAGTGGTAGCATCCTAAATATTTTTTTTATAAAAGTTGAATTTGTGGTTTGAAAATTTCCACTCAAGTGATTTTGTTGAATAATTTTTAAAATGTTGAGCTCGATGAATAGAGAAGTTGTAAAGATGACCTGCAGGGTCAACCGTTTTTCGGAATATTTCACTTATTTCACTTCACTCAACTCTTGGGTACAAATTACACATTAAAAAAAATTATTACCGTCAAAATGCTCGATCAAATAAAAAATTGATAGAATCCAAATGGAAACTGGCAATCAGGGCTTTATTATGTTTGTGCAAGTAATCTTAGTAAAAATACAAAAAAATATATATTTGGATATCGAAATTTGGATATTTTTTTTTCTTTATTGTGGAGGCCCAGGGGCAGAAGCCTCGCCTGCCCTCCCCTGAATCCGGCGCTGGAGACAGTCATGATAATTTTCGAAATAGTAACGAAAATATTCCATTTTAAATGTGTCAATAGTCATGATAAACTCTAAGTAAGATAAACTTCTGTCTGATCTAGTGAAATTTCACAATTTTGAATGGGAAATTCCCTAAGCCGCAAAACTAAATGATAGAGAGTTATCACCAGCCCAGAATGGATTTGCAAAAATTGGGTTTTCATTCAAATAATACAATACATAATACAAGGAATTCCCAAATGGGGAAACTCCCTAATTATTAGAGGCTGGATTAGTATAGGTAGAAAAAGTTCTCAAAAGACGTATTTATTATTATTATTTGAATTTGTTTACTAATGATGAAGGTAGAGATGAAGTTCTGTTGAAGAAACATTTTTATCGTGATTTTTCATAAAGTTATATAATCGTTTGGGTTCAATTCAGAATAATAAATACTCCAGTATTTGATTTAAAAAATTGAAGCTTTATGTAACTCATTATAATATATTTGAAGTAAAATCGTAGCAAAATATAAATATGAAAAAATGAAAAATTGTATATAAAGGGACAATAGTTGGATGTACATCAATTAATAGTAATAATAATAATAGCTACTATTCCATAGGTCAGATGACTTGCTACAAGAGCATAGTAAAAGATTTTGAGTTGTTCTATATCTAGTATGTCTGACAGAATTTGGTAAAATTGATCTCACTTTTTTACAGGCATACATAATTTGCTTATCCCACTTCAGATAGCTGTCAATGTATACTCCTTAGATATTTACAATGTTCGGTGGACCGAATTGAATCATATCTTCAAACTGTAAGATATGATCAAAAGATAATTTGGTGGATATTTTATTACTGAACAAAGTTGTTTTTTAGGACCAATGGGCCTAATACAGTAATGATTAGCGTAGTTGAATTATTTTTTTATAGCAATAATCTTTATGAGTCTCAAGAAACAAGAATGTTTATAGCAGGGATAAAATTTTAATAGTAATCGTTTGAAATTATTGTTTGAAGAATGTAAAAAAAATTACATAAATCAATTATATATTTATTTATTTACATAATTACCATTCCAGGGCGACGTATCGGGGTTTTGTATACCTTCTATAGTGAAAATCAAAATCTCATCAGTAAATGTAGCATCTTCTAATCGAGTAATGAAAGCATTTAGGAGTAATGCCCAGTTGTTGTGGGTTTTCCTCTCTCACAGCCCATTATACAACAGGGGAACTCGGAAAACCCTTCCTCAATCCGATACACATATGCGGAAGAGGTACATCAATGACCAAAATTCGGGTTTATTGTAAAAACATTTACCCAATGCCTAAGTGCATGTTTATTCCTGGGAATTCCTCAGAATTCGGAAGGGCGTTATCTGAATTGGCAATAGATGTAATCCGTATTGATTTTAATGTGGGAAATTTTGATCATCGATCGTTATAGACATCTGGACCACTCGTTTAAATAGTTGTGCAGTACCAGATCCAGCTCCAGAAGAGACAGTTGTGACAAAAGTGAAGTCTATAGTTTGAGAAATTCGATTAATTTTTCCATAGATAGTTCGTGAAAAGTAGAAAGAGGCAGCGGTATATTGATTGGTGAGCACTATTTGGGTTTTAACACAATAAAAGAAAAATTTAGCTTTGAAAAATGTTCTCTAATATCCCGATTATTAATTTCTAATTGTTGAAAGCTACACGAATATATATTTGTAAAATTTTCGTTCTTATTGCTTGAAAAAATATTATAAACAAATGCATTTTTGAGAGATAATACATTTTTTGAATTCTATTATAAATGGAAATCATGATTTTTAGAAAGAAAATCGTTTGAAAAAATTGTTTTAATGCATGAAGTCATTTGTTTTGGCAGAAAATAGTAATTTTGAAAAACCGTTGCTTATTTGAAAATTTCTTATTTTGACTGCTCTTTCATATTCTGGAAAAAAAATTATTTTGAAAATAAAATAATGTATTCATTGGATAAAAACTTTGTTATAAGCAAATAAACCTCTACACTCGATTTTTTTTTAATATTAAATATATGAATAACAATAACCTTGTATAGTTTTGTAAGAAAAAAAAGCAAATAAAATCAAAAATTGGGAAAAATATCACAAAATGATAAATGGTTGTTTTTTTTTCAATATTGATAAAATTAAGTGGAAATTCATTTGTTTATAAGAATTTGTTACTGAATCAACAAATACAGAATTTTCCAAGAAACATTCTTTTAGAATACGGAAGAGCAGTTTCATCTGAAAAATGGTTTAATATAGGAATGAAAAATAGTTCATCATTATTTATATTTTCTGCGACAAATGAATAGTTAGTTAATGAATGCGATTTCAAGCAATGTAGATTTTTATTTCAAAATGATTTTTTCTGAAAATCATTTGCGTTACTAATCAGATTCCAATAAAAATTAATCATATCATGAACAATTAATTTGTTTACAAAAATATATATTCGTGTAGCTTTTATCGATTATAAATCAAAGCAATCGGGATATTCGAAAAAACCTTCCAATGCTTTATTCATGTCGTTCATTTCCTAAAATCATTGATTGTGCATCAAAAAATGGAAATTTGAAGTTTTTCAATTTTTCCGGCAAGAATCTTTTCAAAAGCCTCCAAAGAATAGCTCCTATTTCCAAATTTATAGGGTTTTTATGTAAACCTGCAAATTGAAAAGAATTGTCAATTAACAAAACCATAAAAATTTTTGCTGGCGAATTATTATTTATTCTATTATTCTTCAGTATTCATATTCGTTTTTAATATCAAATTTACTGAATATTGGTAGTAAACTTTCTATTTTTTAGTTATCTTTTTTCAAATGTTGAATATCGGCGATATTTTTTGATATATTCACAAAAAACTATTCTCTTTTTGTTCAAATGAATTCATCAACTATTTCCATCGAAATGAAATAACCATTAGTGGTTTGATGGGCTTTCTATGGGTTAGACAAATACGCCGCGATATTGGAGTCTGATATTTCACAGTTTAGACGAACATCTTGAACCATTTTAAAGAACCACAAAAATCCAAGAAACACCAATCAAGGTCCATCCCAGATTCACAAAGAGAAAAACCGAGTCACGCGAAAAACCACTGTTTTAAAGATATTTTCAGAGAACAAAAGTTCCGGTCAAAATGAAGCAATTTGCGATTGGGAAAGTTTTTAATTGATACAAGAGCGTTACAGAGATGACAATTCGGGAAAATTTGTGTGCAATTTGGAGTTTCCCTGACCATCACCGGGCCAAACTCAATAATAGAAAGTTCTCCTTGATACATTATCATCACTTGATAACTTCATAAAAACCCAGTTGGAATAATCAACAACTGTTGTAACTTATATGTTTACAAAAACAGTTCTGTCAACTGAATCAAATAATGATCAATTGCTCCTTACATTTGTTCGATCAACCCAATCATTTATCAATCAACATAATTTTTTAATAGGAACAATTTTAAAACAAGTTTTCAATCTATGACGTATAGCTTTCTGCTGGATGTTGCCATTATGATTACATTTAAATTGAAAGGGGTATGTTTTCGGGAGACATTTTTTTGAAGAAAGGTTTTGGCGTTTCATCCTCTTGTTTCCCCTTCCGAATTTCCGAAATGAAAGTTGAACTATAAAAAAATATCTCCAAAACCGCAAAAGATGTCAAAACATGTTATATAACCGATTTTATAAATAACAATGTGTTCGTTCATAAAAACAATAGATTTTCTGATGAGTATAACAATTCAGATAACTGAAAAATCTATAACTATAGTTATTGATTATCCAAAATTTCATAGAAACCCTGGTCTTTAAACAAATTCGCTTTTATTTTGACAAAAACTCTCAACGCGAGAAATGACATCGATCAAACTTTATACATATGTTCATAGATGGAGCAAGAATCGAAGAGAAACGACATCGATCAAACTTTGTACACATGTTCATAGATGGAGCAAGAATCGAGATCTGTCGCTCGTATTTCAATCAGATCTTTAATTTATGGAACACAATGTGTAAAAATCTTTCACTGAATATGCCACTTTAATATCCCACTTTATTTCCGAATGTATGCAACACAAAACAAAATTTGACATTGTCAAGCAGTGTCACTTTGAAGTGCACATAGCACCTCTGTGAATGGAAGGCTGAAGCTTATACATGGGAAAGAGCCCAATTAATCACACCAAGGATACTTTTTGCGTCTTAAATTAACAATTTAAATAAAGAAACAATTAGTAACAAGTACTGTCATATCATTAATAAGCAAAAGGAAATGAAAAAAGCCATTGATTGGTACCGTTTTGACTATTAAGAAACGCAATATTATAAAGTCAATTATAAAAGTAACTAGCAATACCTAGCTATTTCTTGTAAAGTGACATGAATATACTTATTCTGGATGGATAATCTCTAACATGGATTTGTTAGTAATCCTTCTACTGTTGAAAATCTAGTCACTATTGCTTAATTAATTTCCAAAGCATTAAATAACAAATGGCCAAGTTGATGTAATATATACAGATTTCTCAGAAGCATTTGATAAAATTGATCATATGGTGTTTTTCCCAATCAACAAATGGGTTTTGATTTTTCGAATACTGCCTGTCAGCTGATGAAATCCTATCTGACATGTAGAAAACAATTTGTATCCTACAACGGTTATAAATCTAGAACATGTCTAGCTTCTTCCGGTATGCCTCAGGGCTCCAACCTACGCCCTCTTTTGTTTTCATTATTCACAATTGACTTAAGTGAGAGTTCAGCTTGTGAACGTTTATGTTTTGCTGATGACTCAACGTTATTTTCTCTAATTAAGGACATAGGGGATTGTGTAAATCTTCAATCTCAATTAGAATGCAATATCAAAGACCTAGGGGTAATATTTGATCAAAAATCAACATTTGGAAAACATATTTCGCGAAAAGATTCGGAGTCCTCAAGGGCTTATGTTTTTATCGTTAGAAATTGCAGAAACTTTCATAGTATTGAAGCTATGAAGCTGTACTACACCCACGTACGTCAAAGATCGAATATGCAAGTATCATCTGAAATCCATTCTATGAGATTTATTATCTATTCATTGAAAGAGTTCGAAAAAAGTTTCCTAAATTTTTAATTACCAGAATAGATGGTTTGTACCCTGCGAGAGATATTGAATTAGTAATAATGAAATCTATGAACTTTGGATCTTTTCAATGAGTAACTGTTGGACAATACAGCTATAATTATTATTATTATTGTCTTGTAGATACCAATCAGCACGTTCCCGTCATCGATAGCTAGTTTTTCCGAAATGTTCAGTCCCATTCTTTGGAATCCTAACTTCCTTCTGTAGAACTATTCGAGTAACATAACAATCAAAATTTATCGATTGTAGGATACTATGCAGTCCCAAAAGGTCACTGAACACGGTGCTATTGTCCTTGAAAATCTACTAATATGACAGTTTTCAATGTATTAACCGATAATTCATGTATTAGCAATAACATCCGTATTGAAATCGGAATTTATGAATTCTACTAAACTCTGTAAACTTTTAACTTCACACGGATCACAGCAAATAACCCCTTTTCAGCACTACGTGAATCCGGACATTCCTCTGTGCCACAATTTCCCGAAAAAATTTAAATAACAAAATAACATTGAAATTTGACAAACGGAAATCCCGACAGAACGTCAATCACCAGTGCGCATGTCCTGAAAATCCCCGTAATTTATTCTCCACTACCTAAATTCGTTCAACCGCTCGGTTTGAAGTCATTCTAAACTCGACACTTGACTGTTGTTTTGTGTTCTGCACGCTTTCTGTCAATTCGCTTATAATCGATAAATAGAAAGTTTCGCAAACGGTTTACAGTGCCTAAGTTTTACAGAATTTTATTTAGTGACCGATATTTACAGTGCCTTTTCAAAAATGTTCAAGCAACACATCGTTTTCGCAGATGCCACCGACAAGTCGGTAACCAAATACGGATATTACGAGGGATCTTCAGAAGATAGTGGTTTCTTGTCAGGAGACATCTCCGAAGAAATCCAGTATTCCGGCCTCTTAGAAACGGAGTACAAGGAATCCAACCTGCACCTGAACTCGGGGGTTTCAGACGACAAGCAAGGAATCGATGAGAACATGCTCATCGACAGCGGGGTTTGCCTTTTGGATAATTTCTCAAAGCTCAGCGTTAGCGGGCAAAACAATTTAGGGGCTCCAGATAAAATTAAGTCGTCTGTTGAGTTTCCAAGCCCGAAATTGGAAGGCCCTTTGGAGAATTACCAAATTCAAGACGAGGACGGAGACACGTAAGTGTTTTTACTATTTTTATCATTCAAATTGTCTTTATTTCCCACACCAGACAAATACACTGCCTCTGACCAAGTCAGGAGATGAAAACGATGAGTTGTTGCTGTTCAATCCTTGCGGCATACTGATAATACAAATGAATATGTATTCTTCAGTAATATAAGGAAATACAAATGACATTCTTAGACAGTACCCACCGTAACCTCAAAACTAAAGAATGCTTATTGACTAATAGTCAGTATCTAAAAATAGCCGTTTCCAATAATAATAATATTCCATTCTATAGGGGAATTCTGTTCTTCATGATGTCATCAGTCACTCACCAACTTGTTTATGAACTCCCGGAGCAATAAACACTATTTTTGTGCAACTTACAGTTGTGGATTGTGCATCATTGATAAAATTATGCATATGCTTAAGATTAACTAACCCTTCAAGGGATATCTATGAAAATTCTTTACTTTATTCATTAATATTTTTTTGAATCAATAATTAATGCACGAAACTTGTATGGTTTTCCAAATTTATATACAATAGTTGAGAATAGCTATTTGTCTGAAAAATTACATTAATTTATTTACAAAGTTTGGTTCTTCAAAAGACTCCTAATTATTGAACAGTTTTTCGCTTAACGATAATTGTCGAACCAAAAGAAAACATTATTCTACCCACTTGTTTATTCATTCATAGATTGTAAGCCTATTATTAACATTTGAAAAGAAATAATTTTCAAGTCACTATTTGGAGAAAATTACAACCTACCTTCGTATCTACCTAGAAATCCGTAAGGATGTCAGTAATTATTTATAATCCTCAATGTAATGACCTCATGTGGAACTAATAGGAACTTTCATGAAATCAAAAACCCAATTTCATCACTTCAATTTGAGTTGGTGATTAGTCCGTAAAATTCCAGAAGATTCCCAACCTTATGGATTTTCCAGTAATGGAAATTCCCGGTCGATGTCAGAGGCTACCTGTAAATTGCCTTTATTTGGTTATCTTTATCATATTATGATGATGGTGGCAGCGATGCAACTGTTTTCATGACGAACTGACGCAGGAACGTTCTGAAAGAAGGCCATGCTAGTTGATACTAAATATCCGGAAACGCCCGATTGCTGGAACCAGTGGCGTACCTTCGTATTCCTATATTTATTATATTATAGTAACCTTATTGTTTAGGTCAAGGTATTTAACTTTGGAATAAAAGTGCACGAATAGCAAAATTACTGAATATACTATTTCATTATTGGTTTATATTTATTTGTGATTATGAATTGTTTCCTCTTTTCTTCACAGTTTGAGATTAATCTAAATTTTATTGAATGAAATATTTCATAAATTCATTTACAAAATATTTAATACGTACACGGGGTTAACAATTATTATTTATTGTACGAAAATCAAAGGATAATAAAAAAAAGGAGCGTGATAAAATAGTGGAAGTAAAACAAAATGTTCAGGAAATTAAAAAACTTCAAATATTTTAAATGAATCCTTTCGTACTTGGACAATTTAATTGTTTGTATTTTGAATTCATAGAATCTCTAGAACTTGGTCTTTGAGATGTACCATAAAATATAAGAAACACGTCGTTTCACGGAATTCTTGTAATAAAATCAATAATATAATGCTTTTTACAAATTCAAGACACTGAAGAAAATTTCAAATAATATTATTGTACATATTTTTGCATATTCCATTGGGAAGCAAAAATTATCATAGTTTGAAAGTTGAAAATGCACATTGAAATTTTGGGTGGAAATGTAAGGTTATGTAATAGTTGGGACCACCAAACTAAATATATATATAGCAACAAAAATTCAACTGACCCAATTAAAAAAATTGGCACAACTCAAGGGGATATTTTAAAAGTTGACGAACTTCAATTTGTTGAATATTTTTTGTGCCTTGAATGAATCAAGGCACAAAAATGAAACATGGATTCAACTTAGAATTGATAATCTTAACCTAACAATTCTGTAAATATTGATTAAGGTTATAATTAATTAGAAAAAACTACTTTCGAAGTAGCAACCAACGCAAATTTTCATCTCCCCCTTTCTGTTACAGATACCTCCACATGGCAATCAAAGAAGGTTTTGTTGACGTCGCCTTGAACCTGATCAAAGCAGCCCCTCAGCCCCAACTCCTCGAAATCCCCAACAAATGCCTTCAGACGCCTCTCCATCTCGCCGTCGCTACTGGTCAAGCGAGCATAGCTCGGTGGCTCGTGGTGGCTGGAGTAGACCCGTGTCCCAGAGGGGGCAACGGAAACTCACCCCTCCACATTGCTGCCCTCAAGAATGACCCCAAGAGTGTGCAAGCAATTGCGCAACCTGTCGAGCAGGAAGAGAGAGATAGGCTGGGTTTGAGCTACCAAGGACATGTATGCCTGCCTTGTGATTTTGAACAGTGGAATTCTAATGGTGAGTAGTTTTATGTGCCTACAATCAGTGGGATTGACCTTCATTTCTTCTTCTTCTTAATTTGGTCCCGGCTTTCAGAAATGGCGCTATTATGTCCAGTGCTCTTTTTATATTAGTAATAACTATAATTAAAACTTTGTCCAGAGAGTATAAAAGTCTTGCTTTACACAACATTGTACTCCATTTTTTCTTCTTCTTAATATATTTGTATTCTCTGTTTTTCCATTTCTTCTTCTTCTTCAATATATTCTTCTTTGTGAAAGACTAACCTTTATTTGATAATTAAACCAAACAATCATTCTAATTTTGTTTGCAGGCCAAACCTGTGTTCACGTCGCTGCTATTCGAGGACACGTCGAGGTGCTGACTCAGTTGGTCTGGTACGGAGCAGACATCAACGCCAAGGAGGGTTGCTCAGGGTATACGGCCCTGCACTACGCTGTCAAGCAAAGAGATGAAGCTCTCATGCAGTACTTGATTGACTGTAAGAATATCGACTTAAAAGTGGAAACGTATGCAGGAAATAATGTCCTCGTATTCAACAAAGTAATTCCAGCTTCCATCAGGGTGTTCTTAAGGAATGAAGGAGTACCGTCACCTTATCCTAGCGATACTGAAGACAGCGAAACTGAGGTGTGTATTACTGTATTTTGGCATCTTCCTTTTTGTAACTATCCATGAAATTATTAGAAAGTAGAAAATGCATATGGATATTCTTTTCAATGATAAGTTTCCTAATATTTTTGAGGCCATTAAAAAGTATTTATTTTGACACATGCCTGAATGACTCAATTCTAAATGGAATTATTACCTCAGGCTATTCAATTAGTAAAAAGAATATTGTACATCCTGACATCTCACAATTAAAAGCTGAATTATACTGTCAACAATAAGAAATAAAAGTTTTATGGCTGATTTCATTATTGATACACAGGTGGCGTTCTAATAAAATGTGTTCCATCTGAAAGGTTTAGGTTAACTTCCTTCAGTAGTTGTCTTGTATATCTCACTGAATTATTTTGATGGAACTTTTTTCTTTGCAGATGTATGGCACCAATGATGAATTTAATGGAATCAGACTGTGAGGAATTCGCAAGGTTTTTTAATTATTCAAAGTGACTGTGATGGAGTCTGTACATACAATTTGGTTGGCAGTATTATACCACTAAACATTTTAATATTTAAAATGTCGTTTAGGAACCTATTATTATTGAGCAATGGGGTCCTGTCTAGTCTTTTCAACACTAACTTTCTGAAAGAAATGTATGTTTCAATGTAAAGACTGAGAATAGAAATGTATATGTGTTCTGTTACAACTTGTAAATAGTAATTAGCTTTAAGTTTTTTTTGTTAATGTATTTAAAATGATCCTAGTTCATGTGAAATCTAGAAAATATAGTAATTTATTTTATTTAAAAGTGCTTTTTATTTACGATAGAATATTTGTTTTCATTTGAAAACTAATTTAACCTTCAACTATTTTGAAAGGACATGATTAAGACCTAATCTATGGAATTACTAAAGTAAAGTTACTAACCTTCACATTAAAACACCAAAATCACCATTGGATAGCCATAAAAATCAGAAAACCTTGGTGGGTACTTTGATTTCTCTCCGATCTTTCACATTTTCGAGTAATCGAGCTGTATCGAAGCTTTTCGATCACTCACCTTGTATGATTATAGCAGTAATTTAATGTCTCACACTGATTTTTGTCCTGGTTTAGAGAAAAACTTGTTTCAATCCAATCCCGATTTTTCCAGAATTTTTAGTGGACGGTTCATTTAACACAATTTAGTCAGTCTCTTCTCTCTCATTGTCATTCCAAGCCAGGTCTTTGCCCCTCGAGGGTACTATTAGATCATTCGCCATAGCCTTCATTAATTTCATTTTGTATCATCATTTAATTATTTTCTCTTCCAACTGGTCTGTGAACTGATTAAGAGATTTTGAAAATCTGCACGATGAAGTTTACTTCTCGATGAAAAGAGATTTTCATCGAGAAGAGGGCAGAGAGGGTTTACTATTTTCCATTGTTCACCAAAAATAGTTGAAAAATGTTGACCAGTTTCTACTGATGAAAATACTGAATATTTACTTAAAATGTTTGTTTTAAACACAAATATGAATTTCTCAAGAATCGTTGGAAACAAAAAAAAAACAACTTCTGGAAATTCAAAATGAACAATAGTAAATTTCTTTGTGGAGCCGCCAAATTTGATGTGAGCCATAGAACATAAAATTTGTTGAAGAAATATTTCATATTGTCACCACCTAGTGAGCAGAAATCAAACTTTTATAAAAGGGCATCGGAAAGCAGGAAAGTTCTGATTTTCATCTAAGAGTACAAAATAATTCATAATCTAATAACTGGGAATATTTCTAAAATAGTTAAAGATATAACAAAAAAAATTATCGAAATTCTAGATTCTGCATATAGAATCTCAACCAAATTAATTGTGGTTAGTCGCCAAACTTGTTGTGGTGTTTCAAAAAAGAATTTTTTATCCCTAAAGGGCTACAAAAGGGTTTTCTAGCATTGAAATTGGAATCGAAAGAACGCAGATTTATAATTTTCAGGAAAATCTAATTTACATCCTTAATCTAAGACGAAACATATAGATAAATGGATTTCATCATTATATCATATTTTGTCTTCTTTCAATTGCTAAACTTGAAGGTTCCGAGATATAATGCAAGAGAAAAACTTGTTAAAGGTTTTCAGTTTTTGTCATAAAACAAGCCTTTCATATTGTTACTGGATTTGTGTATTTAATATGGTTTTTCTCAATCATTAACAGATGTCACTACTAGTTGAAGAGAAATATATTTCCTGAATAAACAGCTATCTCATTACTTCAACAATATATTCATTGATTAAAAGTACACGTTCAAATCACGAAATCATAGAAGAAATATCAACAATAGACTTTGCAACACTATTTTTTGCTTGGGCACTGAAAATAACACATTTTTTAAATCAAATCTGTCCTGATGATTTGTCTCAACATTACTTACCAATTTCGGCTGAGGACATGGATTACAAGGGGGGCAACAGGGCACTAACATGTAATCTATTTTAGCCATTGGGGCAGGTATAGAATACGGCACTTGATAGCAGGGATATGCCAAAGCGTTCAAGCAACTGGCAAAAGAAGGGCAAGGACAACAACAGCAATCCATATTTACACTTCAAATTTTGATTTTCTGTGAGCTTAAACGAAAAATTGTGACAACTCTTCAATTTTGAATGAAGCCAACCAAGATGCATAGAAATAACACTTGAATCCCTTGCTATTTAAAATATTTCTTTGATAAAACTCGATCTGGCACGTTTGATTCTTTATGAAATGAAGAGATACGACGTACTTTGACTTTCCATTCATAGAGGCGCTAAGCGCACACCCATGTTTACATTTGGAACAGATTCTTACTCCATCTATGAACATTTGTATAAAGTTGGGCCAATCACATTTCCCGCGTCGAGATTATGAGATAACAAAAGCGAGTCGGTAAAGCACCAGGGTTTCTATGCATGTTTAGACCAACTGTATTTCTTATTCGTAGAATAATTGGCCATATTGTCATCAGTCTTAAATTCAGTTACAGGAATATAGACTTGAATAGTTTTTTAATGTTACACAATATGATATCTCACTCTGGAATAATTTTTTCTAAAATCAGTTTCAAACGTTTTATTGATCTATTTGGACTTAGTGTTACATTGAGGTTGTTACTTTGACAATTCTGCTTCGCATCAGACAGACGTATTCCCACAATATGGACAGGGACGATTATTTAGTTTCACTTTTGCTGAAAAAGTCGAAAACATCATTTAAAGCTAATGTAAAACTGTTTGTTTAGTAGTTCAACTCATCTTAGAAGATAATGGAATGTTTGAACAATTATTTCCTTTCGTGGAGCAATTATACATGTTTGACAGTTTTGAATACGAAACTGTGTGGGAAATGTCAGATCACAAAGTAATTGAATTTATTGATATGACATAAAAAATACTTACTTTCTTCAGTGTGCCGTTTTCTGGACATGGACAACATGGGGAAATGGGTGGCAGGAAAAACGGAATAGTATTTATTTGTTGATAATACGTCTGGAAAGGCATATTCGGCAAACAATACGGTACATAATCTATCGGGTAAAAGACCTGCTCTTCCTTTTTACTGGACATTTTGTTAAATAACACTGAAAATTTTTGAAATTCGGCCTGAAAAGTTTTTCTGATTTTTTGACAAGTTATTCGTTGTTTTGTTTAACAATGTCAGAGAAGTAAATGACATAAAGGTGTTAGTCTACAGAGTGTCCTTCTTGAATTCAAATTTTGAAATAGCATTATATTGCAATCAACGATGGAACATATAGAAGTTCGAGAAAAGAAAGGAAAAGAAATTGAAACATTTATATATACCTTGTGAAGGCACAATCTTTCAAACTTATGACACAGACACATAAGTAAAAGACATAGACATGATAATATAGATTGGCCGTGACGTTCTTTTTTGTTGTTGGAGTCAATGTTCTCTCTCCAATGACCAGTCCATATAATGACGTCAATGGTTAAAAAAATTACAAGAATTTAATGAAATAATAAAATGTTATAGAAGTTGGGTTTTCGAAGACCTTCTTTTATGTCATCACCTCAAGTTTTCTCATGGGTTTCATCCATGTAAATGACCGATCGATTTTCTTAACAATATCTTTTAATATTCTTCTGCTGAATATCAGGTGTCTTTGTTTTAGTTTTTTTCTGTGAAAAAATAGTTATTAGGTATTATCTTCTAGAAACTGGATGGTACGTAAAGTAAACACTCTTTTTTGTTGGTTAATGTATAATTTATTATATAACATCAAAAAACACCTTCATCAAAGTCGTCGAAATCTATCTTTCGACTTGTTTTTTTCGGGCACTCGGAAGCGCACATTTGCCATTATCTGTTTTTTCATCTCACTGATTTAGAAGTAACAAAAATTACAATATCGACTATAAAGTGTATGATCACGTAAATGCCAAGACGTGAATTTCTTCATCTTTTTAGTTGTTGGAGTCAATGTTCTCTTTTCAATGGCCAGTCCATATTCATTATTACATCACTGTTTCTACTGTCTATGCTTTGACTCTCGGGCTGTACTTAAGCCTGCTACCTAAGGCGCATAAAGGGGCGGACAAATTTCACCCGCAATCTTGAATTTGATAAGCTGTATCTGCCAATAATATCTTGCGATGAAAACAATTCCCCTCGGCCATGTTAATGATTTTTATGTGTTTAAAATCACTTATATTACTCCATTTTTCAATGGGAACCTTTGCAAGGTATCATCTTGAAAAATATTTTCAAATTTCCAATGCATCAGGCTGAGATCAAATTAATATTTTTTTTGAAACACTCTCTATTGTTCTGTTATATCTCGATTGGAATCCAAATTGCGATTGAATTGCTATGCATTTCCATGGAGACTAGAAAACATCCCACACCAAAGTGACATTTCGAAAGTAAAAATCCAAAATTTCCAGTAAAACATAAACCATTACCCAAAATGTCCAACGGAAACGGAAAAAAGTGCGGAGACATTGGTTGTATCTGCGAAGGGTGTTACCCTACAAACTGCTGTGTTCCCGTAACTGTATGTCCCTGTCCCCCGCCTCCACCTTGTCCCTGTGAACCTGTGAGCGTTCCATGTGTTCCCCAAGCCTGCGTCTACGTACCAGTGGTCACTCCTTGTTGTCCATGCATTCCCTGTGACGACAATGGTGGAAAAGGGAGAAATGGTGGAAGTGGCTGCCCCTGTTAGAACTGCTGGTCTGGAATGTTGTCCAAGTTGTAACTCAAAAGTTGATTGTAGTCTAATGAAATGTGATTCTTACAATAAATAATTGAAACCTAGATGAATAATTCAATGTGCCCAAATCACTATTGAATGTCTAAGAATGCTTACAATTCAAATTATGGTAAAGCTTAGAGTAGGTTCTTAAATGTAGATCCAGAAAATCAAATTCCTTAAGTAGGTTAGAAATTTTAATTGCCATGTTGAGTGAGACTGCTGTTTATTGCAAAAACGACCTTGCGCGAACATAAATCCCTTGATAGCAAACATATTCTAATGCAAAACCAGTTAATTGGGTGATTATAAAATACATTAAGCTTTATTTATTGAAAATAAAATAAAAACAACAATAAAAATCAATTGGCGCTCCGGGGCGACTTCATTGATTCCAGAGGCGCATTTGCTTTTCCAGCTGCAGGAAAACCCGGAAAAACCTGCAGCACCACATCATCTGAAGATCTTGATCTAACAATGTCCTCTCTCTTATATCTTATGGATGATTTGAGTGAAATAAAAAGTTTTGACAAGAATGTTTTAAAACGACAACCTGCATTATCGAGACAAAATACATTTTATATTTGAAATATTTATGAAATAAATCAACGTTTGATTTTGAAAGATCATTGAACGAAAAAAGGTTTATTCTTTCTTGATTTAGAGATTTCATTATAGCAGGCAATGTTTCAAAAATCTGTCTCCTCGTTTTATGTACCTGAATTATTTTGAAGTTAACCAAAACAAGTATGTACTTCAGAAATATAACCAATTTATTGAATATCCTCACGTTACCTACAAGTTCATTGTAATATTAAACAAATTAAAAATTTTCTCCTTTCTCCAGTCCTCTTCCGCGCGCTTCAAAAGATCAGCACCCCTTCGGGCAGCAAGGGGGGCAGCAGGGGCCGCAGGGCAGTACACATGGTACATACACACAAGGAACGCAGCAAGGCAAGCAGCATGGAGAAGGGCAGCAAGGTATGCAGCAAGCTGGTGGGCAGCACGGGGATGGGCAGCATGGCGGAGGGCAGCAAGACATGTTTGTTTTTTAGTTTTTCTGTTTAGTTCGCATCGGTTTTGCACTGGGAATTTTGTGGTGGAGTTGAGCCGAAAGTTTTTGATTTTTGTTAATTTGTTGGGAGGTTGTTAGGGCGACGGTTTAGGTAATTGTTCGGGGGTTGCTTGATGGGAAAGGCAGAAGAGCGTTGGTATGTTTTGCTGATGGTTTCCGAACATATCGAACTTGAATTCGACAGTCTTGGTGACTTCGAAATATCTCGGATTACATTTTCACTGAACATCAGTCATCAACTTGTGATGCACTCTGCAAGCAAATGCTTGAACCCTTTGAATTTAAATCCCTCGAAACATATACATTCGAAAAAATGTATTCGGAAAGTTGGATACTCAAAAAAATGTAGTTTAAACATAGCGTCTTCCTTATTATGAATAATTGATGATAACCTCAGAAATTCCATGCAGTGAAAGACATTTTTCTGATCGCCTTTTCCAACTATTCGAATACGAAAATGAACAACAATTTAAACTTGATTAGATCTTGATTCTGAAATAAATTCAGTCAAAATCTGTTTAGAACAATACAACAGGATCATCGCTGCAAGATGGCGCTGCATACTCAAGGAAAACTAAAAATCATCTATGCGTCATTTTGTACTGACATTTCTATAAAAATTACCATTTGTAACATAGTGATGTGTTGTTTTTTGTGTATAAAGTTCTTCGTTGATGTCTTCTTCTCACAATAAGTAATAGAATTGGAAGATACTTGATGAAAATCCATAACGTATTTTAGAATAATTTTATTTTGAAATTTTCACTAACCAGTTCACAGAACTGCAACACCTGTTTTACTATACAATAGCTGTATTAAACACGTTCACTATCAACAGCGGTGACCACAACTGTGATACGTGTTGTAGCTTTTTCATTACAAATTGATGTGAATGAAACAATGGTAAAAGCAAGACAGTAGCTAAATTTCTGCAAACTTTTTGTAAATTCATTATGTATAAACTGGTTAGAGGAAAGTATAAAGAAGCAGAATATAAGATTTTTTTTATTTCAGACTTGTCACTCGACAAATCCCTTATTTACTCAATAGCCATCGATCAAAATAGGAAAATAATGACGATAACCTCATTTTTGTTTTTTTTACAATATTATATTTTTGATCGCTTCAATTTCCCCAATGTCTAGTTATTGGTATTATTAAATTTATTACTATAACATATTTTCCGAGAGTGATAGATATAATACACTAATCTCGACAAATGTAACATGGAGTAACATGGAACGCAGATGTTCTAATACACCAAAAAAACGTAACCTCCAAGCCGACTGTTCAAAAACGTAGTTGGAAACAAATCTTGACATTCGCGTGAAACAAAACTATAAACAAATTTTTGTGTTCATCTTCACGGTCCATTTTGGTCTGTTGTTCAAATTTTAGTTCATTTTATGTTTGTGTGCGTCCAAATTCTATGTGTAAGATGGCCTGTGCGGAAGGAGCTTTATTGGGGAAGCTAAAAGCCTTAGTAAAGGAAATGGAGGGAGAGTGAGTATTTAAATTGCAACCACTGATCCTATAGCATTTCAGTTTTTGAAATTGATTCTAATTTGAATAAAGGCGGGAAAGCATTTTATCACAAACATAAAACGGAGTTTGACTTTATTTCGTCTCCTTATGCTACTCGTAGTAGCATATTCAATATTAGATTTCCTATACCTAACTCAACATTAATCAAGGATTCCATTTTTTATAATGGTGGAAAATTATTCAATCACTCACCAGTAGATATAAGGTATCCAAATCTGGACAACGTACAATTCAAGAAAGCAGTTAGAAATTTGCTAGCTGATAGACTCTATTATAGCTTGCAAGAGTATTTTAATGAATCATTTTAAAACCTGTATTCCATTTTATATTTATTTCTATTGTATTTGTACCTGTTTTATTCAAACCTTTATTAATTGCCAGTTTTTATCTATACACTATTAGTTATGCTTACATTTATATCTACAAATCTTTGTCGATGGGATACAAAATCTTCTGACAATGAAGTATATTTTGATTGATTGATTGATATCAACAAAGCATATTTACTGAATTTAAATAATGTAGTTCAGTGAATATTTATATACCTTGGATGTTACAAACGTATTACAAAAGTGGCAAATTCATTCTATTTCTGGAAAAAACCTATATAATTTCATAATACATCAAACTTTCACCTGGTATGCTTCAAAACATTACATTTATTTATCATATAACGTGGATTTAAAAATTAAGTCTGTCGCATGTCAAACCGTAGTTCAGACATAAAAGCGGCGTTGCCAGAGTGTGAAAACGATCAGTTTTAGAGTTTTCAAAACACCCATCATGAAGTCGTGGAAAATTGAAGATTATTCAAATGCATGGGTTTATTCTGGATATAATAGTACAAACCTATCCAGAATTTTCGAAATCTTCAACAATTCCAGATGAAATCCATTATGAAGTCTTTGTTTAAAATTATTTATTTATTCTCAACAAACTACTATAGTTTATACACGGGAGTATTTGAGTGAAGTAATTTGTTTGTAAAAATTTCGAAAATTAGTGATTTGTACACATTTCTATCGAATAATATAACTCGGAATATAAACCTTGAATAAACTATGGAATTTTTCAGACAATTTTAATGGTGCACAAGTCCGACCGAATTCTTTGAATTTGTTTCTACTTTTTTTTAATTTCCTTTCAGTCCCAGTTCCTGCCCGTGTCCTCCTGCCTGCGTCCCAATTCAACCGAACACAAAACCATTCGCCACCTGTTGTATGGTTTGCCCACCACCGATACTGGCGCCAACTACGCCGGAACCAGTTAAGCCTCTCCAATTACCTTGCCCAACAGATAATGGAAATCAACAGGTAAATTATTCTAACCACCCAAAATGTCAATGAGTTACAAACTACGTTATTTGCCTGTTCTGGACGGTATTATGAATGTTCAAAGTCTTTTATTCGATATTTGATTCATACGTATCCAAAACGTCTTAGTGAGAAAAAACCCACCCTGGATTGATGAAAACTTAATTGGTGAAATGAAAGAAAGACAAAAAGTATTCAAAAATTAAAAGAAACTGAATTGACAATAGCCTACAGGCAATATCTGAAAAAGCAGCGGAATTTATATTATCTGTTCCATCAGTTTTGGTCATTTATACAGAGTAAAAGAAAGTTCAAGAATTACATGACTGTTGTGTATGAATGAAAAAGAATATGAAAACACATCCAGTATTTCAAACTCCTTTGCAAAGTTTTTTAGTAGGTTATATTCCTCTCTCAACATCCACGAATACGTCAACTATAACTATTCAACATTTCAGAGAAGAAGAAATTTTGACAGGCCTGAAAAATCTGAAACCTAAGAACGCTAAAATCCCTGATTACGTTAACGATTGTGGTTATGTATTTATGGAATTACTTCAAATTTCAAATAACCGTTAACATAACAATGAAAACATACATATTTCCTTCCTTCACACTCCAAAATTAAAACTGGGGATACAAACCAAATTCAAAGTTACTGTCCATTTATATTTATAACATAATTTGCAAAAGTTTTCAAAATATCCATTCAGAACAATCTTTCCTAATGTTAAAAATAAAATACACCTTGAACAACATGGCTTTATAGCATAAAGATTTGATGTCACTAATCTCACAAAAGCTCTTCAGCAACAACAACAAACTAACCAAAAAATTATTGACTTTGTATTCACTATTGAAGTAGAAGCAGACAACTCGATTAATTTCTTGGAGTTCTCTCTCTCTCTATTTTGGATGGTCGTTGCTTCCTATCTTCAGGCGCATTTGACCAATGCTCCTCCTTTTTACGTTAGTGGCTGTTACATAACAAAAGCTTCGTCTCGGGACAAAGACTGTCTTGCAGTTTCCAAGTCTGTGTTCGAAATGAGGTCTACTGTTCTTGGAAATAAAACTATTGCCTTCTTCATAAAATAGTATTGTTGCGATCCCACTCCCACGTGGACATCCGGTCCACTCCGGCCTCCAACCGGCGTGAATGGAAGCAGGTATTATAAATATTTTACACAAACACAAACAATTTTTATTAACACTATTATTTTTACGATTGCTGGCTCGTTATAAAACGGCGGACATCACAACACAAACTGAATTCCGTCTCCAAAAATGGCGTCCGCGTACCTTCTTTGTGGACGGTCGCTATCGGCACGTCCTATACGGATATTACTATACATTACGATTCTACCCATCCATATCAACACAAGAAGCAGCTTATAATAGTATGATTCATAGATTAGTCAATCAGTCAATAGATAATTTCAATAAAGGACTTGATATCATCAAGCAAATTGCAGTAAACAACGGGTATGAAGCCGAAATAATAACCGAAATACTTTCCAAGAAAGTCTACGCAAAAGCGATTTGGGACGTTTTTCCTATTGATAAGTTAGATAATCAAAATTATAGAGCTTTAACGTATTTTGGACAATCAACAGAAAAAGTGGCTTCATTTTTGAGGAAACGAGATATTAAAATTGCATATAGAACAAGTAATACATTGGAAAAGTTAGTTGAAAATAATAACGATGAAACATCCAAATTCGAGAAATCGGGAGTATATAAATTAAAGTGTGGAACGTGCCCTAAGGTATATATTGGTCAAACTGGCAGAACATTCAGGAATCGAATCCAGGAACATCATACGAGCTATGTAAATAAGAAAACAAGTTCAACATATTCAAATCATCTTTTAGGAGAAAATCATATCTTTAACGGAGAGTTCGAAATTTTGAACATAGAAAATAAAGGTTTCAAACTGAATCATTTGGAAGCAATAGAAATTAATAAACTAGAAAATTCCAAAGTTCTAATGAATGACCAACTGGATTTGAATAGATCACCATTATTGAACTTGTTTTCTTAGACCGAGAAAGAATTATTATTGATGTAGAAGTGAGGTAATATGATTCAGGTGATCATAATTGAAGAGGTTTAGGTAATTTGTTGGAGGTAGTCTCAATTCTGGTTAACTGTAGTATACAGCGTGACTCACGGTCGATGGTAGGTTAGACGTTTCTGGAAAACGCAAAGCATGATTTTTCTGAAAATTTCACCTCTCACATTTCCTTACCTGTTCTATCGATCTAAAATATTTTCAGCATTGCGGCGTTGCCGCTTATACCAAAAAGTCCTAGCAATTATATTTTTTTTAAATGGAACACCCCGTATATTAATACATTTTTGGAATCGCTGTAGTATTTTAATACTTTTTTGTTAATAATGTCCTATACCTATCTCTATCTGTTTTCGGGATAAAAAATAAATTGTGCTAAATATGGTCCAAAACATAGCCTTAATTGAAATTAAGTACATCAGTACTCTCAATTCATGAAAAGTTGATATTTTTATGATAGTTTGGACAAACTCGAAATTTTCAAATAACACTAGGAAATCGACTCCATATCATACAGGGGGGGCTAAAATTACTATTATTTCCATTGTGCATAAAAGTAGTCGAAAGTTCATTTTTTCAAATGACACACCCTGTATATTACTCGATAAATTGAAAGATGGTGAAAAATGCTTCAAGATGATATACATGTTCCTATACCTAAATCGTCAAGTTTTCTTAATGAAGCCGTTTTTGTGGAAAAATAGTTATTCACGTTTTACCTACAAGTGTTGAAAGTGGCATTTTATTTTGTGAGTGGAGATTATTGCAAAACGAGCGTCAGCAAGTGTAGCAAACTCACGAGCAAAATAAAATCACTTTTAACAAATGTATCATACACATTTTTTTGTATAACGTTACTGCTGATATAAAAAAAATTATAGGGTCCATGGGATTTGAACACACGATCTTTGGAAACTACATACGCCAACTCACGTTATTTTAACGAGGATTATTGGTTAGTCATGAAGGACTTTCTACAGTTGGACTGAATACTACTTCGTCATCGTCAGTAACTTCACAGGGATTTAATATTACCAATAGCACGAACTGCATGTGTGAACTTTTCAACTGTGTTAGCGAAACATGTCGTGATATATTTTTCAAAATATAGTTTGTGGAGATCAAATCATGACATGTAGTTTTAATTTATTTCATTTCTCAACCACGACCCTTACCGAAAATCGTTGTAACTACAGCCTTCCGCTTGGCCTCTTCAAAAATATACAGGATGTTGACTACCAGTGATGGTAATGAGTGATATATTTTCAAGTCAATTTTCAAGCGCCTGGCTCGTTTCAGGCTGTTTTTTTTTTCAGATGGTGTACGAATTATAAATATATTTTTTTTTAGAACGTAATGTCGGATGAGGAAGCAGAGCGGACACGATACGCCAACTTTTACAACAATTACAATATAGATTGGCATCCAGACGGAGCTTGCGCCGAAAACCAGGGTCCTTACGATCCTCGCAAGGACAAATGCAAGGGTGTCACTTCTGACGGAAAGAATCCATGCTGCGAAGATTACAGAAGGTAGGATAGCATAGTCATATATAGGGTCATCTTTTATTAAGCGTTTCCGATCTTTAAATGCAAATAAAACAAAGTGTCTGTGAGATATCATCGAAATTTTTCATTTGTTTTGAAGACATATTGATGCCGTGCCATGTGGAATGAGATTTGTGGCACTCAGTTCCATCCTGTTGAAACCACATGTCGTTGGGGTCCAGCCCAAACTCCACACCAAACAGTGACTTGTCCGGGATGCATTGGACTCTCTTGGATCTCATGTAGATTGATATCGTCACAAATTCAACAATTTTATATCCACACATCCAGAAATGGGCCTCATAGCTCATAGCTGAAGATGATTTTTGATAAAAATTAGGGTCAGTTTTGCCTGTTGTCTGTAGTCGTTTACCTTCAGTTCCTGGGTCAGTTAACAGAAGACTTAACAGTTTGTCTCTAGTCTGGATTCCTAGCCATACTGGCCTGGAAGGGAATGAGGATGGTGACTCCTTTGCAAAGGACTGTGCTGCAAGCAGCTTCATTGGACCAGAACCTGTCATTGGGATCGCTTTAGGTTTTGCCAAACTAAGATTGAACACCTGGATGGCAAGAAGATTTGTGGACTTCTGGCAGAATCTTCCAAGATTGGCTCCAAGGCGATTATTCACCCTACGAAGCTTGATACCGAACAGTTGTTGGACTACAGTAGGGATGAACTACGATATCCAACAGTCCCCTTACAGGTCACTGTCATTGGAATCATCATATGCAGAAACTCGGACTGTCGGAAGACAGTGTGTGTAGACTCTGTCTGGAAAATGATGGAACAGCAGAGCACATAATTTGTGCCTGCCTGCTGGGTACCGAATTAGGTTTTTAGAGTTCGCAGAGCCGTACTCTTACCATCTTTCCAGAAAGACCACTTACCATACAAATTAATCGGCTTCGTTAAGAAGCTGGGTTTTTTTTTGGTCCCTTGGGAGCTGTCTGACTTGTCCATTTAGTCCAAGTCTCTAGAAAACACTGCAGCCTCTTGGGCTTATTGCGTTTATTCTTCCATCTTCTCATGACACCCAGTCACCCCATCACCCAGTCCCTGTAATAGTTTGTACAGGTTCTGTGTTGGATGTTCGTCATATTCTTCTGGAAGTAATTTTGTACGTCCATATATTGCCTGCCTCCTGTAATTCAGTGCCTCACATTCGCATAAGATGTGTAGAGCTGTTTATATCCCTTCGTTGCATAATCTGCAGCTGAGGTCTGCGTTGTACATCCCCATTTCATTCAGGAGTCGGACAATGACCGGTTAGCAACCCTATAATTATTCTGAGCCGATCCCTACTACATTGAAGTAGTTCTTCGGTTCTTTTCTCGGACGGTTCCCTAATGAAGGTTCTACTCTGTTTGTTGCCAGGTACTTTTGTCCAGTACTTCATGTGCTTCTCATTGGTCCATGTTCTAATCTGGTTTCGCTGCGCTGCGTTGATGATCTGCGTCTAGGGCATTCATCAGCTTTATCATTACCTGTGGTTCCTGAATGCCCTGGCACCCAGTACAAAGTTAATTTGTTTCTGTTTGCAAGTTTATTCAGTTCCTCATGACATTCCCAGACCAGTTTTGATGCCTGGAGAATCCTAAGATGCATTTGAATACATAGTAGGGTTATCCCTATAGGGCTGAAGATGAAGCCAACGATATTTTCGAGAAATACTGTTGGGAGCCTAAATTTTATAAATATTCTAGCGGATTGCAGATCAGTACTTTTTCAGAAAAATGTTTGCTATGAAAAATCAAAATTAGGAATGAAGAGTGACTGATTTTTACTTGATATCATGATTTTTTAAGCTTTGAAGTCGCTGGCTTGCAATTCGTTGGAAATCTTCCCATATTGCACCCCCTAATATTATTTTCCTGTAATATTAGTGGCCCTATCGCTTCTTGCCTAGAGTGTATATCACTTGTTTCTACCTCACGATGTTCAAGTGATATCTATCGTGAATTTTTTGGTATGCTATGTCAGTTGGAACGGATTTTTGTTGTGGGAACTGGGAAACACTGTGTGAAAAACGTGTAAGAGTGTTTTGGGTGATATGAGGAAACTTAGGAATGTAGCTTCATGCTGTTTAATTTGGTCGAATACTATAGACTGCGAGCCAATGATGAGTTTTCAGAGGGTCATTTGATACTTCTTGAAAATGTATGATTTTATAGTCCTGAAATATAAAATGAGTGTCAGCCTTATAACGTCAGTTGTAGATGGTGCACGTGATAATTTTGGAAACCCAAGTGTGGGAGTAACTTGCTGAAAGTTCTTGCCGATCCCTACTACATTGAAGTAGTTCTTCGGTTCTTTTCTCGGGCGGTTCCCTAATGAAGGTTCTACTGTTTGTTGCCAGGTACCTTTGTCCAGTACTCTATGTGCTTCTTATTGGTCCATGCCCTAATCTGGTTTCGTACCAATGATTTTGGTACCCCCAGAGCTGGTTCAGGACCTAATATGAAGTTGATGATCCGCGTCTAGCGCATTCATCAGCTTTATCATTACCTGTGGTTCCTGAACGCCCTGGCACCCATGAATAACCTGGCACCCAATACCAAGTCAATTTGTTCCTGTTTGCAAGTTCATTCAGTTCTTCATGGCATTCCCAGACCAGTTTTGATGTCATCTTCGGGTTAGTCAGATCCCCTAGTGCGCTCTTGCTGTCTGTTAAAAAATTGATCCGCTCATTTCATTGAGGTCTCAATTTAATAAGCCTTGCACACTGCAAGATGTGACAGCTGACAGTGCTTCCGACCACGTGATTCAAAATGGCCGACCTGCTGGCGGAGCTTAATTGGCAAGGGTGTAACAAATGGGCGGAGTATGGCTTCGATAGGTAACTGGGGGAGTTGATGGATCCGTGACTGGTTGACCATGTGCGGAAGGGGCGGGGCTTCACACTGATTACCTGTTGCGGTCAAGGGGTGCTTGATTCTGATTTGCTGAGGGGGCAGGGGATGAAAAAAGTGGAGGGGGTGCTTGATTCTGATTGGCTGAGTGGGCGGGGCTAAAAAAGTGGAGGGGGTGCTCGATTCCGATTGGCTGAGGGGGCGGGGCTAAAAAAGTGGAGGGGGTGCTTGATTCTGATTGGCTGAGGGGGCGGGGCTAAAAAAAGTGGAGGGGCTGGTCTATAGTGACTCTATCCGCTTGAAAGACGGATGTGTATAGCCCTAGCGGATAAGAAGCTAGGACTATAAGTGAATAGGCGTGATCCACAATAAACCCTTGCGGGTTGCGGTGGAGGGTCGAGTAGACCCACTCACTTTGGACCTAACCTAACACTCTCTCAGACAGTGCCAATGTTTTCGGCAGATCTCGCGTTTAGTCGACGAACGGATTTTGGTCAATCTTTTACTGAACCAGTCTTTAAATGAATGTTTGAAATGCATCTTTTTCAACGATTAATTACGATTTGCAGAACGAAGAAGCAGTGTCAGGACAAAGGATGCCCCACCGGTTTCAAACCCTGCACTATGAAGCTCTCCCCTCCGCCGAATTGCCACCCCTGCGGAGTGTGGTGTGCGGAAGTTCAGCCATGTCCCCCGAAGTCTAAGAAAAAGGTTAGTAAATCTTGTTCGGGGATAAAGTACAGTACTAGAATGATTGCACTTGAAATTGCTCCGTGTATTTTCGGTGATTCCGCAAGGATCAATGTTGGGACCTTCGATGTTTCTCATATATAACAGTCCGGTTTCAGAGTACAGCAATTTGAAATATATTCCGATATCGAACACGGCTGGGCTAATTGAAAAACTCGGTTGTTGCGTCTTCTGAGAAAAAAAAAGGATAAATAGGTGTAAAATAATTGAAATCTGGTTAGCAATGAAGTATCCTTGATTCTGGAAATACAGAAGAACATTATCTGATGCTTTCAAATATCAGATCATAACTGCAATTGTAGCAATATATTCAAATTAATATTATTTTTGATGATGCTGGGAGAAAATAAAAAGTAATAACATTTTGCAATAAATTAATATACGGAAAATATAAAGGAATACAGGAATTACATTATTTTATTTTTGTGTCAATATTGGTATTTTATAAGGTAACTCGAATACATTTTATTAAATAAAGTGACGTCATTCATGAATAGTCCAATTGAGCTAATATAAAGTTATATAGTACAATTCCATAATAGTAGACACTGAATTTTCAGAAATATTGTTACATTAAAGCGAAAAAATTGATGTCAAGGTTGTGATTCTACATATTTTATCATCATTTTTCCTCATCTGTTCAGTATAATTTCTGTACGCCACTACAAGAGACCGATTAAGGCAAAACCGTCAGACATTTTTGGAATTTGTTTGGAGGCGATTGACAATGTTTCATGAATTTCATTCCATTGTCTGATATTATATAAAATGACTTGAAATCCCTGAAAGAACTAAAGAAGAATAAAAAAAATTAAAGAAGAATAAAAAAGAATAGCTGAGAAAAAAACAATTATATCAAGCAAAAACGTGAAATGAAATAATAGTGGAATAAAATACAGGTAAAAATGGAACAAATTGAACAAAAAACGAATAAAATAAAATTTTATTTGAACGAAGTTGAACAAAAAATAAATAAAATAAAATTTTATTTGAACGAAGTTGAACAAAAAATAAATAAAATAAAAATTTATTTCATAATAAATAGAATCAAACTTTATTTATTTTTTGTTCAATTTGTTATAATATCAGACAATGGAAGTCCGAACTAATGAAATTAATTTCTGGAATTATATTGTAACAAATTTCATCTATTATGAAATTATTTTTCCATCTGAACGAAGTACCATTTGTAGATAATTCTTTGAGATAACGTTGTGCTGTTTATTTTCAAATTTATTTTTCCGAGACATTATTGCATTTTATGTTGTGGGAAAATACAATGTATGCTAACTCAAACTTATCAAGAAAATAAACTTATATACCACACATATCTATAAGTTTCCGAAACCGACCGAAAAATCAACCAGACATTGGGCAATGTTCGACGTTGGTTTGCGAAATATCGTTCCGGAGTTTTTAGCCTCGAACATGAACCCGGAAGTGGTCGACCTACAGTAATCCAGGACGGGAATTTGAGGGACCGACCCAGCACAAACCGGTAGACGGCTCCCATTATGTTTTTGATGGTTGGACGCCGATGAGCCACTAATAACTTCATTTCACTTCAAATATAACAAACACTTCAACTAAAACTTCAACTATTATACCAATGTCTATCGCTTTACTAGATCGCCTCGAGTACCTCACTGTAACTTCCATTGTGTCGATATGCACGTGGCTAGCGTTTTTATATCGTAATCGTATGCGCTAGAAAATTTCGCCGGAGTTCCATCGAAATCGCTAGCATTATTCTCGCTGCTTCTAGAGCAGCAGCAAACATCGTACATTCGCGCGCTCTTGGCTACGTCACGATTGGTTTATGGCTACCAGTGGCGGCCGGTTTGATTTTCTTTAAGGCTAGATTTACAACAATACTTAAGGAAAACAAAACTTTTTCAGCGTTTGATATGAGAGATACTCAGTACAGTTCATGAGTTTCAGGTTGTAGTTTGATCCATTAAGAGTAAATAAGAGATTTAATCTGAAAAAAATACTATATATGTCAGTCAGAATCTTCATTCAAGGTAAAGAATATCTAAACCACGAAATTTAATAATAAACTGCTGTAGATTTGACACTTTGTCTTTGGAATATCCTGTAATACTTGTGTATTTATCCATGAACTTTTGGGGTCTATCCAAAGATAGACCCCAACTATTTTTTTTCGTTGTTAGAAACAACAGAAAATACAATGTTTTATCCTAAATATATCAATTTCAAACATAATAAACACATTTCTCCAATTCCCAAACCGTAGCGAATTCAAATAACATGGTTTTCTTTCAATATTAGTTTCTACTAAAACTATCGATGATGTTTATTGCTTAAATTCAAATTTATACACGCAGACGGGCATGGGCCTCACAATGGATCCTTGGGGTACTCCTAGGATAAAGCGCAACATTCTTTTACTCTACTTTGTTTCCAGAACGCAAAATACGAACCCGGCAAATGCACCAGACCTTGCTGCAAGCACTGGGAGCCGAAAGACGGAGAATGCAAATACGACGATCCCTGCAAAGCGGATTGTTTCAACCATCCGCCGGGGATGAAGCCCAAAAAGGTCCACTGACGTCTCAACGATACCCTTTTCTTTTTCAGAAGCAACCGAAGAATTGTTAGGACATTTGGCTACTAAGGTGACGATCTGTGATAACTTTAAGTTGTAAAAATCGCTCAGGATCGGAAAACGCTATCGGGTGTACAGGGTGTCACAAAAAGTATGAGATGGATGTAGTACTGTAGTCTGTTTGGATATTGACAAGAGAATCATATCTAATTTCTGTGTTTTGCATTAAGAGGTTTACTATCCTTTGTCAATACTCAAACACAACGAAAATATAACTCGGGATTGCTGATTGGATTTCACTTTGTCATAAGAAGTAACTCATTGGTCAATTTATTAACTTTGGTACTGAAACAAAAGAAAAAGCTCTCAACCTTTAAAAAAAGAATAAAAAAATACAGTGTGTAAATGTTCTCATGGAAATCTCCCTGTATCTCACCTTGAATAGGATTCTAGAAAATTCGGGATGCCTGAAGAATTCTAAGATGCATTTAAATACATAGTAGGGTTATCCCTATAGGGCTGAAGATGAAGCCAACGATATTTTCGAGAAATACTGTTGGGAGCCTAAATTTTACAAACATTCTAGCGGATTGCAGATCAGTACTTTTTCAGAAAAATGTTTGCTATGAAAAATCAAAATGAGGAATGAAGAGTGACTGATTTTTACTTGATATCTTGATTTTTTAAGCTTTAAAGTCGCTGGATTGCAATTCGTTGGAAATCTTCCCATATTGTACCTCCCAATATTATTTTCCTGTAATATTAGTGGCCCTATCGCTTCTTGCCTAGAGTGTATATCACTTATTTCTACCTCACGATGTACAAGTGATATATATCGTGAATTTTTTGGAATGCTATGCCAGTTGGAACGGATTTTTCTTGTGGGAACTAGGAAACACTGTATGAAAAACATGTAAGAATGTTTTGGGTGATATGAGGAAACTTAGGAATGTAGCTTCATGCTGTTTAATTTGGTCGAATACTATAGACTGCGAGCCAATGATGAGTTTTCAGAGAGTCATGTGATAACTCTTGAACATGTATAATTTTTATAGTCCTTAAGTATAAAATGAGTGTCAGCCTTATGACGTCAGTTGTACCTGATGCACGTGAGAATTTTGAAAAAGGGAAAAAATAACCCAAGTGTGGAAGTAATTCGAACTACTTTAATAAATTTAGATAATAATAATTACAAATTGGATTTTTTCAAAGTAAACGTCGTACAAAAAAGTGGGATAGTCAAACGGGAATAATTTTCATTTTCGGAAAAATAACCTCTACTTGCAAAGGTGATGAGTTCCTGTAGGGTTTCCGCGAAATTCGTTTTTTATATAAAAAACCGTCATTTATTTAGTCATGCCTTACAAATTAGTAGCTTTATGGGATGGAAAGCGTAAAATCAACCATGAATATTGATCCTAGAGGATCCCCGAACTTATACGGCAGGACAAAATGAACGATCGTTTTCTATGTAAAATAACTAATTTCACACAAACCGTACAGAAATTTAGCACCTTTTATAGTGGCCACTTTTCTGGAAATGAAAATTTCTTATAATTTCTAACCCCCTTTTTTTGCATAACCCCCAGTTGTAATTAATATCTGAATTTATAAAAGCCGTACGAGAATTTTTGGCAAATTAGCCCCCCCAATTATTGTTTTATCTTCACGTGCCCCACCTTCAAAGGCTGAAGGCTAAAACCTATTTTCCACTCCAGGGGGCCTTATTTTCAGAAAAAGTTAAACTCTCACATCGGGAAAAAATAAGATGTCTCTGTTTTGAAAATAAATTTGAATGAAAAAATTGAGACGTTCCATTTTTCAGTTGATGTGACATTTCAACTTTTATTGAAAATAAGGCCCCAGGGTTATAAAAATCATACATTTTTGATCTCCTTAAAATTTTTGATGGGTTTCCGGTCTACTAGCAGAGTAGAACATACACCAGCTAATAGGAAAATATATTGGCATTTTATAAATTCTTTCTAATTTGTGGGAATAAAATGTGACTTTTTGTTCTATTAGAATTGCAACAAACACTTTTAGTTGATCAGTTTTCCAACCCTGACTATTTTTAATTTGGTTTGGTCAGGCGAGTGTTAAGTTCTTATACATTTCTAAAAACTTTTCTTCCCAACATCATCAATATATTGAAGAAATGGATGTTTTTTAGGGTTTCTAGAATTTTTATGGGCATTCACACAAATAATAATAAATGAATTCAGATCAACAGAGAATCTGCGCAAGTGTAATAAATCATTACATAACCTAACCTAACATTTAGACACTAAAGAAGTCTACCGCCCTCCATCTACAAAACATGTCTGATGCTTTTTTCAAGTCTTCGTTTCTGAAAAATTTGTCATTTATCATTCATTCATATAAAAATTGGAATATTTCGGGAAATATAAAATGTATGATAAAATAAGTAACTGTTTATTTTTTATTACGAATTTCTTCACCTAAAGCGCATTTTCCCTAGATATGTATATGTATGAAGTAACTGTTGAAAACTCTCTGAAACTATCAAATTTGCTTATTCGATAAAAGTTGTCTCTCTCAATCAGTTTGACTCTCAATTCATAATAAGGATAATCATTTTTTTTTCTAACATTACCACAGCTTTAAAGTAGTAGAGCCAGTTTTACACATGATTTCTTCTATGAACCTAATCTTCAATATTACCAAAAAGAAGTTGTTCCTCAATTGGTTTCAAGCCATTATTCTACAATTGAAAAATAACATTCATATATTTCAAATTTTCATGAATATTATACTTTCTGTTACTGATCATTATCAATTAGAATATTGAGACAAATCTCATCACGATAATAGAGGAACATTTCAAATGAGTGACCTTATTATCCCTGAGGATAGATCGAAACCAACTCAAAAACGATTTTTCTTGTAGGATAATATTATGGATTAGGTTTATGAGAAAAAACGTGTATCTGGTGACGCTGAAGAAATGCATGCACATATTTTTGATGAAAAAACCGACGTGTTCGAGGTGCCAGAAAAGAAGAAAATGCATAAAGTCCCTATTAATCCATAAGTCTCCCCGTATTTTAGTAATTCATTTGAAGAGATTCTCTTCGGCGGAAAAAGACATATTAAATGTCACCATTGAATTTCCTCTAGAAGGACTATGCAGTAGACAATGTGGCTCTTTGTCGTTATACGTTATATGCACTTTCGCATCACTGTGGGACTACTTACGCAGCAGACTGTGTGGCACGAATATAACGATTCACGCGTGTATCCAATTCTACCAAAATCGCCTGTGAGTTGAGAGGCATGCCATCAAATTTTCTCTAGAAGGATTAGATATGAACAATTGCGCAGCTGACAATGTGGCTCCTTGTTGTTATGATCTGTATGCATTTTTGAGTCACAATGGGACTACTTACAGCGGGCATTACACAGCATACTGTGTGGCACGAATACAACGATTCCCTAGAAGGATTAGATATGAACAATGTCGCAGCTGACAATGTGGCTCCTTGTTGTTATAATATATATGCAATTTCGAGTCACAATGGGATTACTTACAGCGGGCATTACACAGCATACTGTGTGGCACGAATACAACGATTCCCTGGAAGGATTAGATATGAACAATTGCGCAGCTGACAATGTGGCTCCTTGTCGTTATAATCTATATGCACTTTCGAATCACAGTGGGACTACTTATAACGGGCATTATACAGCATATTGCAGACACTCTTATAGTGGCATGTGGCATGAATACAACGATTCACACGTGTCCCCAATTTCACCAAAATCGCTTGTGTGTGAGAAGGCATACGTCCTCTTTTATGAACAGAAGGGAACAAGCAGCTTTTATGAGGTGTTTTTTTCCTTTTTCTCTTTTCTTAAACTAAATTCTGTTAATTGATTTGTATTCCATATTTCAAATTTGTATAAAATAATTTTTTTGTTCTTTAATTGATGTATAGTTCAAAATAAAGATACTATAACATATTTAGTTAACGTTTCAAAGTTAAGTTGACATTTCAAAGCGGTGACTTTTGAACGAAGAGGATGCAAAAAATGTTCGAGATATTCCATTATTTATTACATGTATGAATTTTACGATTTGAATGCCAAATTTTGAGAAACGTTGAATGAAAAAGAAGCAAAAGAAACTTGTTTGCAGAATATTCAAAAATAAATGTAATAGATCATTTTATCGTACTATTGATAGATCGGGACGTACATTTTAATTTTGACAACAAGTTAAAAAAATAAAAATAACCCAAAGAGAAAAGTTCCTCTTGAACAAATTTTTGAAGAAAACTGACACCTTTCCTGTTTCCAAGAACTGATTTTCTTTTAAAAATTGTATCCAATAAAACATTTTGCGTTTACTTTTGACAGACGTCACTAATCTGTCAAACCGAGGTTTGAAAAGATGCAATAAAAATAATTTCGAAGAAAAGGTCAGGTTTACAACTTTGCAAAACGTCAATATTTTTTATTATGAAAGCTAAATGAGGCAATAACATTTTAAGGCGACCATCGATGAGGTAGACAACAGATCTGCTTGAAGCAGACAGTCAACAAAATTATAGAAGGGGGTGAAAATTCAGGCTCAAGTTCCAAAAATGCTGTGGATAATAAGGATAGGTAGGTTTTAGAGAAAAATGAAATGTCAACTTCTACAAAGCAGACAAAGAGCGTTTTATGCTCTAGTTATGTGGTAAATTCAGTCAGAAAAATACATCAGTGGTGTTTGAAAACACATCAGACCAGTAATACATTCTTCAGTCAAAACTCAAGGGTTTAATGGGTTAAAAAATATTGGCAACACCTGTTTCATGAACAGTGTAATCCAATGTTTATCAAACACAAGATGGAGTTGGCGATTTCAGCAAAAAACCTTTGGGTATGATGTTGTTGTCTCTAGCTCTGCACAAGAAGCTGATGCGAGTTTCTTCTTTGGTAAGCTTGACCAAAGTCTATGGTCAAGAAACTCACCTCAGCTTCTTGTGCAGAGCTAGTGACAACAACATCATACCCAAAGGTTTTTTACTGAGACGAGCGGGATTATTCAAAAAATAATGACTTCATGAGAGTTGTCCCTTGATTCATGGATTAACTACAACAAAACGCCCAGGAGTTCCTCCGATATCTTTTGGAAGGTTTACAAGCCAATAAGATCACCGAGAGTTTTAAACCAATCTTGATTGAAATCGACGATAAATTGAGCGACAACTCATTAGTTTGTAGACAGTTTTGTTTGTTGACGTGCATAATCCGTGGACCTCCAAACCATTTTGGGATTTGTCTTTTTCCATACCACAAAGAACTGGTCAACTAAGATTGTTATGCTTGAATTCTTTCACAAGAGAAGAAACTCTGGATGGAGACGAAAAATCGACGTGTTCCCGAATTTTAGTAATACCTTTGAAAATATTTTCTTCAACAAAAAGATTCAGAGGTAAATTAAATGTTGCCATTAACTTTTCTCTGATATATTTAGACATTGAATATGCAGCTCCTTGTCTTTAAACTCTTTATAGAATCACAGAGGATCAACGATTTAGAGAAATACTCTGTATGTTGAGTTAGGTTTTGAATTTAATTCAATTGTCGATTTTCAGCAGCAAAAGATATCACACTGGATGTTCTTGTTCTGAAAAAATGTCAATATATTTTCTCTAGTTTGCCAATATCATTATTTTTTTAATTAATATAGATGATGTTATGGAGATCAAATGTATATCAATTATTCCATGTAACTGAACTTTTTCATAAAGATGGTTAGTTAGGATTTTAACTTATAAAAATAATGACAAAGAAATGTTTAAAAAAAAATTGAAGACATAAACTGTAGTGATTTTTTTTGTCCTGAAATGTTAACCTCGCATTTAGAGTTAATAATGTTTTGTTTTTAATGACTTGTGTAATATAAACCATACTGATTAGTATATCCGAATAAGTCTCAACGTGGACGAAACGTTGACATGAATTACAATGATACACCATAGAAAAACCGCCAAAATGATGGTCTATGAAAGTAAAGGTGAAATTCTCTATTGAGGATGGAGTTGCCTTTTTTCTTTATATTTCCTCATCATTCAATGAAAGTTATCAGAAAAGATCCCGACATTTTCTAAAAAAATTTTTCCATTGAGTTTTGTAACTTGAAAACTGTTTACTTTTGTCTGTATACTTATTGAGACACTCTGTACACAGCTTTACAGGATGTCCCATATTATCGTGAACTTTGTGATGCTTTATTATAATTTCACTTTGAGGCTTTGTATACGTATATAGCTTGTGAAGGATTTCGTGGTTTGTGTGGACTGTATTTTACACGTGAGTTGTTATATATCGAAAATAATATTGAACGCACTATTCGAAGGACCTCCTGTAACTTGAACGATATGCTCATATTTCTGAGTTGGATAAAGCTAATCTGGGAACTCCAAATATCTATAAATACAAAGGAAATATTTTCCATTAGGCAATCGGCCATCGTTAGTTGTATAACAATGTGCAAAGTGTCAACTTTTAAAAAATATCGGTTCTCGAAATACAGGGCTCTCGAGAATGAAATGTCATTACGGTACATTTTGATGAGACTGCATCAACGAAAAAAAACCTGGGTTAAAACGCGTTTATATAAATATTTATTTTTCAAGGAACTTCTTGATCGCCCTGTATAGAAGCATGTACGAAAACTTCGATAATTTCCTAAACTACATGTTCAATATTTGTTTTTTGGGTTGGGACAAGGACACACAATCCGAGGTGTTCTAAATGACATTATTTCACACAAATTGGTTATAGAACTTTTGTCTTTTGGGCCGTAAGGCGAGCAAAGGCCATAAAAAAGAGAAGAAGAAGAAGGAGGATATAGTACTAATTTTTTAATTATTTGAGGTATGTTTCTGTTATTGGTTGCTTCTAACTCCAACAACGTATATTTTTCTGAAGTCCCATCTTCTTTACGATTTGAACTTTTATAATTTTCCACTTGAGGTCCACTTCATTTTGTGACAGGTTGATCTGTGAGAATCCTAACCTCGAATTTTCAAATCAATATTAGATTTATGATTGATATATTTTGAAGTTCTGTCAATTTTTCAATAAACGGAGAGTTGAAACATTAGGGGTTTATAGGTAACAGAGTTTAATTTTTTTTATTTTTCCATAATCTTCGTAAGGGAGAGAATTCAAAAATCTTTCATATGAGATTTCACACTATTAGAATAGTGACCATCTGAAAAATAATAATGTAAAAGAGGAAACAGTGCCCCATTCCATAAGGACCATTTAAATTGTATTTATGAAAGTATATACCATGAAGTAATAATCGTTTCTCAGATGGATATTTGAAAGAATTTTCATATTACACTGGAGTTATATCAGTGGTCCAATCTTATGAAAATTCAGAAAGGAAAAAGATGGTTGAAGGAAAAGAGGGATAATGCACCATTCCTACCCATCTGGAAGACATTCCACTTCTTCGCTAAACTAGAACAAGAATAAATATGCTTGGAAGTGTTAGGAATAATGAATTCAAAGTGAAGCAGAACGTTGTCTAAGATTTGGTGCACTGTTTCACTAATATTTAATGACATCTCACTGGGAAGACAATTCGGTCAAGTAAAAAATAGAAATTCCATTCAAATGAGGTGGGGTATGACATAAGTAGAGAATCAAAGGTTTTCTCGAGTGAAAAAATGACACAATGAAAAATTAACAATAACAACAAGGGAATTTTATAACACTAGTGGAACAATGCGCTATTATCTAGAAGTTTGACATATAAAAGGGTAAATAGTGTACTATTCCACTAGTGCCAAGCTTCACCTCATTTAAAAGGTATTTATACTGATTTATTGGTATTGATTTACATGTATTTATATTGATTTACAATTGGAGTTGTAACTGATGTTACAGTTTTTTTTCAAATGAAAAAAATTTCAAGACAGAATTTATTTGACACTATTGGAATAGTGTGCTGTCTTCTAAAAAATAGGAGCGAATTGGTGCATTTTCTGTTGGAAAATGTATAAAGGAGAATGTAGTATTGCACCGGAACAGAACACTATTCCACGTAGAACACTAGGGCTGAGCACTATTCCACTAGGAGCAGATGAAATATCGTTTGAAAGATTTTGTTAACTAAGATTTTTCGAAATAATTGATATTTTTACGTTGGAAGAATTGAAATTGCCCCCAGATATTTTTCATGTAACACTAGCTGATAAAAACAGCCTAAATCTTTCTTCCGGTGATTGACGAACAAATAAGTGATAGTGAAATAGTCCAAGAGTTCTGGTTGGGATATTTTAAGATGGACAACTCCAGAATTGTTTCAACTGAGATGTTCAGACAGCGAAGAAAAAAGGGCGTTGAATCTTCTTTTGAACTCCTGAATTTTTGTATAGAGAAAAAAAAAGAAGTGATTGGTTGCTATGAGCTGTGGGTATTATTATTGAATCATTGGAGGAACAATTATCCTCTTGAAGTTGAAGAAGTCTCAAAAATATAGATTCACTGAGAGAATTGCCGAATTGAATGGTTCAAAGCAGGCGATCAAACTGTTGACTGAACACAATTCTCAATCGAAAGGTTCTATTGATTTCATCTTAAACGATAATTATGCAGAGACGTCATTTGATTTGAAATTTAATTCCAAAATTGAATCTTCGAAGATAATTCTGTGTTGCTTTATAATTTTATTTAAGACAAATATTTGTACTTTGAATAGTTACAGTCCAACTAATTTCTCTATATAAATTTCGATTCCATTTTGTAGTTGATTTGGTAAGGGAGAATCGTTTTGTTGATTGATTTTTGTGAAGTTGTTCCGATTCAAAAATCAGGCCAAGAAGTGAGAATGCTCAATTTTAGTGAGGCTCAATATTTCATTTAGGATATGTTTCAAATATTTTGTATGCTTACTTTGTAATTTAAGCCAAGTACTGCAGTAGTTCTCAATAATTTAAATACATGTATGCAATAAAATTTGGTGATAATTTTGTCTAAGTTACTTGTATATAATTAATTTTTAGTGTAGTAGTTAAGCTTTGTAGAATACTTTTAGGCTTTTAATTTTTCATGCTTTCATCCACTCTTAGAAAAATAGGTCAAGGGAAATGTATATACAGGATATTTTGGAAAACCTGATCGAATCGGAATTTTTAATTTTTCTTGTAAATACCAATTTGAAACACGTTTCTTTTTAATCATTTGTTTACTAGTGAAGGATACTTTAGATTTCTTTTAGTTTGTATGAATAGAACCTGTGTGTTCTGAAATTGATGACAAATATCAGCCCCTCGATGTGTTTGAATCATTCAATTCGGTTTCCAATTTGTTTAGTATTTTTCGATATAAACGAAAAACTGACGTGTTTGAAGTGCGATTAAAAAATGGAATGCAGAACATTCCTGAGTTTCCCCAAAGAGATTTTTCGTGAGAGACAGAATTGAAGCCAATTTGAATGTTGGCATCGATTTTCCTCTGGCAAACGAGTAATTATGTCATTATAATCTCTATGAATTGTCGAATCACATCAGCATGTGGCATGAATTCGATTCACGTGTGTCATAATTTCACCAAAATACCTCCATAGTGAAAAGGCAAATGAGGGAAATAAATTTAATATATAAAAATGTATTTGAGAGCGCAGAAGGGCAATTTATTTTGTTTGTTTTTTGGAAATTACGACTTTGAAACTCAAAATTTTAACAATCTGGAAAATTCAACTTTAATCTCAAAATTACTACTTTGGATTTCGACTTTATTCTCGAAATTTCGGCATCAATCTCGAAATTTCGGCATTAATCTCGAAATTTCGACTATAATCTGGTAATAAACACTTTAATCTTATAATTTCGGCTTCAAACTCTAAATTTCGATTTTTAAATTTCGATATCAAAGTCGAAATTTTGATATTATAGCCGAAATTTCGAGGTACCAGTCGAATGTTCCAAATTGAAGTCGAAATTCAAACTTCAAAGTCGAAATTAAAAGTTCAAAGTCGAAATTCAAACTTCAAAGTCGAAATTCAAACTTCAAAGTCGAAACTCAAACTTCAAAGTCGAAATTTCCAGATTGAAGTCGGATTTTGGAATTCATAGTTGCAATTTCGAGATTTAAGTCGAAGTTTTGGAATCAAAATCGAAATTGCAAGAATAATTTCAATATGAGATGAATATAGAAATATCGAGGTTTAAAATCGAAATACTACATGATCTTCTAAGGAATTATAAGTAAAAAAAAGGTGAATTATGCACTTTTTCACTAATGTACTTGAAAAGTGGGAAATAGATTTGAAAATTCGGAAATTGTTATTGATATGACCCTCACCTCCCAAAAACTTACAGACACTATTCTACTAGTGTGAAAATTTTCAAATCTCTCTCAATTGATAGGCTTTTTGAAATTCAACTGTTCATGTCAAATCAATTTAAAATTTTAATCAGACTAGTAATTAGGTTTTATGTTTTATTCTTACATAGATTTATAAAAATAGTTTTGGAAAAAATGAGCTTTCACATTATTATTTGAATTTTGAGTGTCAGGTAGGTTTGAGGAAGTTTCACTAAATACATATATGGAAAAATTAGAGCCTTATTTTTGGTTTTCATTAATTTTATAATCTAAATGTGAAACATATGGCACTATAACTAATTTGTGTGAATTTTGGTTTACGCTTTGTTTGGTATAATTTCCAACTTTATTTGTAAAGTACATTCAAACTTTTTTTGAAATATAATAATTATGGTGTTACAGTAAAATATAAAATGAGACTAAAATGAAGCCTTATGAAATATTCTAAATAAAGATAATTTCCACGGTTGAATTGAAAAGGTAGGAATTTCACACACAAAGCAATTGAACGAAAATTAATTTTCACTTTTCAAAAAGAATTCTTTTGCGTTTTATTACTTGTTGTTTACATAATGAAGGATTATGGCTCTTTGTCCCAACCCAAAAGTGTTTAGGATCAACTGATCCAAGATTAAAGCTAACGTTAGTGAAAAAAATACTCTTGTTATAATAGAAGTAATCCATTGTTATACCCTGTAATTGTAAAAAAATGTATCATTTCTAGAAAATAAACCCATTCGGAATACAATACAGAATTTTATTCGCAAACTTATTAAATTGTTCAAAGATATTTACTGATCCCAAACTGAATGGCAGGTAAGTTTCTATAACGAAATATACACCTAAGATTTGATGAGTGTCAGTTCAAAGTCCAGGCATTATGAAAGCTACGTTGTCGAGGGTGCTCATCAACTCCTCTGGGGTACAGCAATTCTCCTGCAGCTCCGGTATTTGTTGGGTGAGGCACAAGAGGGGGCCTAGGGCGCAGAGCAGGGAATCCAAGAGGACAGATAGACTTCCCGACACTGCAATTTGTCCCTGACAAATGGAAAAAACCACAATATAAATGATTTCGGATAACTGTTGGAAATTATTAATTTTTTTTTTCTTAAGGCTATGCAGTATCAGAATTGATCGGTTTGACTTACAAAATTCTTTCCAAAAAAGTAAAATAAGAATATTGGTTCACAAAATTTAAGTAAACAAAGATATGGGGACTGTTCAAGTTTTGCAGTGCATTTCTTTAATGTCCCCCCCACTTTTATTTTTTGAACGGGTCAACTCCAAAGAATTGAAATTTGGGATAATGAAATTAATGTATGAATACTTTATTTTGAAGTGAAATTGACAGATGAAACTTTCAAGATGGCGACTGGGCGCTGTCTGGGAAAAAAATTAAATGGAAAGGGGGGTCTTGCGACACATTATTTTGAAGCTCCTGACAAATACTTCACAACCCTAGAATATGAAGTCAATATCCTCACCTACTACAAAATGGCGTAACATTTAATAATTTCCTGAAGACAAACACATTAATATCGATATTTCTAGAAATATTCCTTTTTATCTGCCATATGGCAATTCCAGCAATCCGATAACGTTTGTTAAGTTATATTTTGTTTATATAAACGACAAAAAATGTCACTATGATAATGAAAATCATTGTTCAGTTAGAATATTCTCATTTAGTTTTCAGTTTTCCCAATATCCAGAAAAAAATAACGTTTGGGCAGGAATATTGGAACACTATATTGTAGGAATTTCAAAAACTACACCTCAACGATTTGATCTCCGCAAACTTGATTGAAAAATATATCACAACATGTTTGACTAAGACATTAGCTTTTTCAAGTGATTTGTTCATCAAATCATCCCTACATTACTATTTATATACTACAGATAACCATAATTGAGACTACCTCTAAGAAATTACCTGAACCTCTACATAACGTATCCTTTTTTTTTTGTACGTCCCTGTTCATTTATGATTACCTAAAGCATATTGCCTCACATCTACATCAATAATAATTCTTTCTCGGTTTTTAAGAAAACAAGTTCAATAATGGTGATCTATTCAAATCTAGTTGGTCATTCATTAGAATGTATGAATTTTAAAGTTTATTAATTTCCATTGCTTCCAAATGATTCAGTTTCAAACCTTTATTTTCTATGTGTAAAATTTCGAACTCTTCATTAAAAATGTGCTTTTATTCTAGAGGATGATTTGAATATGTCGAATTTGTTTTCTTATTTACATAGCTCGTATGATGTTCCTGGATTCGCTTCCTAAATGTCCTGCCAGTTTGACCAATATATACCTTAGGGCAGGTTTGTGATAAATTGAAAAATTATGTTTGTTGTTCATTCTACTAATTGTTAGGTCCAAGAAATTGATTTAGTTGTCTGTTTCTATTTCAATAGTGAATTTAATGTTTTCATGAATTTTGTTAATATCCCTATAAGTATCTAATTGCCTCTTAGTACCTGTAAAACATACCAAGACGACATCCACATATCTGTGCCAATACAAGATATCATTAATCAAAGGATGTTTGAAAGTCGACTTCTCTAGATTATCCATGAAAATTTCTGCAAGTATGGGGCTTAATGGATTTCCCATAATTAAACTTTTTGAGGAGGAATAAATATTGTTGTTGAATTGAAAATAATGTTGGTTGAGACATAATGACAGAAGGTCAATTATTTCTCGTTTTATGATTGGGTTCACTCTATTTTTATCTAATAATTCTATTACTAAAGTAATAGTATCATCAGGAGGTATGCTGGGAAATAGATTCTGCACATCAAAGGATAGTAATTTTGCGTTGTCTGGAAGAGGTATGTTCTCTATTTTATTGATCAAGTCATATGAATTCCGTAGACTAAATTTTGGTTGGAAGTTACAATGGTTCAAGATGATATTGATAAGCCTTTCTGATAATTTCACTGATGGTGCAGCGACAAAGTGAACCACTGGTCTAATTGGATAACTCTGTTTGTGCAGTTTTATGAGCGAATATAATTTTGGCATTTGGGGGTTCATCAATGTTAATTTGAACTTTTCCCTTTCAGAAAAAAGGTTGAATTTTTCAAAAAATCTTTCACTTGTCTTCGGAATGAATTAGTTGGATCACGTTTCAGCGTTTCAAATATCCTTAATTCAAGAAATCAAAGGTTTTGTTGACATAGTCAATTCGGTCAATAGCAACCACAGTATTGCCTTTATCTGCTCTAGTTAATATAACATAATTTGCGTTAATTTTACTACGTATTGATTTCACAAGTTTCAATTCATTCGTAAAACTACCTTCTTTCAAAAATTCTGACTTTATGATATGTGACGCCTGGTGTTTGTTATTAATGCTATTCAATGTCCCTCTCCTAATGCTATTTCAGTTTCTTTTCCCAAAATTTCAAAGTTGTTAGTGCTATTTTCCTGTCCAATGTTATATTTGAAACCTTTTTTCTACCAACACCTTTTCAAATAAAGTTTGTGGAGGTGTAGTTTTTGAAATTACTATGGATCTTCATCAAGTAACGGCCGAATCAATCAGAAAAAAAAACATATTGTAGGAACTCTATTTATTGATCAAAATTCAACAGGGGAATTGTATTTGAATATGCTGGAAACTACTGTTGACCCTCTCATCACTGATATCGTCGAAGCGAATCCTAATGAATTCGATATGGATATTGTGTTCAAACAAGATGGAGCACCACCACATTACTACAGACAAGTGAGAGACTTTTTAGATACTACTTTTCCCGGTCGTTGGAATGGCCGTCGAGGTCCTACAGAATAGCCAGTCCGCTCGCCAGATTTGACACCTTGGTACTTTTCTATGGGGCTATTTGAAGCAAAAGGTGTACGAAACTGAACCTGCTTCAATATTGGATATACGGCAGAGAATAATAAATATTTGTAGAGATATTGACGTTACTGTGTTCTTCTCAACTGACCTCAAGCTTATTACCTCATATTATGTAGTTAAATGTCAATGTATTCAGGCATTGGGGAATGTTCCTCCTGACGAAAATCAAGTAGTTTTCATAAAAGAGCTCTGAAACAACGCATTATAAACTTATCATTTCAACCTCTCTTTAAAAAATTATTCAAATACTTAAAAAAAAGAATGAAATAATGCATTCAACATTTAAATGGATTCGTTTCTATTTCACCATTTGGCAACATCGGTTACAGCTAATAAAGGACAATGAATCTGTTTCCTGTATGAGACAAACAAAGATGACATATTTCAGAGGCGTGCTGTTCTGTTTACTTATATTCCGAGACTTTCTGTGACATATGACATTTTGTGCACCTAACCTATCATCGTCTATATAAATAAATAACAAAACAACTGTTGTTTATGTGGCTTGTGGAGGTGGTATTGAACTATAATTTATATTTTGCATTAATTGTTGATTTATAAAGATAATTTTCCTTTTTTAAAGTATAACCTGAACTCCGATCAAGCATTCTAGGCGCTGTTGCCAATATGTGAATTAGAAACAAATCCTTTCAAAAATTAAAACCCAACCCATACTTTTCGAAGTGAATTTGAAAAACTCATGAATTAAACTCAACTTTATTTTGTTCAAACTTGCATTTGCTGTAATAACCCAAATTGAGGAACATTCCCCATTATTAAATGTTCCGCTCAAGGACAGACCAGAAACTGAATATCAGAACTGCTTAGAGGACTGGAAAACAGGCTGGCACAAAAGTATTTTATCTGAGGGGGACTACTTTGAAGAGTACAAAATATAAATTATTGAATGAATAAATATTATTTGAAAAAAATTGAAATTCAACTCGTATACCCGACTCAGATCCATCTAAACTTACCTCATGCTCCTTCAGCCGTTCCCCAATGATAGTCAAACTCTCTCCCAGAAGTTTGAGGTGCGCAGCCACATCTATAGGTTTCACTCCGCCAACTCTGAAAGGGGAGTCTTTCCCTCTAGGGCTTGGAGGAGATATATTGATATTTTCATAGTTCCCAATACCCATTTGGAAAGGAGCCAAAGAAACCGGAGATGTTTTGCTGATCGGGGGTTTCTTGTTCGGGCTAGGTTTGAGAGGAGCCTTTGCCGACAGAGATTTGTTGAAATTCGCGAATTGTTCTGAAAAATAATTCGGTAAAGTTGAAGTAGAGTACAGCAATGAATCAATGGGAATGAAGAGAGGCCCCAGATTGGACCCCTGAGGTATGATCAAAAACTGTCCCACCTTTGTCTTTTCCTTTGAGTTTTTCTGCTTTTATTATTTTCCCGTCTTTGATGACAAGTTTTTTTTTGGACGATCCGGCATCGAGTCGTCTAAATCCACCGCCTTCGTTTTCAAAGTCGCTATCTGACTCGACCGAGTCGTCAATGCTAGACTCCGTTGTGTTTGCTGTTGGTTCATATTCGCTGTTGTACTCTGAACCACTCTCTTCCATATCGTAGTTTTCATAGTTGTCTTCTTTGGAATACACCTAAATAATATAACAAAGACTACATTACTAACCCTCACAAAAACACCCATAGGTTGTAAACTATACGCCTGTTTTAAACATCTCAACTGTACGTAAAATTGTCAAAAACAAACCTTATGAACGCAAGACGTGATGTGATACGGGATTACCAAAACCTTTAGATGTTCATCTAATAAAATCATTGAAAAAAAAAACAATATATGACTGTTACAAAAGCAATGAGATTCCTACAACTGAAATCATAAGGAAGAAATTGAATACTTCCGGCCATAACATCTGCTGGGACAAAACTCTTCAGAATTGGATAAATAAACTAAGATTCAGATTTAAAATAATAAACAAATGTCAAGCAGTTATGAAAAGGAGAAGAATAGTGGAATTGCCCAGCAAATACTTAGAACAAATAACTAAATAAAGACAAGAACAACGGCAAATTTTCTATTTGGACGAAACTTGGTATGACGCACACGACATAGTTACGAAAGGGTGGACTGGTGGTTCGAGAATATGTACGCCTAACATGCCTGCAAACAAAGGATCGAGATTAATCATTGTGTATTGCGGGTTCCGAATTCTTTGAAATTATGTGGAAAAAACCTGAGGACTGCAATGTTGACTATCACAAGAACATGGAAGGTAATAATTTTGAGGAATGGTTTGAAAACATATTGATCCCAAATTTGGATGCGAATAGTGTAATAGTTCTTGGCAAAGCTTCATATCATTCGCGACAGCTCATCAAAGTATCAAATAAAAATTTGAGGAAAGATGAAATACATAGTTTTTTAGTGGATAACAATTGGTATTTTGAAGATAACTATACAAAAAAACGAACTACTTGAAGTTTTACAGACAAAAACATTTGAAAAAGTGTATGCCCTTGAGAGTATTGCTGAAAAGTATGGACACACCATATTGAGACTTCCCCCCTATTTTTGTGTTTTCAATTCCATCGATTTGATTTGAGGAAAACTAAAACAAAGCATCAGGCGTTAGAATAACTTTCCAAAATTTGATGAGAAGATAATAGAGCTAGTTAAAGAAGAAGTATCTAATATTACCGAAGAAACCTGGCAGAAAAAGGTTAAAAAGTAATTTCAGTTGAAAAAGACTATTTGGAGATTAGACACTTCCATATTAATGGTGGAAATAAATTCATTATTGATTTAAATGACGATAGTGATAGTGAAACAGAGAATATGGAAGAGGAATTATCAGTCTGAAGACTTATTTCGATAATATTTTAACACAGAATTTTTTTTTCTGATTGATTCGGCAGTTACTTGATGAAGATCCATAACAATTTCAAAAACTACACCTCGACGATTTGATCTCCACAAACAAAGTTTGTGTAGATCTTTTATCTATGAAAATAATAGTCAGATAGAGAGAAGATCGAATTTTGAGATACAAAAAAAAGTTCGAGATAAAAGCAACTTGTTTGAAATTAACACTGTTTTATTGGTCCTAATCTGGATTAAAACTTCAAAGTCTGAAACAGCTAAAAAGTGAAAAACAATTACCTCATCATGTTTTTGTTTCCTGGGTGTGGATTCATGACTCTCGATTTTTTTTGATTGGTTCGGCGGCCGTTTATTGAAAGATCTTTCAATTTCGTCGGGGGATTCAAAGTCCATCAACTTGGACGACTTTTTTCTTACCCTTCCACTTCTGGAAACTCCAGTTACCTCGAGATCTAGAGTGAAAACATATAGTACTGAACTACATGAAGTAACGAAATAATTCTGATAGAAGAAAAAATGCACAAACTATCAGTGGTATCCAATAATTCTCAACTTATGCCTGTGTTGTTATATAAGAAACTATATATATTACCATTGAAAAAAGTTAAATTCATTCACTTCTACCCGATCTATGAATCTTTTCAGGCCGATTTAGGCAACTGGCTATCTTATCATTATTTTACATTAGTTATGTCACCTTATATATTTCATAATTTTTTTTATTGTATTTTTATACTCTTACTTACATATTGTTATATCTACTGATTTGTAATTTTAACTAATTTTCGATCAATATGATTTTTCTCAACTATTTTACTCAGTCTTTTTCGACGATTTTCATTCTTGTAATGACTCATGGAATAAAGTTTGATTGAATGCTCAAATGTCAAATGATAAGGCCTCGTTAATCTTCAGTTCAGATGTTGTCCCCATGGTTCCTTTTTAGTACTCTGCGGCTGGTGTTATTTTCCACTTGTGTACTTTCCATATGAATTTCTTGTTTTTTTAGTGCCGATTTGCATTTTGATTTCTCTGAGGTCATTACAGATTCTTTTGTATACATTTTGTTGACTTTCATTACGCCACAAAAGTGTGGTATCATCTGCAAAAATGGTGAAACTACCAGAAATACGTATAGTAGTCAGGTCATTTATATATAGTAGAAAGAGTATGGGCCCTAAGATCGATCCTTGGGGTACTCCCGCTTTCACATTCTTTGTACTTGAACAACTATTGGTTTTAACAAGTTGTGTACGTCCCTTCATTCAAAATTCAAAAGTAAACCATCCCAAAGATCCTGCTTAAATTCCCATTATTAATTTACAGGCAAAATTTGTAGATACAAGTTACTACAATTTGTAGAATTGAACCCTTCAGTGGTTTATATTACGAAGTAACTTGATTAGATTATCTTTTGATAGACATTCATTTTGGAATTGAGAAAAGTCAAACTCAAAAAATAGCAAGGATCATTGAGTCTTCCTCAAAAAATTATATTCAAAGAATAAAGGAGGCATATGCATACTTTCCAATTTATTCAAAATAAAAAATATTTACAAAGTTCCACTTATACTTTAATGTTCCACGTTATGAAAGTTTGTTACAAATCGTCATCCTGCTTCCAGCCATCCTCGTCGCTTAAAAACCTCCTCTTGGCTGACGTATTCATGTAAGGCCTGAGAGCCCATTCAGTATCTGCTGAATCAATATTATCCAAAGTCCCTAGTTTGATTTCGTATAACCTCAATTGAAAACGTGGTCCAACTTCACTCATTTCCAGCTGAAAAAAATAGATTGAATCTTCAAGTTCTTCACATTCTACTACTCCAATAATATATAATGAGGTGGAAGGTGGTTATTTTAGATTATTAGATTATCATAGTTGTGTCACTGATGAAGTTGACTTATTTGTGATTTTTAGACGAAATTAATTTGAAAAAAATGGTTTTTGGCTTTCTACATCTTCGTTGGTGACAAAAAAATATCAAAACAATCTGAACTTTCACATAGTCCACACTTGTAGGGGGTTTTTAAGGGCTTTGAATCAAAAACTTCTCCTTCACACATGGGTTTGAAACATAGATAGGTTATCAATACTCTTTTGAAGCAGACCAAATCTACATACATTAAGGACTTCTGTAGGTTGTCTCGTATTAAGCACCAACAAATACTGCAAATACTACTCGTGGCAACACACAAAATAATAAAAAATTATGACTTTACCTGTCTGTCGACTGTTTTGTATGTGTGATGCCTAAAGCTTATGTAGTCATCGTGATTGGCAAAGGTGATCACTCTCTTAGAGTCCTCTTTGGGCACAGGAAACAGGTATTTCAGAATGTTCATGGTCCGCACTCCTAATTTGGTCTTGAAATTGTGGAAAATAAGATGCGGATATTGTTCAGACATTGTTCCGATATCTGGGATATCATGTCTCATAACAACGTCCTTCATCGTGAAATAAGCAGTGGGGCCGTATGGCATATGGCAGATAACTAAACTGTCCGGAACGCCTCTATGTTCGTGAACGACAATGAAGTCTGTGACATCATTCGATCGGCAGGCATGCATCAGCTGCTTCATCTCGTAGTTACCACGATTCATTCTCTGTGCGTTGGGGAAAATTAACCTGAGCTCTTTAACGAACATTTTCAATCTGGAGCTCGGGTCTCTGGAGGTCGTGATGACTATTTTCGGGTCTTCTACGCCAGCGTATCTATATTCGTCGTCCTGGGAATCTGCCAACGCGCCGCCACTTTCACCTCCCATCAGCGCTGCTCTTTCGGGTCCGGCGTCTTCCCATTCGATTTTGTTAGCGTAGTGGATGGCCTTTTTCTGCAAATCGCCATGTATTGCTGTTTGATTTTCCAAACTGTTTTTTATGCGGTTTTTCTTGTCTTGGATCGACTTTTGTTTATCTTCGTTGGTTTTTCTGTATAGATACTCCCTTCGCAGTCTTGCTTGGCGTCGAATCATCTTGAAAGTTTCTTGATATGAAATCCCAACACGTTGAAAACAAACCAACCAACTTCTTGACTTAACCTCACAAATAACAAACTTCAGCACTTAACCTCACAAAATGCGCCTGTCGAATGTCAAAACAAAAAGTTGCCGTCTCAAATGTATTTTATTTGAAAATAGCACTAATTAAAATATAATGAACCTGTAAATAAACAATTTGAAATTGTTTGTTTGAATTTATAGAGCCTCACCCTCAGTTTTCTGTTTCTTCGACTGAAAACTATCCATTTTCTTTCACTTCAATATTCTATAAACAAGGCAAATACCAACATATAAACACTAGACACATAATTATTCATCGAAAACTTTAAATTCAAACAAATGGAATTTATAATTCACAAATGCTTCTTGAAAATAAAACAGTCAATCAGAAAATCAGTGCTCTGTTTGTAATTTTTATTAATTTTAATCTAATTAGCTGTGTTGCCAACTCCATCCTGGAGAAAAACTGTGTGCGTGCTATGAAGAATCTGGAACACTTAAATATTAACAAACGGTGAAATTTAAAGCTTTTCAATTCTGTATTCTTTGCTGGTAGTAACAAATCAGATACATGGAGAAGAAATTACGAATGTGCTTTCAATCGAATTGATAGAAAAAACATAATACATTTTATTTTGGTATAACAAAGTTGTACATTTTCATAACATCAACAGATAATCTACCATATTATTAGAGCGGAAGCTTTTGGTAAACTAGATGTCACTAGAATGTTAGGTGGAGGCTTGAACTAACTAAAAAAAACTGTAGATTTGCAGTTAGAACTGTAGGTTTGGCTACACTGCCATTTCTACAAATTGTCATTGGCCTAGTATGCTCAAGACTATCGAGCCATGATTAGAATAAAAGATGTTTACTACGGTCATCTTTTTATATAATTGGGAGTTAAAAAAACCTGGTGAAAATTATTGAGAATAAATAAGGAAACAGAAATGAAGTGATTCAAATATAAAAACAAACATTTTATTGTATCTCAGATTCAAAGTTCAGCTACATTTTTTGATATATCCATAAATTATTCTTGAAAATTCCATACTTTAATGTCCCCGTCGTCACTACATGAAGCAAGAAGCCCTTTACTGACAGGGTTCCAAGACACACAGTTCACATCTTGCGTATGCGCCCTCTCTACGGTACAAACCAAACTAAAAGTAGGAGCGTTCTGATCACACCCTTGATCTTCTTTGAATATTCGGATCGCGTCGTCTCCACACGCCGTGGCTATAAGCCCGGTCAAGTGACACCAGCTGATGTCATAAATGGTTCTGGTGTGGTACCCTGCCAAAGTGCAAACGCATTTCCAAGTTGAATCTCCGTCGGGTGTAGGGACGCCCTCTGCGTTGCCAGGAGGGTATTCTTTCCATATTTTAACCGTATTATCGTCGCTACAGGAGGCTAAACGGCTACCAGAGCAGTCGAAACTTATACTCCAAACTGTCGAGTCATGGCCCGTTAAAGTCCCGCAGCAAATCCAGTCTCCTTCGCTGGGATCATCTCGAAAAAGTTTAACAGTGTTGTCGTAAGATGCGGAGGCGAGGAGGTCTTTTTCCGGATGGAAAACTATCTGGAAAATGATTATCAATTGAACTGCCATATTAAATACATGGAGATGAAGAAGTAGCTCTAGAGACAATTCATTTATTTGGTAAAAAACAAATCAATAATTTGAATATGAGAGATTATATTAATGAAACCTAGAAATTATCTTTCATTACAAAAATTATGAAAAAAAATCGCCTAATCAGTATGGGAATATGTAACATCACACCACAGGACATTATACTTCAAGTATCGATATTCAAAAAGTTGGTAATTCTAGATAGTTTATAGTATAACAGGTACTTATGCATGGTTTTAGGCGCTTTTCCATGAGTAGGCAATATTCTCATTTGCCGAAAGTTACACAATCAAAATTGTAACAATTCATTATTAAAATCTATTTCCCCCGAACTAAAAATTGGTTTCAGCTTAAAATTTTTAATGTACCAGATACAGAGCTTGTTAAATTCACGTGATTGGAATAATAGGCACGGCCTTAATTTTAGATTGTTTCAGCGTTTTCCATTGGTAAAACTAGTGCACATTCGGTGCATTTATATCCTTTATTGAGGGAAAAAGGGCAAAATACACCGATTGTGCACCAGTGTCATCAATGGAAAATACTATTAAAATAGTTGCGTTTTGTTGGTTGTTGCCGCTAAATGTTTTGCCATCTCTGCTGGATGTATTTTGATGAAGAGAAGAGAGCACTTATAACGATCATAACAAATCTGAAATGAAATGATGAAACACACATAAAATTCAAGAAAAAAATTTCTCATGGATTGCTCCAATAAATAAAAACCTGCTAACGTTTGGAATGTGCCACTAGATGAATCAATATGTAGATTCATCCTTATTTAGTCTTTCAGTACTTTAATTCATGGACTTCTTCCTGGCAGCCCTTTTGATATATCCTAAGTTTGGGGTTTCAATCACACAAAAATATATTTCACTATTATGTGATGATCAATGGATCATCACAAATGGCTGGTTGGTAGACCTGTGAAGTACTACTATAAATGCACATTTAGTAATGTATTCTATTTTCTGTTTGAGAAACAACTTGAAAAAACAAAAACTGATCCCATCTTACCTTTTTGACGTCTTGAGAATGGGCATTGAGCACGGCAGCGCAGTCGTACTCATCATCGTCAGCTACTTCCCACACCCAAACTGATTTATCTCTGCTACAAGTCGCTAGTAAATGCCCGGACTTTGACCATGCCACACTTTTCACTTCATTCTCGTGGCCTTCTAGAGTAGCATTGCATTCAAACTCTCCGCTCTTCTTGTCCCAAATGCAAGTGGTAGCATCGAAACTGGCTGAAGCCAAGTAGTTTCCGCAAGGAGACCATGCCACCTGTTGAAACCAGTAATGCCAAGTTTTCATTAGTAGAGTGCCTGCCCAATTGGTTCACTGTCTCAAGTAACATGAAAAATTAATTTCAATTCATTCATTCATTACAATTCAAGTTGTAAATGATAAAAATATCGCACACAATATTGAAATTTTATTAAAAAGTCAGAGACATTATAAAATAAATGTTGGGGAGCATGAAGTTTCGGAATTGATACTAATTTATAACACTACTAACCTGTCTAACTGTACGTTTATGTCCGTCTGTTAAGAGCATCTTGTTAGTCCATTTAGCGGTGATGTCTTTAGCCCATATTCTGATAGACTTATCTTCGCCACATGATGCTAGTACTTCTCCTTTTGGGTGCCATCCAAGATTCCATACTCTGCCTGGGCTTTTTTTGAGGGTCTGAACGAGTTCTAGTTTTCCCATTTTTTTATTTTTGTTATCACTGATTACTGGGCTAATTCTAATCTGTTTTTTACTTCCCAACTATTTATTTACTATTTTTTAAGAGGTGCCTACATCTGATCTCTGTCATTTGTCAAATGCGTTCATTCTTATAGTGTTTTACAAGTTTAAACCCAGAGCAAGATCAGTGCAACTGTATGTTCCATTGTGAAATTAGTGCAATAGTTTATCATATAGTACATTTTTTTTAACTAGTGTTCTCAAGAAATATTTAAAGAAGTGTAAAATATTGAATTTTTTACTAATTTGATTTTCATCTGAGAGGTAAAAAATGTATTGCAAATCTCTCTCTAGAGAGATATTCAACTGCAAATGAAGTAGTAGTTAGAAAGAGAGACTATTTCATGAATATCAGAAAATTTATCATCAACTGTTTGTATTGTATGAATGAATTCTAACATGTCAGTTCACTGCTATGATTCAAATGTTTTTGATTGAAAGATCAAGCATAAAACATATATAGACTCCAATAATCTTTTGACACTTTGGCGTATCAAAAAAAGGTTTAATGATCTGTAGTTGGGATGTTGAAAATAGATCCTCTGATATCACAGGGTCACACTTCTATTGTATAATAAGGTATTAACAGAGTTGAAATCTACGAGAAGATATTGTTGAATGAAAATTAATTATTCTTGTGGAATTGAAACCACTTCCTAGTCTGTGTCACTTCGTAATAGACACATACTCACTAGCAATAGTATACTCACCTATTTTGGAACTTCACCGCTCTTTATCTTCTATACTCTTCAACCTTCATATAGTTCTTGCTTATCTGAGTACTTGTAAAAACATATTTATTAGATGAATTTTTGATAAACTATTTTATATGAAAAAGGGGTCCAAGTCATATGACGCTTTGTTGATTTAAAAAGCGCTTTTACGTTGCATTCAGCACAGTGCTATCGCTGTGTTGTCTTGGACACAACCTAAATTGTTTTGGCTGTCAGGTGATTCGTCATTGGTAGGTTGTGGTTGTAACAATTTGACATTTACGTCAAACATCGGTAACTGTTGGAGTGTAAAAATATGTTGAAAGTATAGAAATATAATAAAAACAAATATTGGCGATGGAGCAGCTACCTGTAGAAATTATTGAGAAAATTCTCATCTACTCCAGGGTCTCTATTGAGGATGTAGTCCATTTTTCCATGACCTGCCACCACTTTTATGATATTGTTATGAACAGCAACAAGATTTGGAAAACTAAATTGTTTCACAAGTAAGCACCTGGAATATATAACAACTAGATTCAAATTAATCTTTTTCTCTTTCAGATGGAGACCTCTGAAAACTCTTTTTGAAAACAAGCACATACTCTTCCAGCGGGAAGTGAGGTACATATATGAGTTGAGACAGAGAACTCGAAATATGCTGGAAAAAATGCCACCAAAGTTTTATAAAAAATACGAAATATCCGATTCGGATCTGCACGAGTGGAGTCTCCTCCTAAACGAGAGGGATGAAGTGTATAATTATTTAGTACTTGATCTCATGGATATCGTGAATACTGATGCACCTATCAATAGTATAGAAGTTGTACCCTTGAAGTAAGTACAATGACAGCTTGGAAAGGAGTAATGTTTTACAGTTTTCCAGCCATTGTGCTAGGAAATTCTTCCATGATCACATATTGAGTTATCCTTACAGATAGACCCTAAACCTTGACAATACTATAGTGTCGAAGACTTTCCTTGAGTACAGAGACACAAAATTTCAAAAAATGCACCATCTATATGTTGTAACATGTTGGTAATTAGATCTCTGCTCAGCTGTGGTTGTATTACTTATACTCCTGAACCCATATGTTTCATTATTGAGGTTCATCTAGTTGAGGAAGAGAACAAGTCTCAGGTAGACACATTTTTCCAGTACTGTTACACTGTACAGTTGAACTCAACTTTACTATCACACTGTGAATACAACACATTCAACTAGACCAACACAATCTGCCTGTTGGTAGTGCTTATATATGCGAATGGAAGTCTCAAGATGCTGATAGAAGATAATGAAAAGAATAAGTTATTCAAAATCAATTTACTTGAAGCCAGTACCATATGATGAGATAGAAGATATAATTGATGATTTGAGTACAAAAAAGCCTCTGGATTTGATAATATCACAACCAAAATTATAAAGAGAGTTCAATCGAAATTGTCACCTCGTCTTCAAAAATTAGTTGATATTTCTTTTAATTCTAGTAAAATTCCGCAAAAATTGAAAATTCGCAAGCTTTTGCCAATTTTTAAAAAAGGAAAAAGAAATGATGTTGACAATTATAGATCGATTTCTGTTTTACCAATTATACCCAAAATTCTTGAGAGAGCAATGTATAACAGAATATTGAAAAGTTTGGATTCTATTTATTTCTTGTATCCAAATCAATATGGCTTTCGTAGGTCTACGGATATAGTTTGTGCCGCTTTGGATTATATGTGTGTGAAAAATGTGGACTTCTGTCCTTAGACGTCTGTAAAGCTTTTGATAATGTTAGTCATGAAATTTTGTTGAACAAATTAAAGGTTATGCATTTTTATGGTTTCAAAATTAGTTAAGTGATAGAAAGCAATGTGTGTACCGCAGGGGTCTGTATTAGGACCTTTACTCTTTCTCATTTATATAAATTCCAATTCGCAATTAAAGCTTTCTGGAAAATTGAAAGTATTTGCTGATTCACAATTAATACGCCTACAAATGGAAGCTGATTCAAAACAAATAGGTATTTGGCTCAATTCACACAAAACTTTGAATTTGAAAAAATTGCCCTGTAATACAACAACTTCCTACTTTAGGTTTACTTATAGATGAAACTCTTTCAAATCATTTCAACTATATATCGCATGATTATATTTCATGTTTACGTATTGTAAATAATTTGATGTATTGTATTGACGTGTCCTACACCTGGCAACGATTTTTAATTATGAAGGAAATAATAAACCATTATTTATTCTGTTCTAATATATTCTATTTCAATTGATTGATTTATTGACATTTCAGTACTCCTGGCAATAAAACCCTCCAATATTATGCCAGCAAAGTTCTCAGATATATCCGGCAGCTACATCTCTCGAAAGTCTGGAAAGACTACATATCACTTCCTGAATCACGCCAGGTTTTGGAAATCGGGGCTGTTTTCGTGGCACAGTGGTGCCAACCGAATGTAGAAATCACTTTCGAAGACATCACACAAAAACTGGACAAAATTGCCGATGAAGTGAAAACTGCCCTCCGGTTCTCCCACCCTCAGCACCCGATATTCAAGGCGTCTCAGCAAGAGCTGGATTTGTGGAAGGTCGAGAACAGAGCAGACAATCAATGGAATGTTGATGAGTGCCGGCAACTCATTTCTGTGATGCGAGACGTGCTTTTCCAGCAAATAGGCTTCAGCGGGAACAATCACGCTTATTATATGCCGCAGAATTCTTTTATAAACGAGGTTTTGGAGAAGCGCCAGGGTTTGCCCATTACCCTGGCGATTGTTTTTGAAGCGGTGGCTAGACGGCTGGGGCTAAGGTGCGAACCTATAAGTTTCCCCGCACACTTTCTCTTGAGGTTCTGCGAGAGTTCCAGTTGTGATTCTGATTGGTATTATATCGATGTTTTCAATGGCGGTCAAGTGGTGAGGAAGGGTGCTTGTCCCCATAGCAGGTTTTCCGGGTCGAGAGATTTGTTTCCCGTTGCAACCGCTGTCCAGGTTGTGGAAAGAATGGCTAATAACTTGGAGGTATAAGTTTGATGATTTTTTCATATTTGTTCATATGAAATTCTGATTGTATTTTCCTAGATTTCAGATATTTATCCCGTGTGTGTGACTATGTGGCTGTGTGTGTATGTGTCTATGTCGGTGTGGCTGTATGTGTTACTATGTGGTTGTTTGTATTGCTACGTGGCTGTGTGTGTTGCTATGTGGCTGTTTGTGTTGCTATGTGACTGTTTGTGTTGCTATGTGACTGTTTGTGTTGCTATGTGACTGTTTGTGTTGCTATGTGGCTGTTTGTGTTGTTGTGTGGCTGTATGTATAGCTATGTGTGCGTGTGGCTCGTTGGCTGTGTGGTGTGTGTGTGTGTGTATTTGGGTGGCTGTGTGTGTATTTGGGTGGCTGTGTGTGTATTTGGGTGGCTGTGTGTCTATTTGGGTGGCTGTGTGTGTTTGGGTGGCTGTGTGTGTGTTTGGGTGGCTGTGTAAGTTTGAGAGGTTGTATGTGGATGTGTATGGGGCTGTGTATGGCTTTGTGGATGTAGATGTATAGGTGACTATGTTGCTGTGTGTAGGGATGTGTGCGGGGCTGTGTAACTTTATGACTATGTGTGTGGCTGCGTGTATGACTATGTGACTGCGTGTGAGCGGCCGTGTGGATGTATGTGTGTCTATGTAGCTGTGTGTGTACGGCTGTGTGGGTGAATGTGTGTCTATGTAGCTGCGTGTGTGCGGCTGTGTGGGTATCTGTGTTGCTCTGTATTGGTGGCTGTATGTGCGTATGGCTGTTTATGTGACTCTGTGTTTGATAGCCACACACATAGGCATATACGGGCAGCCACACAAACAGCCATAAATTCACACTATAGAAATAAAGCCACACATACAGATCCATATTGACACGTGTGTGTAGCTCCACGACTGTATGTGGATTTATGGCTGTATGTGGTTGTTTGTGTGGCCATGCGGCTGTTTGTGTGGCAGTGTAACTGTTTGTGAAACAATGTAGCTGTTTATGTTACAGTTTTGAATTATTGTATTTTTCTCTACTCCAAACATGTATGTATCTTGAGAAAATGAATAGCTATTATCATTTCTATCCGACAGGTATCAGCAAGACAGCACGGTCATCCCAATGGTAGAATAACCCGGCTTCGATCCAGTTTGGAGCTACTGAAACTGGTCAACCCTAGAGATATATCTGCCTTAGTGAGTCTGGCTAGGCTATACATGTTGCACAACATGGACACAAAGCCTCTGGAACATTTTTTGCTCTCGCAGGAGTTTGAGGTTCCCGAGCAAGCACAAAGGTAAGTTGTTCGCAACCGCTCTTCCTTGGTTTCCTATTTTTTCATTAATGTATGAAGAACGGAAAATTTATCAACAAAGAAATTGATTTATTTCAAATTCAAGGGTTGTCCATATGCTGCGAGACTATGAAGCGCATCACGCCCGTAATGATACGGGGCTGTTCAACCAAGTAGAAGCAGCCCAGCGCAGTCCTAGCCTCATGTACGCAGTCGGTATGGTGATGAAGCATCAAACGTTAAATTACAAATGTGTAATTTACGATTGGGATCCCGTTTGTTTGGCGGCCACCGAATGGCAAGAGCAGAACAATGTTGAAAAGTTAAACTTGAAGGGTAATCAGCCCTTTTATAACGTTCTGGTGGAGGATGGATCTCATAGATATGTCGCCCAAGGTGAGAATATAATATGACGGATTCATGCTTTATTATCTAGGAAAAGTAATTAACAGAAATAAGCTGGTTCAGCTTGACGGAAAAGTTATTCATATTTGGAATGTATAATATTGTCAATTGACTTATTTAAAAAGTGGCAATTAACAGACTCTTAGTAATTTTGAAAATTAATAAAATTGCTTATCGACATATTTAAAGTGTGAATTGACAGGTTGAAAAGCGCCAACTGACATATTTAAAAAGTTACAGTCAACAGGTTCAATGTAGCTTTGTGAACATTCGAAAAAATATCTGATAATTGGCATTTCAAAATGTATTAGTTGATATTGATTTATTGTAGCTGTGTATATTTAGAAAAAATCTGCTAATTGACACTTTGCAAATATGTCAATAGACAACAATTTTAAAAATTTTCAGATTCTATTTCTGCCTGTTACTTTCCACCCTGTATATTTTGAACCTCTTCAATGAAATTCAATAGCAGACAGAATTCGAAAGATTCAAATTACAAATTCAAAAATTATCAAGTTTCTGTCTAAAAAAATATCTGTTTTTCCGTTAATCAGTGTTGCCCCCATACGAACGAAAACTCTTAGAAGTTGAGAAACTTGTGCAAGCTAAGGACTAACGAGGTCTTACCTTTTAACGTGTGATTCCTAACACGGTTGCAGAATCATCCCAGCTTCAACCAGATAAATTCCCTTGAGAAAAATATCTGGTCGAGGCGGGAATCGAACCCACGGTCTTCCGATCGTGAGTCGGGCGCACTACCACAGCGGCCAATTCCACAACGTGACAGATAAAAAAATCGCAATTGACATATTTAAAGTGCGAATTGACAGACTAAAAAGCTTCAGTTGACATATTTGAAAAGTTGCAATTAACAGATTCATTGTAGCTGTAAACGCTTAGAAAAAATCTGCTAATTGACACTTTGCAAATATGTCAATTGACAACAATTTTAAAAATTTTCAGATTCTATTTCTACCTGCTGCTTTTCACTTAATGTATTTTGAACCTCTTTAATGAAATTCAATAGTGGACAAATTTCCAAAGATCCAAATTACAAATTCAAAAATTATCAAATTACAGATAAAGAAATGTCAATTGACATATTTAAAGTGCGAATTGTCAGACTAAAAAGCTTCAGTTGACATATTTGAAAAGTTACAATTAACAGATTTATTGTAGCTGTAAACATTTAGAAAAAATCTGCTAATTGACACTTTGGCAAATATGTCAATTGACAACAATTTCAAAATTTTTCAGATTCTATTTCTGCCTGCTGCTTTTCACTTAATGTATGTTGAACCTCTTTAATGAAATCCAATAGTGGACAGATTTCCAAAGATTCAAATTACAAATTCAAAAATTATCAACTGATAGATTGGAAAAATGTCAATTGTCATATTTGAAAAGTAGCAATTACCGGATTTTTTTAAATTCAGACAAAGTTACAATAAGTGGAGAGATATTTACGTGGAGAGATATTTCGTTGATAAGGAGGGCAGGTAAAACACAATATATTTTTCCTAACTTGACTTTGTGGAAACTGGAGTTTCTCGAGAAATTATTACAGAAAGGTAGAGCTACAATCTGTGGCACACTCCAAAACTGCAATACTCTTTTTGACACGTGTTTCAGCAACCAAGTTGACGTCATCAGGAGATGCCATCAACTTGGTTGTGTCGAAAAGTCTTGCAGGTCTGTTTATTTTCGAACTATTACTACATTTCTTTTTTTTATCATCTTAACGACCAATTCTTTCCAGAGAACCTTATACCGACATCCGACAAGGAAGCCATATATCTTAACGACGATGTAGGGCGACATTTTTCTCACTTTTTCGAAACTCATTACGTCCCGAACGCTGAGAAAGAAAAAGAATATCCCGCCGACAAAAAAGTTCGACACAAGTTCCACCATCAGAGGAAACTCGAGAGTTTCACTTTGTAATTTACTTTATTGTAGGAATATATTTGTAAGGTATGAAGAAATTATTTTGGGTTCCAATTTAGGTTCAGAGACGACTTTTTTTTCTCCGATTTGTTCCTTTGTGATGTAGAAACGATCTTGTTTCGACCAAGCTGTCACTAGTTGTGATATTGATTCGAGTATTTTATCTTTATTAAGATGTTATAGGTGCTAACCAGCTTCCTTATTTGTAGATTTATTTTATTACAATATCGTTTATTGTATGTGCAGTTGAATGATAACCGCTTCTTTAACTCTGAATAAAAATAGTGTACAGGATGTCCAATAAATACAGTGTTTTTTTATCGATGCAAACATTATTTTGTCATACTCGAAAATAACATGTGTTTCTGCAGTTGCTTCAATTGAAATCAATATGGTAACCGAGTGAAAGTGTGTAAATTGATACAGTGTGACATTTTTAAACTGGTTGGAATGCTTTTTTCATTATTTGAACATTCTAGAAGTTTCCTAGCCTCAAAATTTTATGAAAGTCTTTATTTTAAGGGCGACTTTCATTATTTTTTAATGTTAGAAAATATTTAAAAAGTTACAGGTGGAAAAAATTTGAAAAACATTTTACTTACCCCATCAATTCAATTTCAGAACTGACGAAATGAAGAGCCCCCTTTATTCACGCCGGTATCCAGGCCGGGGGTTCGGATAACCACGTAAAGGGGGCTGTATATGTGAAAAAAAGGTCTCCCAAGCAGGAGGCGACTTCATAAAAATTCGAATTGTTATAATGAATAAAAGTTCGAAAAAAAGTGGGTGGCAGCATTGCTTCGTGCAAGACCGCAGCGCCCCCCCGACGAAGCTCCTGTCAACCAACAAGAGGAGCATTGGTCATATACGCCTGAAGATAGGAAGCAACGACCATCCAAAATAGAGAGAGAGTCTTTATTATTTCTTTCTTCAGAAGTTTCCAACATTTTTTTTTATGTCAATTTGTTCCGTCAAATGTTGCACTTGACTTGATTTCTCAACACTTAATATACTTTTAAATCTATAAATTATTTTTTATTATGCATTTGTTGACAATTCAATTTACCGCAGCTGGATTAAAAACACTCATGTTCTGATGAAAGTTTTATTTGTAAATGCAAGATTAGGGATTTTGATCTCCCTATCCACTGGACCGACGTACAAGTGTATTTAAAAATATATAATTTATAAAAATAACAATCCGTATGTATTTGGTAGACTATTGACCGTCGAATTCTTCGTGGAAGTTTAACCCGTAATTCTTCTTTGGTTAATGCTTTGGAATTGTACTAGAGCTTGTTTTGGAGTATGGGGGGCTTCGAAGTATCGTTGGCTATTTCCTGCCACCATTCCGGTCGTGACGTAGCGCCGGGGCTGTTCATCAAGAGGTCTTTAAGGTTTTCATATAACTACAAAAAAATAATATTTTAGATACCATAGAAAATTTGCTAGAACTTGTAGCATATTGAATATTTCTTAGGGTAAGGTTGGCACAGAGTTGCCAACCGTAGCGGAATTCCGCTACTGTAGAGGAATTTTCTAGATACGATTGATCAATATTGGAAAAAATATGGAAGAAGAAGATGCAGGGGACAGCACTCAAAGCTGACAGCTGCCACTTATGGTCTTAGTAGCTGAGGCCATTACATGATGAAAGAGAAGAAGAATATTTTTGGATATTTTCATTCATATCTTAAACCATATAACCTCCAATATCTTGAAACAAAGTCTCGACTGTCTCGAGTATTATAAATTATATGGAACAAATTACAGTGGAAATGGAAGATAGTTCATCTGATTGTAGCTCGCGCGAAAGAGCAACCGCAGTTAAAATTTACGGGAACGGAACATGTTAAAAAAAAATACAAAAATTCTTGAAAACCAACTTTTTCTCAACATTCTTCGTCTGATTCCAACTTGAAAGGATGAATTAGACCTGTCGCGAATGATCGTTCAAGAGCTCAGTGTGACTTTACCTACGTGAACAAATTAATATTTATTTTCACTTTTTAAAATCATTATTTCAAGCTAAGAAATATTTGGTCGAGACGACAGCTTTCAAAAATTGACTGTTATAAATTTAGAAAATTAGGCACCATCTACTGAGTTGCGTGGTTGAAAATTAACACGATCCTGATTCCTAACATTAGTGACAGTTCAGTTTTGTGGTATCTGAACGGCACACAAACTACAAACTAAGTTCTGTGGCATTTAATTTTGTATAAGGCGCATGCGCGACCTGATTGCGTTAGCTATACAAGCGTAGCGGTATATGGAGCAGTGTAGCGGAATTTTGGTTCATGTGTAGCGACTTTATAGTTCATTCAGTTGGCAACACTGGGTTGGTAACATTGATTATGTTGGTGCAAAATTGTCATTCTTGTGAAAGGTCGATGTCTGGTAGAGAAATAAAGTGTTCATGTTGAAATTTTGCTGTGTGATTTATTCAAAAGTTTCATCGGCATCTCACTTGAGATACAACAATTATTTGGCGACGAGATAAATTGGTTGTCAAGAAGGAACTGCAGCAATATATTTTTTTTTCGGACGGAGGTCTGATATTGTTTTATCACGTTGAGGTTGGGTAACCACATTTCTCCAATACAACGAAAATGAGTACTGTTCCGGATGTTACAGTGGTGTACACTGGAAATGTATCCAACATCAATAATTTTGATGTAGATGACGACTGGGAATTTTTTTCTGAACAGCTCGACCAGTCTTTGAATGCCAATAAGGTAGAAGATGATAGAAAAACTTTGATTTTAATTACCTCCATAACAGAGAATGCCTACAAAATTCTCAAGAACTTGTGTTATCCAGCGAAGCCCTTCGAAAAGCCATATGCAGACCATACATCCCAAAGATGCCTAAAGATGCTATTCTATTGCGTAACACGTGTCGCAGTTTTGTAAACTTTCAAGTAGAAATCTCACATTGAAGTGTTTTTTGAAAACAAAAAAATAACGAATTTCAAATGAAGCCATTTCTACTGAAGCCGTCTCAAACGAAGAATGACGGGGGATGTATTATAAAAATACTGTTTGCCAAATTTCATTGTATTGAACTGACAGTTGACAATAAGCATGAAAATTGACATATGACAATAACCATGAAAATTGATAGTTGTCAATAACTAACAAAATTGTCAGTTGACAATAACTATGAAAATGGACCGTTGACAATAAACTTGTCACCTGTATTTTCAAAACTAATAATATTATTTGTTTATATATCCCCATTTGTTGAGTTAATTTTGTAAAAAAAATGGTAGGAAGGAAATCCAAATAGTAACAAGAGAACTGTTTTATTCCCGAATATGTTCAAGCAGCTATTCAACTGTTTGGGGTGTCAATTCTTTCGAGACTTTTGGTTTAAACATGCTGTAATAAGAAGCATCTGCAATGAGCAATTGATTAATAACCAAATGATAACACGACAACATCGAATCTGTTATCAAAAGCGTGACTATAATGGACGTTTCCAGTACCCCTATTCAGTGTTGCCACTTTAAAATTTTCGGGTCTAAATCGACTGACATTTTCTATGACTTTTTTGGAATAATTCAACTAAGACAAATAGGATATGTATTAAACTACAGTTTCACTTCTTAAAAAAAACTCTAAGCAGTAATGAAATATTCCAGGTACCAAAACTTCAATCAATATCGAAGTCAAGCTGATAGAATGCTGTTTCAGAGATGAAACGAAACATTTTCAATTTTTTTTTTGTCACCAATGCTAACTAGCATTCTGAGCATGACGCACCACTATTTGTAAAGAAAAACTCAAAATACCTCCAAATTTGAATTTTCTTTTCATGTACATAACCTTAACAAGCCTCTACTACTGGTTGACAGTTGACAACTGACAATAATCTATCAGATTCTTCGGCTCTGATTTCGATGTAACTGACGAAATTCATCGATGTACACTAATGACAGAAAGAAACAGTTTAAAGTAATCAATCTGTTAAAATCGGTGAATAAAGGAATATGTGTTCGTGTATTGAATAATTTTTCACTTTCTTATTATAATTCTGTGCTTACCTTTCCATCAGATTTCCCCAGTACAGAATGCACTACATAATCAGGAGGGGCCAATCCGTCGATAATCCCCAAACAGTCCGGTTTCAGTTTACCGCACAGATCCAGAATACCATCTTTGACGCTTTTGGAAAACTCGGGCCCCTGCGCATAGCCTCCTTGGTAAAAATATACCAAATGTTTGTCCAGGCAGCTCAGTCCGTACAGGGCCCCCAGATTCGCTAGGGCAGAGAACAACTCTTTATTTGCTGTGCCAACTTTGGACCAGTAGTATCGTAGAGCAGTGTATTCCGCATATGCTCTTGACAGAACTGCCGCTCGATATACCTGGGATTCGTTTCGGGCTGTAAATTTGTCGAGCCCCCTGCCGATTACTTCGTTCTGCTTATTTTCAGTCTCTCTTACTAGGTAGATGATTAGCCACTGGTAGGATTCTTCGATGACTGAAAACGAGAAGAGATTATGGTTATATTTCTAAATACAAACAATGACATCTTTGTCCAAAGTCCCTTCCTTGCCTGAGCATTGCTAAGGAGTTGTTGAGTGACGTCAACGGCGATCTAGATTTGCTTGAAAGGGTCATAACTAGTGATGAATCATGGATATATGGTTGTGACATCGAAACCAAAGTCCAATCGTCACAATGGAAGAGCCAATACCAAAAAAGCACGAAAGTATGATATCAAATGTCATAGTTTTGCTTATTGTTTTCTTCGATTACCGTAGCACCACATCGTTCGACGAGTGCTAGACTAACTCACAAAGTGTACCGAAACCCCCACTCACACGGATAGGTGTGTCAAAAGAGAGAGTCACCTCTACTCTAACTGAACGGGCTCGAAAAATTTGTGAACCAGAGCCTGTAGAGGAAGAACGGAACATCTCCAAGTGACCTTGAGATCGAATGGATACAGTGTCCCCGAGATTAACACGGCCATGAAACTGAGGAGTTTCACGGTTCAAAACGGAGAGGAAGCTCAGAAAGTTGCACATGCATATCTACCACATGCAGCCAATGATGCAATTGAACACTGGTTTGTATTTAATATACCCTACAAAATACAAATAAAAGAGTCAGATGCTACAAATGCAATACGCATATATATAGACGGCTCGAAAACCAAAGAAGGCTCAGGATGGAAAAAAATACCAGCGTGGTTCAAACAGAACTGGCTGGTATCTCAATCGCCACAAAAGAAATAACCAGGAAAGGAATTTCTGGCAAAAACATAACAATCTGCACTGATAGTAGACAAGACCTGTTAGCCTTGGACAGACAACGTGTTACCTCAGGGCTAGCACAGAGAGCCACCAAGATTTAGCCAAAGCTTCGGTAGATAATAACATCCTGAGGTGGAAGGTCACCTTCCTGGAAAGGACAGGATGGACAATGACCTAGGAGGACAACTCCTCGGGAGTGATGTGGGCCGACACTCACCCTCCCTACTCTATAGATCTACCATATATTCTTATAGGATCATAGACAGATTTAGAAAAATTTTGGGGAAACACATTAAAACGTTCTTGAACTCACCAAGAAGATACAACAAAGCCTCAGGTCGACTTAAGACAAAGGAGTTCCGTCCACAAAGAAGGTACGCGGACGCCATTATTGGAGACGGAATTCATTTTGTGTTATAAATGTCCGCCTTTTGATAACGAGCTAGAAATCGTAAAAATAATAGTGTTAAAAAAATTGTTGTGTATTAAAATAAATAGTTCTCCCATTCACGCCGGTTGGAGGCCGGGGTGGATCATCCAAAATAGAGAGAGAGAGAGAGAGACTTAAGACAAAAATAACTCAATATCAGCAGCCGAGGTATATCGCATACCGTGCAGTTGTGGAAAGGTATACTTTGGATCCATGAAATGATCCATGAGAACAAGGCGGAAGGACCATGAAAGAAACTGCAGACTAGGTCAAATGGACAACGGCAGAATACGCACTCAGTGAAGGAAACCACAGAATTCTGTTTGAAAACACGAAACTAATTGCCCCCAACCAGGGGGCATAGCCGACTGGTACGAGAGGTAATAGAAATCCATAAACACCTCGGCCTCGAAAACTTTAACCATTCTGTCGATATGAAAAAAGGCAGAGGAACTTTCAATACTGTTTCATATTGATTATAATGTGATATGAACCAATTTGCAATGCGACGTTTCTTTCTACAAAAATCGATGAAAAGAACTAGAGGTACGAAAGGCATGTTTTTGTGGACGAATCAGGAGGTGGAGGCGGAGACTATTGTCTTTCCACATCAGGTTTATGCTTTGTTTTGGTTGTTTTCCAGGTTTTGCCCTGGTGTTCTTTGGTCACAATCTCCAAACGTTCCAATTGCAACTAACCAAAAAATTGACGCCAGCCGTGGAAGACTACATTCCTATATACGTTTATGCTTTCACAGAAATACTCCCTTGAAAATGTATTTCGATCTAAATAAAAATTGGAAATACTCTATTCAAAAATCAACTCTACTCACACGTTCTATTTTGCACGTCCTCCTTCGTCCTAACACTACCCCTCCTCCTGCGTATCCGGTCGTGGTCGACGAAGAACTTACAACTTTCCAAGGGGGAGGATAACCGTTCCTCAGTAGTAACGCTCTGCCACTGCCTCAACAGCCAGTTGCTCGTTTGCTGCACCAGCACGTTATTGTCTCCCTCGTAGGTCACGCAGGGGTCTACCGTGCTGCGGAGTTCTCCCAGGCGAGCAGCCTTGAGAAAGCCGTGTCCCCCGCACGCTTCTCTGCACTCCTGACAGGCGTCTCGACAGGACCAAGTGATGAGGGGTTTGGCGCTGGAGACTAGCGCGTGGATTTCTGACACCATTTGGCTCTGAAAAATCGGGTTGACTCAGTTGGAACTGACAAGGCATATATTAATGATATCAATTAGGTATTTCTCACACTAAGCTTAAGGATTAAGTGGGGAACGGGAAAAAATACTAGCGTGGTCCAAACAGAACTGGCTGGTAACTCAAACGCCACAAAAGACATAACCAGAAAAGGAATTTCTGGCAAAAACATAATCTGCACTGACAGCAGACAAGCCCTATTAGCTTTGAACAGACAACGTGTAACCTCAGGGCTAGTATCAGAGTGTCACCAAGATTTAGCTAAAGCCTCGGTAGATAATAACATTTTCCTGAGGTGGGTTAAAGGGCACGACTGGAGTAAAGGTAATCGCATTGCCGACTCTTCAGCCAATGAAGCGGCTGGACTAAGAATTTTAGGACCCAGTGGCACCCACGGCCTGATGACTTCGACAATTGCGAAACTAGCCAAATGTTACACCCACGCTCAATCCCTAAGGAGATGGGATGGAATCAAGGGATGCAATCTTGCTAGGATCACCTTGGGCGACCCTGGAAAGCTGGCGCCGAAGAAACACCTCCACAATATGTAGGATGTGTGAACAGGAAGATGAGATTGTCAGACATGTCCTGTGGCCTCCTTACTCTACAGATACAGATAGGTATTTCTCAGACTCCAAATCAATTATTTACTAAATTGCTCGTCCTAAATTTCACTCTCAAGTACTTACCAAGTGTTCTAGCTCAACTGAGGTTGCCGATTTTTCTACAACTGATAGATATGTTTCCGTAAATTCATTTACAAAAACTCTCAGGACTGCAGCTGCCGCCATGTGGGGAAACAGTCGCCATTGCTGGAAATACATTTCTAATGAGAGTTATTTCATAAAGTTAGGTATGTAAACAAACACTGATTTTTTTTTCAAAATATGCCGTCTGTGAGGAATACCTAAACTTCGCGAGACCATATTTATAACCTACAGAGATTCAAATCTAACCTACTCCTACAGGAACTGGTCTCAGAGAGTTTTGAGTCTTTTCCCGCAGTAATGGGAAATGTTCCTCAATTTGGGTTATTACAGCAAATGCAAGTTTCAACAAAATAAAGTTGAGTTTAATTCATAAGTTTTTCAAATACACTACGAAAAGTATTCAAATTGATGTTTCAAATGTTGGGTTTTAATTTTCAAAGGGATTTGTTTCTAATTCACATATTGGCAACAGCGCCTATATCAAGTTGAAATAATTTATACATAACTAGATATTCTACTTTAAAAAAGGAAAATTATCTTTATAAATCAACAATTAAGGCAAAATATAAATTATAGTTCAATACCACTTCCACAAGCCACATAAACAACAGTTGTTTTGTTATTTATTTATATAGAGGAAGATGGGTTAGGTCATATGTCAAGATGGCACAACAACCCAGCGCTACGCGATCTACACGATGCGTTGAAGATGGATGACCCCAGGTTCCGAGAAAGGGACAAACATCCAAGGCTGACTAAGCAAAACCAACGACCGCCCCACGAGTCGCCGTCAGGCGACTCCGGTAAGCATACTAATCAGATTTTCTTTCAACAAGTTCACCGCAGAATAACTCGACCGCGATCCAATTATCCTTAGATTCACTGAGGAACGCCCGACGTTAATAGCAATAGCCGCCGGTTAGTTTTTGGAGGCCCCCATGCAAAAATTCAGTTAGGAATAGTCAGACAAATCATTTTTTACCGATCACGAAAGAATAACACTTAAAGGCTGACTTTCGACCAAAAGAGGTCAGATGTCAATCTTGCTGAAGTTGCCCATCAGTAAGTTGAGGACCGCTCGGAGAGCGGGGGTGGATGGAGTGGGGTAGTGGGGTAGTAGGTTCTCCTCGCTAAATAGCTGGGGGGGGAGCTTCTACTTCAGGGCACTCACCCTGGGAGGGGGCATGGAGGGTCATATGTCACACAATGTCTCGGAACTCGGAACATAAGTAAAAAGAACAGCACGCCTCTGAAATATGTCATCTTTGTCTCATACAGGTAACATATTCATTGGCCTTTATTAGCTATAACCGATGTTGCCAAATGGTGAAATAGAAACGAACCCCTTTACATGTTGAATGCATTATTTCATTCCTCTTTTTCAAGTATTTAAATAATTTTTTGAAGAAAATGGTTGAAGTGATAAGTTTGAAATGCGTTGTTTTAGAGCTCTTTTATGACTAGTCCTAAAACAAAAAGGTTGAAAGCACTGCCCTGAATGTGGACTAAAACTCTTTTCCTAGTCAACTGGATGATTTATAACCAAGACAGCATTATCCGGAGATAAATAATTGAAAAGTGTTTTGAATGGCGCACCTATCAAATTAACATCACAAGCATTCCGCGATGATTTTATATGAAGCGACGGTATACGTTGGTGGACGTGAATAATGTGAATCAGTATTGAATAAAATCGAAATATAGTGATGTAAATGATATCTGGATGAGGTAAGAGAATCTTCAGAATTTGAATGAGTCGTTCTACTAAATTAACACATCTTTACTCTTGAAAATCTTTACTCACGTGCAGTTGATATTCAATGATAGGCAACTCGTCAGTGTTAACATTCCCGTCTCCATTTGGAGCGAACTGCTTCCTAACAGCGGCATATCTAACAGCGATGGTAACTGCACAGATGAGGTTGTTAGAACTTTCTTGCATTATACCAACACGCCCCATCGAAAGATTCTCCAAAGCTGCCCCAAGTATCCTCCCTGGGTCGGTAAAACTGCTTTCGTACTCCCCGTCAGGGGTGACATCTGCAGTCCTGTTCAGCAGGTTATCTTTTGGTATTCTATAGTTGTTGAACATAACGAAGCTGGAACAAACAGTGTATGAAATGAATATAGTTTTGACGAGTTGTATGCGAAACTAACCCATTATCAATTCCACTCAGTCCTATTTTCTCGCCCATATCTCCGACTACGATTCCTGGATAAGGTAGGAGAGTCTTTGGATCTCTTATCGGAACGACGAAAGCATGCAATCCGTGACACTGACCTTTGGTGTGCAGCTGCGCGAAAAGTAACGCATATATGCATTGAATTCCTTGAGGAAGAAAAAAGAGTTCATTTGAAAAATCTGATGAGTATTTGAAATAACATATTGACGGAACAATCATTCAGTAATCCCTTTTTAGTGTGCGTTTACGTCTGAAGATTTTAATGATAGGGAGCCATGACCTCTTTCAGAAAAAAACATGAAAAAACTGTACATGCTAATTCAATATAAATCTTTTCGGACATAATAAACAAATCACTACATCTATAATAAAAGAAAGATACTGTCGTTTCAAACAGCTACAGGCGATGTATTTTTGAATTGCAATCGCCCCACGTTGGGCGCCACATCTACAGTCTGATTAGAGAAAGTAACAGGAATAATGTGTATATATATTCAAGGTCAACTTTGTATTACCTAAATTTCCTACCCAACATTTGGCTGCTTCAAAGTCAGGTGTGTTAATAATAAATTCCTGGGTCTTTGGATCGAAGGTGGCTGTGGTTCTCATTAGCTTTGTATTACTTCCATGAGAAATTTCTGTGAGCGCCAAACACGATAACATCTGGAATAATAATAATATAAATGATAATGCAGTTCTTTAAATTATATTCCGTGATAAATGTAAAAATCGTCTATTAAAATATTTTGGAAAATCACTTACCTTGTTGATTATTCCAAAATTATTTCAGCATACTTACAATGGTAATGATAATAATGGCAATCAATCGACTGAATTAGTGAAGTTTCTTTCGAATCGAATATTAAATGCAAAAGTTTTTATAGCTTTTCTTCACAAACAAATGCGATCATGGTGTATTGATATATTTTTCATGGCCTAGAAGATATACATCTATTGTAGGCTTTTATTTGTGTTCCTCTGCATAAAACTGTTGTTCATAATCATTTTCATTGCCATTATTATGATTAATTATAATTCTATGGATAACACTACATACCTCATTACCTGCATAAGCGTAGTGCTGATGTTTTTCCGTTCCCAAAGTAGCTATGGTGTTACTGAAGAGTCCAAACCCTAGCGCCAATTTTACTGACGCATCCGGAAATGTGGAGGCAAAGGCTTCATTACAGGCTAAGAGCAACCTAGTCTGAGAAAAATAATGAGTCAAAAACGGAGATATAAGTAATCAAAACGAAAATATCAATACTGACTTTCATGTAATATTGAATAATCGAGTCTAAAATTACCGTTTGTTTTTCACAACGTGATATTAATGAATCTTCATTAAGTAAGTTGATCTTAGACGAGTTAATTTATTTCATAGTTGTTAGGCTTTCGCCTCCATATCGGTTTTTTGTGTTCGGTAACGTAATAAAAATATCTAATAGTAATCTATTACTATTAATAAGTAATAAAAGTGGCAACCCTGTCTGTGTATATGAGTAGAAATAGTAAACTGCGCAAATATGGTTCTGTGACAAATGAGAAGAAGAAAATGACAGGTGAGCACAAAAGTAAATGAAAAAGTTATGAAAAACCAATAATTATGCTTTACGGCCTAGATGCAAAAATCGCTATCTAACACTGAACAAATCCGTTATGTTTCCTCATATATTATGCCGAAAATGTTTATACAAACCCTTTTTCTGAAAGGCGTATTCAGATCTACGTTGGCGAGTTTGTGGTCTATGTATCTCCTCAACTGTAAAGCCGTTCTTCTTTTTTTCTGGTCTGTAAGTAGCTCGACGTTCGGTCGGTGAAACAGCGGGTCTTTTTCCAGACATTTCCACACACGCAGCTGAGAATCATGAGAGTTTCAATGATGTATACAGAAATATTTCTAGATTATATAAGATTGTTGCGGTTTTGTATTCCCACGGAAAAAAAAAAGACATACAAGTCCCCATGGTTGCCAACTGCGGTAAAATAATGACATTTAACAATTTTACATTTATGATGCACTGTTCGGAACCTTTGGTGTAGTAATGAATATTACTGGAGTTTTTTCCCAACACCAAATCGTTATTTTTAACACTTGATCACTTGGTGATCGAAACACGTGTCGAGGTGTTAAAAATAACGATTTGCTGTTGGAAAAAAAAACTCCAGTAATATTAATTTTACATTTGTTAATGAATAAATAACCTATCTTTCTGAGTTCCTTCTGCATTTTCCTTTTGGGGACATAATTGGGACAGACCATCTTATATTTCTTCTTAGCTGATTCTTCATTCTGGAGCCCCAACTTCATATAGGACGACTGGAAATTTTTTTTGGGCCATATTCTGGTAATCAGTTTCTCATTTACGAAAAATGAAAATGCAGAAGCAACTCAGAAAGATAGATTTATTAGCAAATGTCGAATTGTCAAATGTCATTATTTTACCGCAGTTGGCAACCATGGGGTCGCATCACTTAATAAGGTGAATTGACCTTCCTGAGTTCCTTCTGCATTTTCATTTTTGGGATATATTTCCTCATAGCTGATTCTTCATTCTGGAGCCCCAACTTCATATAGGACGACTGGAAATCTCTTTTTGGCCATATTCTGGAAATCAGTTTCTCATTTACCAAAAATGAAAATGCAGAAGGAACTCAGAAAGATATGTTATTTATTTATTAGCAAATGTCGAATGTCATTATTTTACCGCAGTTGGCAACCATGGGGTCGCATCACTTAACAAGGTCAATACACATATTTGAATATGCAAAAACAGAAACTTCAATTTGATTTCAACATTTTGATTTTATGTTTTATTCTGTATAGAATCGTTGGTGAAGTAATTTTCGAATTTGTGATGTACCCAAAACAAAAATATACTGTCGTAGCTACTATTATAATTAAGAAGATCGAAATTGAGTTATAGAAAGCAGAATGTCTTAGAACGAGGTGAATTGAAGTTCAACAATGATGTAAATACTTCGTCTGGATCTGCTCTGGCTATTGTGAAACTATATAGCAAAGTTATCAGTTAAACTAGTGAAACCTTCCGTAAAAACACCGTTATTGAAATTATTCCATAAAATTTCTAGTATTGCTCATCATACCCTCATTTTGAGTAGCTCCTCATCTTCGAAAAATAGTTTCAGCTTCTTCCAGTCAAACCTCGCTTGTTTCCTGTAGTGGTCCAAGGGGCCGGGAACAAAATCGTCCAATATAAGCTGGTTTCCTTCCAAATCCATTATTTTAAGTCTCTGAAATGGAATTTTCAGTTTTAGAAATCAACTGAGTAATAAAAAAAATTTATTGGTATTTTTACAGTGGTCTTAGAATTGAAAACAGCGATAAAGCATTACCTAAGGTAAAAGGCAGGTACACCCTGGGAAAATGTGGTTGTGTATGTATAATATGTCATGACGTTAACAATTGATAACGGCCATTTTGTTGAAGCTACATCTGATAAACAAAAACCTAAACGGAGTGTACAGCATGTAATGCTTGGGCTGCAACACACTCTATATCGGTCAAACCAAGAAAAAACTATTTCATCAGTTCGGACTTCCATTGTCTAATATAATATAAATTAATTTGATAACCCTGAAAAGAAGCCGCGTATATGTTGTGCAACAACGCATTTAGTCAAGCTAGCGTAGAGATACGTAACATATGGAAACCTCTAATCAAGCGAAAAACGACCAACTCCCGCCAAACGGTCATCTCCCGCCAAAACCAAGGAAGCGGAAAGAGGGAAGAGGGGATAGGAAGCATACATAAACCCAATAGCATATAAATCAAACCTCGCAACACACGCCATACAAAACAAACATAACTTTCCCTCACCAGAAACCATTAAACTCATAACACAAGTCAATAAAGGAAACCGTATGGACACGTCCTAGAATAGCATAAAAAACTCAAAGCAGTCACGTTTGACGTCATATGACTTACAGACGTTTCATCAACGAATGCAATATAAAACAATTAGTGACTCTATTCTTTTCTACGGATTATCACTATCACTATCTTCAACAACCGATGACAAAAAGTACAATAAGTCTTTTCAAATTTGCGACATAATATCAGAACGAAAGCCTTCATTGACCTGAGAATCTCATTCAATACCTCATACAACATGAAGAGTGTACTTTAATGAAACTAAATCCTGATTCCATTATTATTACTATTGATGCAGAGCCACGAATCAATATAAACAAGATAAACATTCATGGAAAATTCGCAAGTAACATTATGTAGTATTTCTATTTGCCTATTGACTCAGTCCATTGTGTCATAGATTATGGTTTACACAGAAAGATAACAAAGTAAAGCAAGACAGACGCGAGATATTAATCTAGCAATATTATATTAGCAATCGAAATAATTTTTTATCATATACGCAACCAAAATTGTTTATCATTCATTCAGTCACGCCATTTTTGTGAATTCTGATAAGAACTTTTTTAGGAAACTAGTCACTTACGTTTTATGAGGAATGAACAAGTCATCTTATAAAGATATACGAGGCCTGTTCAAAAAACAGGGTGAATTAACATTTTCCAGCGTTTTTCCGAATCCTCAAAGCAGTTCTCATATGTATTTTTTGGTATGTCGTTTGAGTTCTCTCGGCGATTCGGTTTTAATCTTTTCAATCGTCGCAAAACGCCATCCTTTCATGGGTCTCTTCAATTTTGGGAACCGAAAAAAGTCACAGGGGGGCAAATCTGGTGAATACGGTGGCTGAGGCACGATAACGGTTTTGTTTTTGGTCAAAAATACCGGTCGGTTTCTTCGTATTGCTTCGATTTGAATTACTTCAAGTTGAAACTTTCAATTTTGGCGTTCGAAGAATACCCAATTTTCAATAAGCTATCATTCCGTTTGTATTTGATCTACTGACACTTAAACCCATTATTATGTTTGCTTCATTTTTACTAGACTTTTTTTTTCGATAAAATAGTTACTTTTTGAGCCATTCGCGAAAAAATGCCTTGCAGTGCAATTTAATTGATTGAAAAAATGTCACTCGCGAATAAATAAAGTATTGACTTTTAAAAACAAATTATAGAACAGAAGTTGCTTAAAATTAGTCATTCTATCCACTCCCGGACTTATTTTAAACGAAACAACCTCGATATATCTCTAAAAATACTTCACCTAGGCAGCTATATATTTTTTTGATTTAATTTTGAGAAAGTGGGTTAAGTTTTATTTCGTGGTTGGTAACACTGGTTGTCACATGTCGTTTCAGCACGATCAACTCCAATAACAGTTAACAGAAAATGAAGTGTATGAAAAAGTACTAACTTGTGAAATTGAATGAAATAACACCGAAACGATGAATACACCTTCATTTAACATTAGATAGGTGAGTTATGACATAGCTTTTTATTAAACTTTTTGTCAGTGACTGTCATTAATACAAATCCCAAATTAACCAGCAGCAAAACATCATTTTCTTGAAAGAAACAGCTGCAATTGTATCTCCTTTTGTAGGTCCCGAGTCGATTGCTTATATTCTACTGGCTATTATTGCTTTTGCTCTTTTGAATTTTCTTAATCTTTTGTTGGGTAGTTCGTAGTTGAACAATATGAGAAAATTTTACTTCATGGGATACTCACGGATTTTCGCGAATGTTTCTGTGATGATGACACTACGTGATGCTAGGAATTCAGAACACTTTTTATTTTTTGTCGGACTCAATTAGTTTTCGAGATATAGCCTGTAAAAGTTTGCATGATATCATATTTTACCATTTTTTAAAGTAATAAACGATTGCGATTCACATATTTTTTATTCAACACATCTTTTTCCACTTTTTTCTATCCCTTTTCATTCCCCTATAGCCAAGTTTCTTGAAATTAGATTGACATTTAATAATTTGTCACATGCTAACTCAACCTAACCTAACCTAACTCAGTGTAACCTTACTTTACAATTTAAAAAAACTATGTATCCTCAACATCTAACCTGGCCTCCAAACTCTAAAAAGAACGTATTTTCGAATAGTGAAACTTAACGCAATTTATAAAAAGTGATTTGTGTGCACCTGACAAATTATGGAATTTCATTCTAATTGCAGGAAACTTGGCAATAAGTGATTGAAAAGGGATAGAAAAAGGTGCGATGATATGGGAAAAGTTGTGTTAAATAAAAAAATATGTAAATTGCAATCGTTTATTGCTTTGAAAAAAAGGAAAAATATGTAAATTGCAATCATTTATTGCTTTGAAAAAAAGGGAAAATATGACGTCATACAAACTTTAACAAACTATTTGAATCCGATAATGAAAAGTGTCCTGAATTCCTACCATCATGTAGTATCATCACAGAAAAATCCGTGAGTATCCCATAAAGTAAAATTTAGCCAAAAATATTCGTTTGTTAACTTTACAGTATAAACACAGTTTCTGTGGTATACCTACATTACAATACCTAAGCACCAGTTTAAGAAAAATTATTCCATTTTATCGTTTAAACTCAATCATGTTTTTGAAACAGTATGCAAAAAACATCGATTTTGAATATCTAATGACCCAGTAACATTTTTAACGGAACAAAAACGAGAGTGCATTACATTTTTTGCATGAATTGTAAACAGTGACCTAACATTAGTCACACATGGCCAACCGTTTAACTTGTTTTGGTAGTTTTTACTGTTTTAGTTGTAGTATAAACAGATTTACCCAAGACAATGTGTCATAGTCAGCTACTTTCAGGCTTTTTAGATGAATGTTTGACCAGAATATCGATTATTATGATCTTGTTTTGTATGAAGCGCGTGAAAAGTTGTGATGAATTTGTTTTATTTGATTCGGGAATAGATTTCTAACAAATTATAAACGTGATAGGTAGTGTTCCGTTCACAGTGAAGACTGGAAATTTGTTATAACCCTACATTTCCTGAATAAACCTCTGAAGAAAGGAAAGGCGTTACGGTAAGTTTCCGCACCTTTAGTTATTTATATCTAATAGGTACTACTTTTTAAAAAGGTATAGAATATGGTACAGTGGCCGACTTTTTTATTTAAGCCTCAACCGCCAGGGGTTATTGGCTATATAATAATTTACATAATGTGTTTTTTGATGAAATTTTCTGGGAATCTAAAATGGAGCGAGCAATAAAAAAATGTGCCGAAACCAAAAAATTTGAAAATACATTTTATGAGTCACAAACACTCGTCCCAGTGGAAGAGCCAAGGCCAAAAAAGCACGCTAAGTCAAGATTTTGCTCACTTTTTTTTCGATTACTGTGGCGTAGTGCATCAGAAGTTCTTGCCACATGGTCGTACGGTCAACAAGGAGTATCATCTTGATAAAAGCTTGTTTTCAAAAAATTTTTTACAACCTATTAGACAATCTAAGTTTCATCTTCAACCACATAGAAACATTTTGAAATAATTTTTGGCTTCTTCATTACTGTTGAAAAAGAAGTATTACATGCTGAATCGTACGAAAGTTATACTTTTTATTTAATTTCTGTTTTCTTCAACCCCAGTAATGAAAGCTACTAATATTAAGCAACACATTGTTCATGAATTCCTCGATGAATCTGATGTCACCCCAGGTTTTTATAATCTTCGTGACATTTTAATGTTATGAATTCGGTAAAGTCATCTCTATTTTCACAGTGTTGTCGTCTTCAAACTATGGCCCACGAATGGTGAGTGACATCAGTATTATGTGGGTAATACTTAGATAATGAAAATTTGGAGGTCGTTGATTTTATTTATTACACACTGTTTGAAAGGAATTATTAAATTAGTGAAAACATTGTTAGTGAATCAAATATTCACAGCAGTCCCAAAAGAAACGTTACAAAATTATTCTGCAAGCTTTTTGTCACTACATGTTACCTGTAAATTTCGAAATAATCCTCAAATTAAAAAAATAGTGATTAAGAATAGGGGTACCTACATACTTATATATTAACGATTAACGATATACCTCAATATAACTGTTCATAAATGAATGAAAAAAGTTAGAGTGGCAGCATTGCTTCGGACGAGGATTGAGAACCAACGGCTATATACATGAAAGAAGAAGAAGAATAAGAAGATAACTTCAGGGTGTCGGTTTTGCGTGACGGTGTTATCGCGCATCGTAAAAATTAAGTGTCATCATCCATCAATTCATTTAGGTATAACTCCAATAAATACTTTTTCCCCGACTCAATAATGTTGAAAAAAATCTGTTTTTCCGTTAAACAGCTTTCGCACCCCTACGAACGACAACCCTCAGAAGTTGAAACTTGTGCGAGCTAAGGATTAACGATGTTCTCCTATGGAACAGTCACTATAGACTATAGACAATATTATTAGTCGGTTAAAATCTTTTTTTCGGGAAAAATATAATGAATTTACACCTGCTTGAAGTTCTCCACTATAATTTTTGATTTTTTTCTTATTAGGGAAGGTGAATGTGTGTTGAACTAGTTCATTTTGTGTTTTCAAATTCAATGTTCATTAGGCGAGGAAAGAATATACTTTTTGATTGGATACAAAACGTTTTAGCCGTACCATTCAACCATTTTCAACTTTAATAGAGAGTTGATGTATGATGTACAAATAATAATTTGAGTAATTTCATTAAAAACCATATAATTATTTATATCAGTATCGGATAGATCGGGAGTATACAAGTAGACTTGTGGTTCTTGGCCAAAATTTTATATCGGACAAACCGGAATTACTTTTTCGAAGAGAATAAAACAGCACAGAAGTAGTTTTGGTAAATTTTCGTTATCTGGACACCCGGCGATTTTGAAAAAATTTTTGACTGTACTTACGTATTTTGATGCGTAGATTACGAATCCGAAAGAAAAAAGCGGCGCTCTCCCTTATTTAAAAAGTTACGGCCCTTCAAAGTTCAGAAAAGGGCAACTTTTCAGCCTTCTTTTTCACTAAATAAACTATTTAAAAACACAAGCATTTATTCACTAGATCACCTTTACACCTTATTCCTCCTTCTTTAACACTTTTCACTTCAATAATCAACATTTTTCTTACAAAAATGTTAAAAAATGTACGGAGCTGCTTTTTGGTTACATATCACTGTATTTTACGTTTTTAAGGTTAATGATATGGTTGGTACGACTGATGCAGTCCATATTCCTGAAGTAATTCAAATGTTTTTTACCTTCATTCTTTAGATCGTAAATTGGTTTTTGGTGGTGTATTACGAATTTGAAATAGTAGGCGACGACAAATACCAACCGCTTTTTTCTGAAATGTCACTAGTAACTAACCTAAAAATAGAATAATGTCACCAGGAGAAGCATTCGTTTTTAAATTAAGTTTTTTATAAGAAAAATGTTGATTATTGAAGTGAAAAGTGTTAAAGAAGGAGGAATAAGGTGTAAAGGTGACCTAGTGAATAAATGCTTGTGTTTTTAAATAGTTTATTTAGTGAAAAAGAAGGCTGAAAAGTTGCCCTTTTCTGAACTTTGAAGGGCCGTAACTTTTTAAATAAGGGAGAGCGCCGCTTTTTTCTTTTGGATTCGTAATCTACGCATCAAAATACGTAAGTACAGTCAAAAATTTTTTCAAAATCGCCGGGTGTCCAGATAACGAAAATTTACCAAAAATTGTTATCCATTATTCTCTAACGTACAGTAAACTTCCAAGTGGAAACCTCATATCAAAGTGTGTTTTTTGAATACGTTATAATGGATTTTCAACAAGTATCGTCAGTCAGTTTCATCATAGTCTTTCAGATTTTCACCAATCCCCGAAATACTCAGAGTTGTACGCAATATTTTGTAAACCGTCTTCACATTTGTACCTAAAAACAAAAGCTCAAACAGAACCTAACCTAACCACCCACCGAACGAAACGGAAATCAATTTTCATCAAGTACAAAAATTTATTTCTGCTTCAATGTTCGACGCGCGAGTCTCCTAGATATTCCCGTAACGAATATTGAAACTAATAAATTGAGTAATGGCCTGAAATAGAGCGTCAATTGAACTAACGCTGGTCACACACAGTGGCGGTGTGAAACACCCTCCTCACCTGCTATTTTTCGAAATTCCTGGACACGTGATTTTCCTCCGGAGATATCGACTATTCTTTGGGTTGCCGCCCCTCGTTCACTTGTTGCACATTAGCACACTAGATAGGGATGCACGCAAAACAAACGAACGTACGACTGACGAATCTCGTCCTACACCCGACGCTGAGTAAGTCACTGCCGGGTTACGAGAAATAGATTCGGCATAGAACCTGCGGATGTAGCTTGCCGGCTTGGTGGTTGAATAACGATTGAACAGAGCCGGATTCAAGGGTGGTCGCAAGGCCTGGAATGGGCGTATCTCTGTGACGTATGTGTGTGACGTAACCAGTTTCAGATGACGTTTCATCACTGTGCCGTCTGCTGTAGCCAACTCTACATTTTCACCAAAGAAGAACGCTAAAAATGACAGGTTATGGATTAAAACAAACACGAAACTGGGAAAAGTCTATCTGGAGAGGCAACAAAGTTGCAAATATTATAAGACAGTTATGGCAAACTAGCAATCCGAATGCTCATGAACAGGGGCGTCGCCAGCTCATGACTAAGGGGGGGGCAATGGGCAATATTATGAAGGATAAAAAATATGAACGCCTGGTACAGTCGAAAGCATGAAGCGTTACATTTTGGAAGTCTTTGCCTTGATGACGATTGTAATGAGAAAGGTTCTGATATCAATGTATAAAACTTCACAAGCCCTCGACTGTACAGGTCATGTATGGTAAAGCGATCAAAATTTTTAATGCTTTTTCCGTTTCGGGAAAGAAGGAATGTGTTTCTTTTAGGACATCAACAACTGTAAGATTTCTTAGATTAAGCCTATCGTGCCACAATTGCTGCCAAAGTTCGATTTCATTCTTTATATTTTCGGCAATAACGTACTTCAAGGGAGATGATAATTGAATCCAAGTATGATATTACTAAAGACCTCTTCCACTATTCTGAAGGGCTTTCTGCTGGATGTTTCCCCGTAATACGCGGCATTGATGTAATGTCCTCCTCCAGTCCGACTTTCTCCGCAACAGCAGTAGCTTACTTTATAATTTCGTCTGTCACTTTTTCCGGATTTTCACGGTGGTTTTTAATTGAAAGTAAAATCCTTTTAACGTAGGCTTTGATCACGTCCAAAGCTACAGATTGGAGTACGTTGACAACGAGTTCCATCAAAGCGCCATCTAGCGTCGAGTAGCAATACTAGGTTTTACAAGGATTGTAGTCGATTCATTCACCTGTAGGCTGTAGGCTTATGAACACTGTTTAATGGTAAATCTGATATAGTCGTGATGATAATGGCGGCGATTCTAAAAACGGATGTTAAAATGCTAATTTTATTCTGAATATTTCAATACTTTCTACAATATACATTAAACCTTGTGAATGTATTAATAGGTAAGGAACTCAATTGCTCGCACTTTGATCGCTTTGCGGCTAGCTACATTTGATCTCTAGGGGGGTTACTGCCCAGCCCCCCTGGTCCCCGTTGGCGACGCATTTGCCCATGAAATTGATCCCCATAAAGGAACTCAACTCTTGGAAATTTATGCGCTCGAAATTCAAATATATACGGAACAGAAGAATCACAAGCAACTTGAGGAACTATATGAACGCAGTCTAAAAGTGCGTTCAACAATTCCCCATCCAATGATTATGAGTGTTATAAGAGAATGTGGCGAAAATATGCATCTGAGGGCTGGAGATTACGAAAAGGCTTACACCGTCTTTTTCGAGGCGTTCAAGAACTATGATGAAGCAAGAAATCCACGGCGAGTATATTGTCTGAAATATATCATTCTTAATAGTATGGTGCTCAAATCTGCTATTAACCCATTTGAATCAGAGATCTAGAGACATTTTCTATTGAAGCCTAATCGATTTTTTGAAATATTGTTCGAATATGATTTTGCCAGATTATCAATAATGTGAACTGGGCGTGACATCACAAGATGTTTCACAAGACCCCTCTTTCCATTTAATTTTTTCCCAGATGGCGACCAATCGCCATCTTGAAAGTTTCATCTGTCAAATGTCACTAGTTCGGACTTCCATTGTCTACTATATAAAATGATTTGAAATCCCTGAAACAACTGAACGGCCGTTCAGAGCTCTGAACGGCCTACGTAGAGACAACACCATCAAGATCCTACCTGCAGATAAAGGAAACGCTACTGTGGTAATGGATACCGTTCTCTACGAACAGAAGATCGAAGAGGTTCTTCAGAAGGGACGATACACAAAGATCGTACCGGACCCTACTGCATCAATCGAAAGGAAGTTGTACCAGATTTTGAAAAAACACCAAGTCTATTTTTCGGACAAGGAAAGATCATGGCTAACACAAAGGAAGTTGTACCAGATTTTGAAAAAACACCAACTCTATTTTTCGGACAAGGAAAGATCATGGCTAACACCGCACCACAGTAAGCCCCTCACTTGTATGGATTGCCCAAAATCCACAAGGACGTTCCGCTTAGACCGATCATCAGCTCCAGAGATTCGGCTACTCAAAACTTGTCTAGATTTTTACTTCCCATTACCATTACAAGGAAAAACATCGTCTTTTGTGAAGAATTCAAGGCATTTTGTCGAACTACTAGGGTCAATTGAGATTACACAGGAAGATCAACTAATACCAACGTTCCGGTCAAAGAAGCACTCCAAATCATACAGAGAAAGCTATCCGAAGACGGGAACCTGAAAGAGAGAAGGAATCTACCTATAGAAGTAATTATGGAATTACTAGGATGCTGTGTACGAAACTGTTATTTCCAACTAAAGGACGAATTCTTTACACAAGATGAGGGACTGCCAATGGGATCGCCACTTTCACCAGTCATAGCCAACATATATATGGAGTGGTTTGAAATGCTGAGATCTTGCACAGAGAGGAACATTGGTTTAGGAGAAAATTCAAGGAAGCCGCATACATGTTGTCCAACAACGTATTCAGCCAGGCCAGCGTAGAAATATGTAACATTTGGAAATCTATCATCAAGCGAAAAATGGCCAACTCCCGCCAAAACGGTCATCTCCCACGGAACCAGTGAAGCGGAAAATGGAAAGCAGGGGTAAGTGAAAGTATTTGAAGGACATATAAATAGTCATCTCTCGGAGGAATCAGTCCAGTCCAGAGGGGGGGGACATTAAAGAAATGCACTGTATATCCAAAACTGTACAAAATTTTGAGGTTAACGTCTCTCAGTGATTCCAAAAATTCGTTGACTTATAAAAAATTTTACTGGGTTTGGACTGGTATTCCATTAGATATTGTTCACATTGAACGCAAAAACAAGCATAATTGTATTTCGGAAGTTATGAAATCTAATCATTTGGATTTTGGTTGTATTGAAGTGCAAATCTGCACTACAGAGAGAAGATGAAGTATTAGATAATGCTTGAGAATACCTTTCCATAAAAATTTGTCGATAAGCAAAGAAAACTCGTCCGCGTAAATGACATGATGGGTTCTTTCAATAAATGAACTCAAAGCATTGATATACAAAATGAATAATACTGGTCCCAAGTTGGAACCCTGCGGTATCGACATTGTAACCGGCGGACGTTCAGAGCCGGCCCTGATTCTCGCCAAATTTGCACGTGTTCAGCTGGATCACGTGCATTGTCTCCAATGCGGGATTTCTTCCGTCTCTTTTACCCTATTCGAACCTTGCATACTATTCCAGCGTTGCCAGATCTAGCGGAAATCGGCTGGTTTATCGACATTTCATGCGATATGTGCCATGAATAAATTAAAATAATTATTTCCAAAAGTGCCTGGTCATGCGAAAATTTGTATGATAAACTATGGTGAAATTGTCCTCGCGATTGAATTATATTACACTATCAGCGTTCACGAAGCATTGGGCGTCCGGAAATATTTTATCAAGGGGGTTGTCGAATTTACAGGCCGTTATGTATGATTTTGACTGTAAAATAATTTTCAAATGAAAACTCCACTAGTTTTTTTTCAAAAGAGGGATATGGATCGCATAGTTCTAGAAGTAACAGAGGAAATGTTTCATAATTTGTATTACTTTCCTTTTTTTTAATATATTAACAATTTCAAGTGGAATAAAAAAAAATCAAATAAAAGGGATCCCACTCCGACGTATTGAAGAAAAAAATTAAAAAGTAAACAAAATATACAAACATTGAGATCTTAATTATTGGAGTAGTCTACGTAACCGAAGCTAGGAAGTAGAACAGACTTGTTTATTTATTTATTCAATGGCAAAGCCAATTTACAAAAACATATTTAACAAAGGGTGAGGAACTAAAAAGTAATTTTTTAATGCTCATGTCTAATATCTACATTACAATTTATAATTTTATAAAACATTTAGCGAAGTGTAAAATACATAATATTAATAAATCCTTATGTCTAGTGGCTACATTACTGAAAGATAAAGCAAATCTGGTACTTACAAAGAATGGTAAGATAAAGAAAAGCTTCGAAAACGCTATAGCCTTTTCAATGGATTTTTAAAAACCTGAAGTGATACATTAAACATATCTAAGTTATTATGATATTGATTTCGCAGCTGCAGAATTTCTTTTGATCATTCTCGATCACATCGATATTTACATTATAGTATGGGTACCATATAACCGAACAATATTCAAGAATGGAACTTACGAAAGCACAATATAAAATCCTTTTTGTTTCAAATTGAAAAATCAGTAGAAATACTCAACACAAAACCCAGCATTTTGAGACTTTTTGCCACAATTTCTGATACTTGAAGATTAACATTAATGTCGCTATCAAATTCAACTCCCAGATCGCGAATAAATGTTTCTCTTTCAAGAGCTATATTATTCAATGTATATTCAAAGAATATTGGACTTCTAATTTTAGCGAACGTAATGATTTGACACATATCAATGTTTACCTCTAACAAATTGTTTTTACACCACATGTAAACGGCTTCGAGATCTTTTTGAACTAATTCAGCATCTTCCCGGAAAGTAATGGCTCGATAAAGTTTGAGATCACCAGTAAACATAAGAAATTCTGAATATTGTTTATTCAATAGATTGGCGTTGAATCTTTTTTCAAATGATTTCAAGTGTATTATCAGAACCGTGAATGATCGCTTAATAAATTATGAATGTGTATCGAAAATTTAATTTCTGTAAGTCAATTAGAAACTTAATCCAGTTATAAGCGGAAATTTTTGTGAAAAATGTAAGCTGCATGAATGCAGAGCACGTTTTTGCTATACTGACTTCTTCAATTTGGTTGTAGACATTGTGATTTCGAGTTGGAATTTTAATTTATGAATAATGCGGTGAATTGCTTAGAATTGAGTAACAATATAGTTGCAATATTCAGACGATTCAAATGAGTTTGCTTTAATGGTTATTAATGAGTCCCAGTTTTTACATTCAGGATAAAGGTCAGGATTTTGCAATTATGTACATCACCCTCAATAACACAAAACTTGAGAATATGACAAATTGATGAACTGGATGCCAAAAAAACTGCGTACAACATACAAGGCCTGTTAAAAAATGCGGGGTGAATCAACGTGTGATTCCTAATAACAAAACACTTTATGGTAATAGTTGTAAGAAATGTTGCTAGATTAGTTTAATTTTTACCTGGTTAATATTTCGCATACCGATGTTACCAAAAACTATGACCTGTAAAATTAAGATTAACCTAAAATCTTTGTTGCTGTAGTTACAGTGTTTCAGCAAGAACTGGCAACCTTGTAGTATTTAGGTTGTTCCATGTGGTCTGATAGTGGCGTAATGTATACTTTGCGTAAATCTGTTAAATAACCATTAGTATTACTCTGTTTACATTCCATTAGATTCCAGGAATACACATTGCATTTAATACTGAAACACTATACGTTTTTAATGACCACTTACAGATGGATAGGGAATTACTGCTAAATTTGAATTGTGAGCGAAGGAAAAACGTCTCTATGTAATTGTGAATATTGGCGATGTGCCCCCTTATCATATGAATTAGTTGCAGATTTGACTATGGGTATAGTTCAAGTGAACGATATACTGCAACCTACATTCCAACAGTTCCCTTTTAATAATATACACACATCGGAAAAGTCTAGGGATATTTTTATAACATGCTAAATATCATAAAAATAAATGAATGAGGTCGTTTAATTTGAACAAAGCCTGCAAAAACGTTAACTAATCTTTTATCAAGTTTTGTACAAACTGTGGTTTTCGGCTAAAATGAATGATCTGAAAGTGTCGAGTTTGTACATTCTATGCAGTTCTTGCTCAGCAATTAAACTGGAAATATTGTGCTTTAACATGGAACGCCATCACTTACCATTGGCTGAGATGAATAGAACTATAGGGCTTCTTCAAGGTGGCATGCGACAAAATGATGTAGCTCTTCGTTTGGGGGTCTCCCAAAGTGTTATCAGTCGATTGTGGCGGCGTTTCCGTGAAACTGGCAGTCCAGCCGAACAACATCCAGGGCGAGGACGCGCTACAACTGCAGTTCAAGACCGATTTTTGGTCTTAACCGCAAGAAGACAACCGACAATCACAGCACCTGAGTTGGTTAACGTGTTGCAGCAGACGGACCAGGTAACCATTGGTCGTGATACTGTCAGAAATCGACTGCATGAAGCAGATCTCCACAACAGAAGGCCACTTAGAAGTTCACCTTTGTCGAGAGGCAATCGCGGTAGAAGATTAGAGTGGTGTCAAGAACATCAAAACTGGGATGCAAATGATTGGGCCACAGTTTTGTTTTCAGACGAATCCAGATTTGGATTTCATCGAGATTCTCGACGAGTATGACTGTGGAGACGACCTGGAAATAATGAACGTTTGAGACACGTCCAGGAAGTCCACACATA